GCTTAAAATGGTATTTAATTTAATATTTTGGTCAAAAAAGTTTTTTAAAACTATGTTTTTGAAAGGGAATAATATGTTGATTGCATAAAGTTTGAAAGCTTATATCAAGAAAAAGTCGAACTTATTTTTACAGAGAGTGATAGGTACAAAGTGTTCATAATATCTTTGCTTGCGATCTCCGAGATCTGTGTGCAGCGTGACAAATTGTAGCTTCAGCTCTAAGAACGGAATGAACTAGCCCTTCTATTCTCTTTATCCCTGGATATTGATGCGCATTTCCGCGTGGTTTTTGAAAATTTCGATATTTTTAGCATAATATTATTACGAATTGGTCATTTAGATAATCATTTTTTGACGTGATTTATTTGTACCGATTTTATCGCAAACCAAATTATTTTTCAATCGTTATTTTGACAATTATTACTACACATTTCTACAAGGTTTTAAAAGTCCTGATTTTTTTTATACGCTATTGCGATACCTTAATTTCGAATCCCGCATTTCAATACATCACTTTTTGACGCGCTTTATTTATGCCGATTTCATCTTAAATATAAAGCTATTTTGATAGTTTTTTCGGTAATTATTATCCCCGTAATTGATAAAATTCTAATATTTCTAATTTTACAGTTTCACTGCAGTTTAAAATCCACAGTCAAGCAATCTGATCTTAGGCCTACCTCTAACTCTAGTTTACACTGTGGTTTGTAATTAAATATCTTAAATGTCAAGGAAGGAGGGTCTATTCCAGTGACTCTTAACCTTTTTAAGCCGCGACCCAAATTTGAGAAATATGTTCATGTCGCGACCCAAAAAAAAGTCAAAATTAGGCTGAGTAAGCCACAATGACTTCTTCTAGGAGGTGTTGGTATTGCTTATTATTTGGTGTATTGCTAACTTTTTTGGTTCGACTCAGCGCGACCCAAGAAATATGCTTCGCGACCCAAAATTGGGTCGCGACCCATAGGTTAAGAACCGCTGGTCTATTCAACAGATGTAACCCGCAAACTTTAAGCGACCTATTTCAATACATTTGTTGATATCAGCTTCCTTGAATAGCCCATATATTTAATTCAAAATTATGTCGTCTCCATACAGCCATCCACATTTGTAAAACCAAAAATTTATCTCAAGATCTTTCTCTCAAAAACAGCAAGCAGGTCTGCTTGTGATTTAGCTAAAGACCATGTTTTGGACCATAAGGAATTCGGCATGTTCAAAATTAAGGAGCAGTCTTAAAACAAAATCATTAAATTTTCACTTAATGGCCCAAAAAAGCTATCACACGATCAAGTAGATCAAAATTATCACAATATTTGAAAATTTTGTGAATTACAGGATGACCATTAAGAAATTTCTTAAACCAATTTTTACCTACAATGACCATTTTATATTATTTATGATTATATGCTGGGAATTTGATTTGCATATCATTAAATTTTAACCATAAGAAAATGTAATCAAGATAAATATTGTAAAGTAAGGTAAATTTTATTAAACTGTTAATATATATGGGTATTACTCGCAAACAGTAAGTGCCATGTTAAAAAAGTATTAAATATGAAGAGTTGTAAACAAGTATCTTGATAGTTTTTCATTATTAAGGAAAAAAGTTTCTTCAAAATTAATTTTTCCTTTCTTTCTTTTTCTTCCTCTCTAAGCCCTTGCCTCTTATAATTTATTAAAAATAAATGTTTTAAAGCTGAAGTATACTCTCTACAAAATGTTTAATCTTACTTTGCTCTGAAAGGGCTTTGTTTTAATTTTAACCATTTTGAATTCTAAAATCAATCCCTTTAAATCAAAGTACACTACTGCCATTAAAATTGCTACACCAGGAAGGCGACACACCATGNTGAGAAATATGTTCATGTCGCGACCCAAAAAAAAGTCAAAATTAGGCTGAGTAAGCCACAATGACTTCTTCTAGGAGGTGTTGGTATTCAGTGCATTCATGCAAAGCAGGCGGCGGTAGCGGCACTTGCAATGTGTGTAAAAGAAGTGATTTGACAGTAAGTTTCTCATACAGAAATTGAATTTGAGCATTGCTCTTGGGTAAATAAGTTTTTGTTATGCCTTGTGTAAGAAGGAGAAATGTCTACTAGCACGTGTCTGAGTTTTATCGATGTCGAATTGTGGCCTAACGGTATTGCTGTTTATCATACCGAAGTATTGCTGCTAGCATTGGTCGAGATCCCATGACTGTTAGCAGAATATGGAATCGATGGGTTCATGATGGTCATATGGAAAAGAATTTAGTGCCTAGAACAATGTTTAAATAACAAATACTACCAACAATAGCTGTTAACATGTCTGTCTAAATAATTTATCATGTGGCTATTCACTTCAAAAGGTTGTGCATCCCTAGCTTAAATATTATGAGTATATTGCTTTAATGAAATATTTCTTTTGTATGTCTCATTAAATAATCCTATGAGTATTTTATTGTGCCAATGAAAAAGGAGTGAACAAACGGGGAAGAAAATATTAGTTTTATGAGTAGTAAATATATTTTATTCGTTCATCATATGATCATTAAGTACTAAAGATTGCATAAACATAAGGATTGCATTCCATTTAAAACTCATACTCTATTTATTCGGGTTTCTGTTTGTAAACACCAGTCATTGCACATTTTAACATCAAATAAAGATTGCATGTAAGAAATTAAGCATAGAATCTTTGCAGTGCTTTTTTCTTATTCTAAGTTCGTTTGTCAATTTGTTTAAAGAGATGATCATTCAACGATTTAGAAAATACAAATTTCTAGTAAAAAGGCAGAAAATCAATATTTTGAATAAAATATAATTAAATACCCTTTAAGTAATCTTTCATTAGTTCATGATAAATTTTAAGTAGTTGCATTCTTGAAATAAGAGAGTCATTTTCTGTCACAAACACATCTGACTAGAAAGGACAACTTCCCATTGACTTAACATTTGTGACTGGTTTGTGTTTAAGTCATTAAAACAGAATTTATAAAGTATTTTCTGAACATTAGAGTCTCACAAATAACATTTAAAAAGAAAAAATATGTCTTGATTTTATTTAAGGGTAATTTACGTCTGTGCTTAAAACTTTTCTAAAATAAATAATCTAATGTTCTGTCACACATAAAATCTAATGTTCTGTCACACATTTAATGCTAAAAGTTATTAGATCACATAAATTTATTTAGAAAATTTTAACACAAATGTAATACTATGGAGTAATCCATATCCTAGTGGTGTACACTGATAACATATTTCTATGGCTCAAAGATCTGTTACTTTTAGCATGTGTTCTAACTTCATGGTCAGTTTGCCATGTGTGTGTGGATGATCACCGCATTATTCATCGAAATACTCTTTGTGAGATGACTGTTTCCAAGTGATACTAGAAAGCAAGGGGACAAATTATTTCTTTCCTGATTTTTTGTGTTGTCAATCATTTGCATTTTAAATAATTTAAAATTGTTATTCTTTCCCTCCCTTGTTAAGCAAAAAAATAAAATAAATAATTTTGATTAAATTGTTTTCTGAATCATAAAAGGATACTTCTTTGCAAATAAAACTAAACAATATTTGCATTACTTAAGAAGAAAATAACTAAAATTCTCCTATGTTTTTATGCAAAAACGGTTATAACTCTGCAAAATACACTTGGAATTAATGTACTTATTTGGCATATAAATGACTAAATATATTTTGCTAAATGTAAAGGCAAAATCGAAATATAAGTCAATTGTTAGCCTGACAACAATGAGCAACTCAAAAGTGTTAGAATAAGACATCATTGATTCCTAATTACTATGATAGCTATTAAATTGTGTATCTTTTTGGAAATACAATGCGTTTTGTATAGTTCTGTATTAGTTTTGCATAGTATGGTTTTAGTATAGTATGAAATTTACACTAATAACATCACAATTACAATGCAACTGTTATTTCACTGATGTGAGATTTAATAACACATATAATTGCACATTGTTGGTAAAAAAAAGGTTGAGGAATACTGTTAGAAATGAATCTTACTAATAAACAGCAGTTACCATTTGAAAAAGTAAATAACTTACACATCACTATAAGAAAGATTGGAAAATGTAAAAAGTAATACATTTTACTAGAGTTGCACATGAGTCCAGAGAGTTTTTCTTAACAAAGTTACAGCAAATATAATGAAACCCACTCACTTAAAACAGAAAATAACACATCTATTCTCTATATGGGAATTGCCGGCAAACCAGGGATGTAGTGGGGCAGGAATGCATATAAACGAGCTTCCTGTATTTTTTTACTAGACAGAAGGCATTTTCCGAACTATAACTCGAGTGTTACACGTTTTTATTTTATTCATAAATCTTTATTTTTCTCCACAACAGGCTGAGTAAAGAGCTGAGTAGTATTTGCAATTATTCCTTCCTTAAATAGTTCAAAGGTCTAACTACACCATTCTAATTAATTGAAATAAATTATCATTGGGAAATCTTGTAAAAAGATACTCAAAATCATGCTTGACATGCCTCAAGCATTAATATGAGCTGTCTATATTATGGGAGCCAGCATGACCACACGCCTTTTCTATCGTTATAAAAATTTGAAGGTCCCTTGTTTAAAAGGTGTACAATTGAGTAAGAGAATTGCCCTTTTTATGCAAAGAAAACCTCAATTATTTAAACTTTTCCAAGAAAAAGTATCACAAATAAAGCATGAGCAGTTCAGGAAGTTTTTACAGAATATATATATATATTCATNATATATATATATATATATATATATATACATATTTTGTTTATTTATTTAAAAGTTTTTTTCTCTTGGTAAGTTAATATTTTACATTTCTGTACTTAATTACCGTAAAATAGTGCAAAATTAAATTATAATAAATAATCATTTTAAAATATAAGTATTATCACATGCTAAAATTTAGTATAAAAACTCCTAGAAGAGTTAAAAATTAAAACATAATGGCAATGATATAATTATTCATTTTACATATTGTATCACAATGTGCAACAGAAATAAAGTGTCATTGGTTTATTTAATTTCAGAATGAAAACTACAACTTGCTATTCAATAAAAGCAATTCAGTAATATGACATACAATAATAATTTGCCTTGAGAAGAAAATTATTGAAAATAATTAATGTTACATAAGCTCATAAAAGGTGTCACTAGAAAGAAGCACAAAATGGAGTTTAACAGAAGAATCAAAATCAAACAAATTGAAGTACTTCTACTCCACCAAAGATTGTCCCAATAATTAACGTGTTAGCATTAACAAATCCTCCTAAGCAAATTTCTGATGCTTTAAGACTAGTTATAGGAACTGGTGAATGATACTGGCATACCTAAAATGCAGGAAAATTGTGTTTAACAAACATTCAGTAATAATTGCTTTTAACATATATTTTTATGATCCTTCAAAAATTTGAGTTCAGGAATGACAATAAAAAATCATCAAAACCATTTTATTTATCTAGTGGGATTAGAATGTTTTCATTTTTTCATTGTCTAAGCCATCAAGTCCTTTATCACCAGTAAAATTAGTTATAAATTATTTCAATTCATTTTTTGGCTTTTATTGTTAGAGTTGGAAAATATTTTTATTATTTTTCAATTAAATATTAATTTATGACCTTACACTAGTATTCAGGTTTTGCATCTAACTTTTCACAAGCATTCTTTTAAAATGATATCAAGGGTGGTTATTACAATACACATTCCATATGAAACTATCAATTGTGATGATATTGATTAATTTAATGAAATTAAAACAAATTTTTTTCAATTACTATTTAAAACAATGTCTTACATAAAAAAAATGCTGATCTAAACTGAAAAGGAGAAAATGAATCGCACCTGTTCACTGTGAACAAGATACAAGGTTACATTTTCATTTAAATATAAGTTATATTTTTATGTTTCAAAATGTGTAAGTAATGAACATCCATTGTTGAATTAATATCACAGTGAAGTGCTAAATTTTCATGATAGCAGTTATTTAGCTCTGATTTTTTAATCAATTGTCATAAGAAATGCATGCATAACAATACTGTAACATCATACGTAAAAACACAAAATCATCAAATTTGAAATCTAGGAAAATTTCAGCACTGTGAATCGATGGACATAACGTTCAATAAACTTTTCTATATATTAAATAATTTTATTGTAGTCTTTTCTCCTTAATTTTCAAGACTTGTTTAATAAAAGTATTATTTACAATTTTTTTTTTACTCGAAACATTGTTCATCACGAAAGTTGAATCAATATTCTTATTCAGTCTCAAAATTCATATTATTTATTTCTGAAGACATTGAAGGAGAAACTTGATCCATAATGAAAAATATTAACAAGAATATTGCAGAAAATCGTATAGTAAAGAGAGTTTACTTAGTTTCCTTTTATTTCAGAATGACAGTAATATTCTCAGAATGGAGAATATTCTCAGCACATTCACATTCTCCAAGAATATTCTCGCATCTCTAAACATGCTGGATGGATTGGGGTTTGTCCTTTTGGATATCATGTTTAAAAAGAGAAAAATGATTTATTGGGAAAAGAAACCTTTCAACTTTTTTGTTTTGTCTTCAATTTTTCTTTACCTTCTTTCATCAAAATTGTTAACAGAGATTCTCTATTAATGAAATTTATCTGTCAACCCAGTAATAATCACTAATTGTTATGCAGTAAAGTTTTTTTGTTAGAGATATTAGAATTTATGATTTTATTAAAATTTATGGAATTTTCATAATGAGATACAAATTACAATGATGATGGGAAGTTAGGAAATTAGATTTTGATTTGATGTCTCTTAAAGCAATTTTACAATAAATTTGTGTACAGAGGCCTCACATGTGACTGTTATCAGAACAACACATCATGCAGAAATAAAAAGTGGTTAAATACCTGTTCAAGACTTGAAAGCTTCCAACCTTTGACGGTTTTGTCAAGAGAGCTAGTAAATATATAATGATCAATCACAGCAATTCCAGTAATGGCACTTTCATGTATCTAAAATAATTCCATAAAAGTTGAGAAAATCAGCAAACTATGCAAAAAATTAGAGGTTTAACAATAAATAAGTGATAAATATTACAAACCATTCAAAACATACATTAAGTAAAGATTTTTTTTAATTAAATAAGAGAAAATACAAAATTGTTATGTAATAACTTAATCTTTTTCAACCAGGTAAAGAAATATGGCAGCTTTAACTGATTTTAATATTTATAACGTTTTGAAAATAGCTTATATTTATCAAATTATTGAATTATCACTTAAAGCCTTCTTTTAATATGCTCTCCATAAAGAAATTTATATTAATTAGATCAATCAATTTACTATAATTATATACTAATGCAACTATAATTTATTTATTAACTAACACCATAAACTGTGTACTATGCAACTAGAGTTTCATTTGTTCCCTACTCTTACTAATGCTCAATGAGATTGAATTTAATTTCTTGCTAGTTTAGACATTCCAGACACCAGGGCCGTAACTACGCCGGGGCACAGCCCCGGGGCACCGACGGTCAAGGGGACCACATCATGTTTTTTCAAAGTTAAATACTCTAATTATATAAATATATGTAGGAAAGAAATTGTGGTAAGATAGAATTGATGAAAATTTTCTTTTTTGTAATCGCATATCTACTTTAACATAAAGGGAAGGGTAAAAAACGGTCAAAGACCTTTTCCCAGAGTTATTTCCATTTCTTAAAAGAACAAACACGCTTCGCAGAGAAGGGGAAAGGCCACGGCTGTATATAGTTGATTGTTAACATTTTCAGTATATTGCACTTCAGTCTAGTGTCAGACCCAGTGGTGTGCCAACCGGGCAGAGGCAGAGGGCCCCGCTAAAATTTAAGTGATGGGGTAAACTATGTGTTTCCCCCCTCCTGAAATTTAGCACTCACAAAAATAAAGTCAAGTAAAATCGGTACTTTAAAAAAAAATTCAATTTTGAAGTTATTTTTCTAATAGAGAATCTTATATTCCTCTAAAATTTCAGTGGGGGGGTCGAATAATGTGGTTTGCCCCTTCTGATATTTAGACATTCGCCAAGACGAAGTTAAGTAAAATTGGTAGTTTCAGAGAAAGAAAAAAAGCTATTCTTTCTCAATTTTGAAGCTATACACCAAGTAGAAAATTTTATTTTGTTATGGGTAATTAATGTGTTTTTTGACATTTGGAAAAGTAAAATAAAAGAAGAAAAATATTTTATTTCCTATGTTCACTCGATTTTTTTCCTAAATAGTAATGAGGGGGCGAACAAAGTGTTTCGCCCCTTGTGCAATTTCAACAAGCTCAAAAATAATCAAAATTGGTAATTTAAAAAAATTCCTCTTTGAATCTATTTTCCAAATAGAAAACTTTATTCTCCTCTGAAATAAAAGTGAGGAGGCGAAAAATCTGCTTCGCATCTTCTGAAACTTAGACATTAATAGAATAAAATCAAGTAAAGTTGAAAATTTTAGAAAAAACAAAATTGCTGCTTTAAAACTTCTACGCTATTTTCCAAAAAGAAAATTTTATTTTCCTCTTAAATTAAAGTGATGGATCGAAGAATATACTCCACCCCTTCTGAAATTCAGACATTCGCAAAAATAAAGTAAAGTAAAATTTATATTTAACTCTTATTTATTGTTATACTGTAGAGAACATTAAGCCATATATAGCTTAAAACAAAATTTGTCTCACACTTCTGCATGTTGTCTTGAAAAATATTTATACATAAATTGTTTATATTTTTAGTGTTATCCACACAGAAAAATATACTACTACACTGTATAAAGAGCAAGAATGCTTTTCAATTATTACTACTGACAATCAACAATGCAAGAATGTAATCTACTGCTTGTTAAAAAAAATTTTCTTAAGTTTATTTATTTATTTGCAGATGGTGCTATCTTATATAGATTGATACTGTTTGAAATTTCAAGATACATGGAGGGGAGCTGGAATCGATATTCGAACACTTCAGTACATTTGTGTGTGAATAGAGATAAATGTGCTTTACACATAATGGATTGTGCAGACTGAACTGGATATTAAAATTCTTTTCATAGAATTTCTTCTGTATATAGTGTAGTGATCAGGAACTACATCAATTGTTCCTGATCAGTGGCAGCCACTTTTAGACTTTTCATTTTACAAGACTTATCTTGACTGTTTCAATTTTGTTGACTCTTTTGAGTAAAAATATATAACTGCTTACATTATCTTGGCTGTTTCGGTTCCAAAACTTGTTTTGTGAAATTTTCTTCAAAATAACAAATTCCAATTTTGTTCATTTTGAATTTTGTGTTATAATTTTTTTTTCAACTGATGGATTTAACTGATTGATTTAATGAAAAATAAACAGCTAAAAGTTAATTTTTTGAACATTTGAAGCGTCTTTACATAATTGAGAAACAAGTAAGATTGCTATTAAAAATGAAAAGTTATAATTAGAGTTTATAATGTTCATTCATACAATTTTCAAAGTGAGTTTTTAGTTTCTGTCTTTACTTTCAAACAGATTAAAAACTTTTCAGTTAGGTAACTATATGGAAATGAAAACTACATTGAACATAGTTCCAGAAGAAAGCATTGTGAAAATTTAAAAAAAAAAAAAAATTTGTGACAATTCAAATATGAAAAGTATAAAGAAAGGGGAAAATATCATAGTACATTCCTGTACAACTGAGAAGAGGAGAGGGAAGGGTTAAGCTATGAACCGGTCTTCTCCCCAGGTGGCGTATTCGAGTGTTGGGATCTTAGATATGGATGGTCTTTTTTACATTAGGATGCATGCACTGCAAACTCTTTACTGCCTATACTTCCGGGTTACTATTTCCAGTGTATTTTGAAACCATTTAACTCACAAAGTAACCATAGTGTTGTGAGACTCTCTTGAATAGTATTTCTCATATATGTGTATTTATTACATGGTTTATTATTTGTTATTAAAAGAATCGTAATTTGGAGAATTGTCATTTCAAGACATAAAAATCCTCATTTGAAAAAAAGCAGCGTTATTATATAAGACACTTATTACCTTGTCAACAATATACTAACTTTATTACTTAAACCCTAATGATAATTTGTAAAATGAACTTAATCTCGAACATTATGCTAACACTAAGTTATGATGGTGCACGGCTTGCAACAGCAATTGTTAAGTTAAAAGAGGCAAAATCAGGACTGTCGTAAAAGCGAGTTCTGTTTAAATTTAGCAACCATGTCACCTTTTTAACAAAACATCTATAAATAACTAATACAAATTTTTATTTCAAACTCATCAAAATTACGTAATATCATTATCTTATGAAATACAGCAGATTTGAGCTAAAAATTTTTATAATTTATTTATTTTATTAAAAGTAAAATTATTTGTTTGAAAATATCACCTAGCAGAATAAGTTGCTGTATACTTTCTAACTAGAAGTAGAGCAGCTCAAGATTGTTGTTGTTTACATTTAAATGGAAAACACCATCCATAGGAATGAATTTGAAAAACCATCAGGAATCAGTCGAAAAAACATGTGGATTTACAATAAAATTGGAACAAAAATAGTTATTGCTCTTTATAAGGTAAGAAATTTTCAGAAAAATGATTTCAATTTCTTACAAAAATGGGCCCTAAGAATACTATAATATTGGCTGTTATATTATATTATAGTATTGCTTTATAATTTTCAAGTGCAACAGCAATTATTTTGCTTCCCAAGAGTTCGTAATAACGAGATTAATTGAATTCATACATCAAACCTTGGTGATAAAGGATTAAGAAAATTACCAAATAAAAAACATTAATTTATGATAGATTTTTAAACAATATTTATCCTGATAAATTGCTTAATAAAAAAAATAAGAATAAACAATCTGAAGTCCATTCATTTTTCTATCAGTTATGGATTCTAGCAACAAAAACAATTATTGCAGTTAAGTAAGTTTTCTACATCACAAAACCATAACATGCTATGGTCCTGTGAAATTTGGCTCCATGCCAAATTGGTAAAACTATAATTCTTGCATGAGAAATGTAATTTATGGGAAACGTTATTGCAAAGATCGCATGTTTTGCACTTGCCAAATCATACTACCTGAATNCTTCGGCACATTTGACGTCATAACCAATCAGGGGTCGTTTTTGATTGCATCACTTACGGAGGCCTTTTGGGGCAATTTAAATGTTTAATAACTAACTAAATTAACATTTGCCGAAAAAAACAATCAGATTTTCGGTTTTAGGGGAGAATTTCCAATAAGTTAGGTATGAAAATAAAAAAATTTATGATATGCTGTAATTGTCCATTCTGTTTGCTACCTGTTGTGAATTTGAATTTGCCTCAAAAATTTTTAACTCCCTGACTTCTCAGACAATTTCTAAATTCCTTGACTTTTCCCGGTTTTCTGGGTAGCTAAGCGATTCTACTTTAAAAAATAAATTTTGAGATTTAAAATTAGGATTTGAAAAAATTCCGTAGAGGTAACAGATAGAGGTCAAACTGTAAATTTTTTAGTATTTATTTAACTTTAACTCATAAAAAATAAAGATGACATTTATAAAATGTAAATAGAACAATCATATAAAAAAGCAATGAATATCTCATTATCTATTTATAATATTATATTATAGACAAGATAGTTATGCCAAAAAATTTGTTTACTCACTTTTTTAGATGTAATATCATTTTTATGAATTTTTAAGTAGCCCTTTGTATCACCGCACACTAATAAGTCTTTATTTATACAGTAAAATGCAGTAGTGTATAAAGAATTCTCTTTCTCTAGCGATGAAGATAAAGTCCAGGAATTATCCTATGAAATATAAAAACTCTATGTAATTAAAATGCATATTTACAAATCATAACTATACACAATTAATATGAAATATTTATTCTCTGTCATATCATTAAGTTAAAAGAAATATAAAAATACTTGATTCTGAGATTCTAAAAATAGAAGCAGACATGAAAATCGATCACATTAAATATGAAACTATCAAATTATAATAATCATACAAATTTTCTCTTATAGAAATTTCCTAGTAGAGCTTATAACAATTAAATCAATAATTTAAAACTTGATAAAAAAAAGAGATATTTGTAGATTTTTGAGTAATTTAATACTGCATAACTTAATGCAGAAATTTATCACTCTTGTGTAATTATAAAACAATCAAAACAAATTACTTAACTTAAAAATGATATAGCTTAAAATAAGAGAAATAGGAGATAAATTTTATTTAATGGCAGTTATGCCTAATAAGTAAATGAAGAATATAGCAAACAAAACATGGGAAGAAATTCATTTTATATTTCCCAGATATCAACTACCCCCCTATATTTTGGAAGTCAGAAATCCAAATCCGTCGGGGGGAAAAAAAGATGGTAATTCAGAAAAGTACATTTTTGGGTCTGATTTCATAACTTAAAATATTGTCCACACTAAGTAATTTGCGTAATTGAAGTCACCCCCTCGAAACATGAAGAACGAGTTCTAGAATGTGAAGATACAATCATTAGATTAAAAGTTATTCAGGGTGGTCCTTTATTTTTTGGCTCACTGTACAACTCCAAGAAAGGGAAATATTTTGCATAACTTTCAATAATTAACAAATTGAGCTTTGTCTTTTGCTCTAGTAATGTACAGTGTGTAAAAAACTAAACGAATCACCCAGAATAACTTTTGATCAGTTGTGAAGTTGGCAGGGATAAAAAGGGAACCTCTGCCTCGAGACTGCTTTAAGGGGGGCCACGAATTCAAGAAAAATATGTTCAGAATATAATGTTTTTCTCTTTTAAATACTCCCAGTTTCATATGCTTACTATAGACCCCATAACTTCTCCAAATGTTCATCTGATTTAACTGAAAAATGAATGTGATGTCTATTATTATTTATAGTTTAATTTGCATGCAGGATTTTAATGATGTGATTCTAATGATTAGACAAAAACATTAAAGGCAATAAAAATATCTAAATGTAGTCAAAATTATGTAAATATCATAAACTGTTAAATTTTTTAAAAAATCTGATGAAAATTTATGTGAAAATCTGATGAAATTTTAAGTAATTGAGCTATACAGGTTCAAAAAACATTACTTAAAATCTCAATGAAAAATTTAACAATCATAGGCCAAGTGTGGTGGATTTTAATTTTAATATGATCTAAAACTTAAAATAGTCCCTTAAGTCTGAGATTCTACTGTAAAGGTACACAAGAACAGAGTTAAATTTTTTTTCACCACAATTATAAAATTCGTTTAGTCAAAGATGCAAAAAAAAAAATTATAAAAATTATTTCTTTTATTATGCTATTTAATTGTAGTAGAATAACTTTGAATTGTAAGGTTTATAAATTTTCACACATCATTTTAAAGAATGTAATTCAAGGCAAAATACAAAATTTGAATGAAATTAGTTAAATATTTACAAAGAAATTTATACCCATATTCAAATATATGACTACAAATTCTTTAACATTCGATTTCTCAGGAACTATTTGACCACATTTATACCTATTTGACATATTTCTGCACAATTATAAGGTTTACAAACATTTACATCATTTTAAAGAATGTAATTCAAGGCAAAATGCAAAATTTGAATGAAATTGGCCAAATATTTCCAGAAAAATTTATTTATTATTTCCATATTTAAATATATGACTCCGAATTCTTTAAAATTTGATTTCTCAGGAACCAAATTGGCCAATTTCTTTCAACTTTTGTATTTGGCCTTATAAAGTTGCATTCAATGTAAAAATTTATATACCTTACAATTCAAACTTTTTGATAATTATTAAATAAAACAAAAAATAAATAATAATTAAAAATTATCTTTCCCATGAAATTTCATTTTGGATAAAAAAAAAAATTATAATTGTGAGCAAACATTTTATGATTTGCTTAAAAAAATCTCAAAATATGGTGAAATACACAAAAAGTAAAATTAAGACCAAAATTTCCCAGATTGCAGCTCCCCCTATATTTTGGTTGTTGGAAATGCAAATCTATCAAGAAAAGACATATTTATTCAGAAATAGTACATTTTTGTATTTGATCAGGTTACTTAGAATATTGTCTGGACTAAATAACTAACATATTTGAGATCATTCCCTTGAACTATTAAGACTGAGTCCTAGTACGCGAAAATCAGATCATTACACAAAAAGTAAGTCAGGGTGATTGATTCATGTTATTTTTGTGCATTGTACATTCAATTTCTAGAGCTTGAATAATCAGACTTAAAAAATTACATTTATATTTCCAAGATTATGTCATTACTCAAACTAGAAAAATACTACCATCAAAAGCAATTATTTGCTTTAAAAGTGCATAAAAAATGATTTAACACTTTTCCAAAAATAAAATTCTTTAAATTTTCAATAATTTAAATTTCTTAAAACTCAGAAAAATTTTTTGCTTCTTAGAAAATTTTGTATGAAGTTTCACATTATATGCATCATTTTCCTATAATTTAACATGGAAACAATTGGTCTGTTATGTTAAAAAAAAACAGCAAAGAGAGATAGAAAATATGCTGGGACAAATACTTAAAGGATAAAAGTCATAATAAAAAATATATTCAATTACTATATAGCTTACACAAAAATTTTCGTCTAACACTGTGGACATAAGAAAGGTTTTAACACTTCCATTTGAGAGAGAGAGAAACAAATGCTCAACTGAATCTTCACAAAACAATATTCTAGCTCCAATTATCCATTCATCAGATCTAAAAAATATATGAAGCATTTTTTAATGATATGATATATAGACATAATGTATCATATATATATGGAGAATGAATTATACACATATGTGTATTCAAGATTTAATTTAACACTAGAACTACGGGACTTTGAACATACCAAGAACTGCGGAGCGGGTTATTTTGACCCAGGATTGTAAACCTCATAAATATATATAATTTAATTAAGAAAGCTGAAATACATCTTTGAATATAATAATATAAATAATACTCTTATGTTAATTACCAGAAATTTCCTTTTTTGCAAGAAAAATTGTTTTATTGAATAAGTTATTTCAATTTAGAAATCTCTTGCTCAAAATATAGCTTACCCTTTATACTTTAACGAAAAAACAGAGTAGGCCATTTAAATAAGTTTATATATAATTTCTACAAAAAAGATTAAGAAATATTTAAAAAAATACCTCTTAGTCACTTGTTTTTCAAATTTTTTAAATCCAACTTATTATATGACTCAGCACAAAATTTAGTAGTAATACGTTCTGTACATTTACCACAAATGGGTGCTTTGCAATTTGAACAAATATTTTGTGTTTTATTTTCACATTTTGAACTGGGACATCAAACTCGTTTATGCTTAACTTGTGGTTGTTCGTCGTTTTCAGAGGCTGCTTTGTACAGCTGTGTTATTTTTTTCTGTCGGGAGAGAACAGATTTTTCTTGCAATTCTTCAATTAAGTTTTGAATAAATTGTCGTCTACTAATAGACTTTCCAGTTACAGCTTTGTATAAAACCCAAGCATTGATAGCAGTGAGGTCCAAAATGTTATAAAAACCTACACCGGCTATCTACGTAAACAAGTTTGGACAGTATATTTCCTTGTCATTTGGTCTATTATGTCAACACCAAACTTAGTTGCATTGTAAAAAGATATAAGAATTGGGTATTTTTTTTAATCACTTGTAATCTCAACAATTAGATTAATACTACTTAGCAACAAAACATTTTCACCTTTTCCCCCCTGTAAACAGTTAGACTGATATATTTATGAGTTAGTACAGTAGTCGAATGCAATTCAGATTTTATAACACTTTTACAGAAAACAGGTATTTCTCTTCTTGAGCGTTTTACAGTTCCTACAAGGCTGGTGTTTCTGGATTTTAATGTCTAAGCAAGTTTCAATGTAGTAAAAAAGTTATCGGTAATAACGTTTTTACCTTTGTTCTCATATGGACATATTAGTCGCAATACAACATGTTTTTATTTTATTTTATAACCGTTGTTGAACAGCCAACCCACCTTTTGGGGCTTATGACTATTAATGTTCAACTCCATAGCCTTGTAATTTTGAACTTAATTCAGAAGACAAGGGAACTCCTGGATCAAGTATCAGGAGAAATTTGCCTTCGTGGAGGACCATTTGATAGAACTAACCCGAATTTGCGTTACATGGAGAGGAAGACCACGAGAACCTCCTACAGTTAGCGTCACGGCAAAGGGACTCTAACCCACGATCTGTCTACCACTGAGGATATTTCATGTCAGCACTGTGGCTGCACAAGTCGGATGCGAATTCGATTCGACCAGCCACGGCTAGAAATTTGAACCTGGTTTGCCTCATTGGAAGGGAAACACTCCAGAAATCCAGAAGACAAGGAAACTCCTTAATCAGTACCCCCAGAGGTATTGATTTGTTATGGGAACATGGAGGACTTTGCGACTCGACAGATTTAATGTGCATGAGTCACCATTTACTACACGGGGAGTCTTCTGTCGGCCTGGGATCGAACCCACGAACTCTTGGACATGGGGCCAATGCCTTACCAACCAGACTATCCTAGCTCAATACAACATGTTTTTTATAACCTTCATTGAACAGCCGACCCAATTTAATGGGTTTAAGACTACTAATGTTCAACTACGTAGCCTAGTAATTTTTAAGCCAATCCAGAAGACAAGGGAACTCCTGGGGCGAGTATTGGGAGAAATTTGCCTTCAAGGAGGACTTTTTGACGGAGCTAACCCATATTAGCGTTAGATGGAGAGGAAGACCACAAAACCCTTCCATGGTTAGCCTGACGGCAAGGGGACTCAAACCCATGATCCGTCTGCGACTGAGGATATTTCATAAGAAAAAGAATACAAAGTATTTAAATCTCAAAATAACAGAACTTCCTTTGAAAGAAACGTGCAAAGCAGCAGAATTTTCATAAGAAAGAATAATTGAAGCAATAAAGAAAAAAGAAAACAATGGAAATAAAAATACGACTACCGAAGCTGACGTCTTCAGGGGGTACCAGCTCATTTTTATTACCATTGTTTTCTTTTTACATTATTGCTTCAATGAGGATATTTCATGTCAGCACTGTGGTAGGTGCAAACCAGATGGGGAATTCGTATTGACTGGGATTCGAACCCGGTTTGCCGCATTGGAACGCTCTATCCCCTGAGCCCTCGCGCCTCAATAATACAACATGCTTGGAAAGAGGAACGTTTGAGGGACTCTGGTGATCTTTTCCAAGATATGGGAATCCATTAATCAGATATTTTCAGTCATAATCTGCAGCCAACCAGAATTTGATGCCAAATTTGTTTGGCATATATTAAATAAACCTACACCTAACTTTCGTAGGAAATACCTGTTCATCTAGGGTCCAGAGTACAGTTAGTCTTACAATTTTCAATAAAACAATTTCAGATATCAGATACAAGGGCAAATTTGTTTGTTTGTTAGACTATCTGATCTCGTTGACTTTCCATCAAAGCGCAAGAATCTCATTATTTCATGAAATCTCTATCTTGGCATACCCTCCAACTTATGAGGATTTTGAAAATAATTCTTTCTAGTGGTAGCGAACCAAAGTAGAAATTTTAAAAGCAAATGGATCTCTCATAAAACTTTTATCAGAACTTAAGAATCTAGCCATATGGCCTGCACTTTTATAAGTAATAGTGGACAAGTTACGCTAAAAATATTTTTTTTAAATATTAAGACATTAATTTTGCTACCGTCTGAAAAGATTTCTGAAACTACGGAAATTCCGTAGCAGTTGGAGGGTATGTCTTGGCAATGTATTTCGCAAAAACGACAGTCCCCAGTTCATTGACCACAGACTATCCAGTTCAAGACATTTTTAATATTTCATGCGTACGTGGCATTTCATCTTCATCACATTTCTTTATACGCTTTAATATCCATTCAGTGATGAAGAGTCTACAGGCACTTGCAGGACTACCGTCCATCATATTGCATTTAGCATGTGGTGTTGGGCCCCCAACTTACTTCAAAATATTATGCTTTGATTTTCTTTCTATGTTTTATGTTTCTAATTGCGAGACATTCCAAACTGTCCCATCTTTTCCAACTTCATTATTTCCAACTTTGAAAGTTATTGCTGATTTCTTGGATGAGAAGGGCCATAAATTGTTAGTGGACTGACTGTGTCATCGTCACTTTAGTTTTCTTCAGTCGAATTCAAAATGTTTTCATTAGTAAGCAGGTATTCATCTCCACTACTCAAAATCGAAACATCATTATCCTCTTCTGAATCATTTTCTGGTAATTGTTGAACTGTTCTGGTAATATTCCAAAGCTTCCTGAACAATAAAATTATGACGCCGTGACATACTTATAATAAAAACAAAAAAAAATTACAATAGTCAGCAAAATATTTCACTCAGAACTAGAATGGTCTTCACATGCCAACATAGATACTCATTGTGACCTTGATTGAAAACCTTTACTTATTTCCCAACCACTGGTTAAGAGCATTTGAGGATTTCAGGGGGAGAGACAGACATGCTTTATGGCTTTAACGTTGTTTCCACGAAAAAAATATTTCTTTATCATAATTCATGTATCAAACTTATTTACGGGACAATTTGACCAGCTCCACAATTCTAGGTATAAGTGTTAATAATACCCCATTCAATTATATTACGAGTATTAAAATTTGATAAATTTTTGCTTACATAAATTTATTATAAGTCATGAAAGGAATTTTTTTTAATTAATATTTTTCCTGTAGTGATAAATTAAACATCGATTTGGTTCAAATTGACTCGCTCCGCGATTCTAGTGTTAGAGGCGTTTTTTTCTTTTTAACTTTTGTGACATAAAATTTTTATGTAAATGTTTTAAATTTAATTAGTACTTCATCGATTATTTTCGATAACAATATTAATTGCCAAATTAAGAATACTACTTTCACGATGACTTTCTTTCAATTTGTTTTTTCAATTAAATCTCTTTTTATTTATGCATTTATTTATATCAGTGTCCGGAAAGGCATATCATATAAAAGGTGCTTTACGGTACTATAAATATTATTATGTAAGTTATAATAACATAAATGATACTCACAACTTTAATTTCTTTTTATCTTGAGGAGTTATAACTAGCAATTCTCCATTTTTAAAGGTAACTACAACTGTTTGTGACTGTTGACATGTATCTAGGCACAATACTTCACTGTCCAGACTATGGGTATGTGTTGTTCTAATGAAACAAATATATAAAATAAAAATGAATAATCCATAATATGATAAAGAGTCAAAATAATAAAAAAGAACTCAGATATAATCTATATTGCTGATATTCAACAAATTATCACAAACTGGCACCATGTACCTCAAACTATATGAATCTGGAGCTTCAGGATCAGCGAGTTCAGTTGAATTAGCCCATTGATAATAGCTGTGTCCATCTGATTTCTGACTCCTGAAATAATTTCATTTTTCGAAGCTTTTTCAGTAAAAACAATAAAAAAGTCAAACTTTTAAATACAGTTCAAAGTTTATATATATTTCCTAAAAATATTCAGTCATATCTCTCTCTATATGAATGTATGTATGTACAGTAGAACCCGTTTAAGAAGTTTTTCAAGGGAGTGGAAAGAAACGACTTATTAAACGGGAAAACTTATTAAACGGTGAAACTTAAAAACACATTAATAAAAAACTAAANAATTATTAATTTGCCTGGGCAATAAAGGTGGCCAGCCTGTGCTTTTTAATGAACTAAGTTTTAAAAATATGGCCGATGATGCACACAAAAATATACACAACTTAAAGAGACCAAATTTAATGCATTGAAAACTGCAAAGCTAACTATTATTTTTACTGTGGAGGTTTCAAAAAGAGGCTAATTAGGCAAACCAAAGGTGGATGAAACAGATAAAAATATACTTAATGTCAAGAAAAGTAATCTGGACAGCAAGATCAAACTCTGAATTCAGAAAATCGAATTCGTGAAACTAACAAAAATTCCAGTGTAACCATAACAAATCCAGAATAAATCTCGTCAAAGTAGGCATGGGAAAAGAGAAACCTTGTTGTACTCATAAGACTTAAAAAAGAAAACTCTAAACTGAAATCTTTCATTAGGGAGCAAATCTACAACCAGAATGAAAAATGCTATTGTATTAAATTTAAAAGAATCAATCACCAGTATTAAGAACAATACACTCACCTGAAAGAAAGAAACTACCATATTTTTCGGCGGAAGCGCCGCGGCGCTATCGAAAAAAAAGTTGCTTTTTTTCCTACATGCGGCGCTTCCGATGCTGCGCCGCTTTCGACGAAATATTTTTTAGCAGCAAAAAAATTTTTCAAGTAAAGTTATTTAAGATTAAATAATTTTCTGAGAGAAAGACTATTAAAAAAAATTAATAACGAAGTCGACGAAATATTCACCCGCATCGCGATCTGCTGCAGAACATCGGCAATTGTAATTTGAGCGAACAGAAAAGGAAGTAATAGGACCCTAAATCCGACACTCACGGGACTGACGAAATGCCGAACTTCGGATCTCTTTCGGAAATTCCAATATGGCCTCCAAATATCCATTGTTAATTTCAGAAAAACCAATAAATTTAGTCAAGTTTCGATCGTTGATTATGATGGGGTGAATTTAAAACTGGCCCATCTTAAGAAATTTTACTAATCAAAATAATAATCTATATAATATAATCAAGAAGAAACAATCCGAATCCTATGAAGAAGAAATAATCGTTTCTTCTTTGGAGCGAGATCATAGTTCTCGTTTTTTCTTTTAGATAACACTTTGTTTTAACAAAAGACGCATACCTCGCAAAAAAAAAAAAAAGCTAACAAGGAACTACAAAAAAANAAAAAAAAAAAAAAAATTAACAATTAATGCTAAGAAACTAACAATGAATAACAACAAAAAACAAGCTGAAAAGTAATAACGTTAAAAATAAGAGAAACAAGCAAACAAATATTAACAAGAAAAAAAACAAGCTAACTACTGACAAAAAAAAAACAAATTAGCAGTGAATAACTAATAAAAAGCAGCAAAATAAAAAAATTTATAAATCGAATAAAAAACCACAAAAGGGATAGAATTCACTTTGTTGTCCACATGGTAGTTTCAATGTCATCAACTGGGTGTGGCCAATTTATGGTCAAACAGAGGAGGGAAATATGGGGGCAAATTAGTAAAGCACAAGCCCAGCTGTCAAGATTGATTGATCAGTTTTTTCCAACTTGCATTTCTTTATTTTGTTCATTGGGAATGCAGATGTTTTTACTTCTCAATTTATTTTAAACTGCTTAAGAAACAGATGTTTCCTTTGACACAGATTTATTATTTTTTATTATTTTTTTCAAGCTTCTTTTTTTATTTTTAAAAGATAAAATAAAGTAAGTTACTTCAACAGAATAAAATTCCAAATAAAAAGATTATAGCTGATTTTTTTTTTATCTTATCAATATAAATTTCTTAAAAAAAAAAGAAGAAAAAATTAGATCAGATTAAGTGCTGAATTTTGGAATGCTGGATTAGGGGTCCCATACCCTTTTCTTTTCCCCAACCCCTTTAAAATATAACTGATTGATTTCTCCTAATCAGCTCCAGTAGAAATGACACGTGGAGGAGGTGGGGTACACCCCTCTTTTAAACATTTTCTTCTCTTTCTAGTTGAGTCACATTGGGTTATTTCCATTGAAGGAGAGGGCATTCTACCCACTAAAATTCCACCCCCTAAGATTGTGAAAGTGAAACTTATTTCCTCTTCTCTCATTCCTTCAGAATTTTTTTGGGGCTTGTTTAGTTATTTATTATTCTTGTTATTGTTAGTTATTTCGTTATTATTAGCTGTTTCGTTATTATGTATTAGTTTTTCCTCAAATTGTTAACGGTAATAAATTTTAAAATCTTTTTATTTTAAAATTTTTCATATAATAAATTTTTATTTTACTTTTCTTATTACATTGTTTTACTGATTTCTGTAATCAGTTCAGCGTAGCTACTGCACATATAAATAATTTTTTTGCTGTTCTTCTGTTCTTTGGCGCGGTGCCAACTGGTAAGAACAACTTTATTTTATATCGTTTTGTTGTTTTCTTTTTTTTTTTTTTTTTTGCTGAAAAAGAAATTTTTTATTATAATTTAGAAATTAAAACTTTACTTTATGAAATGCATTCAAAAATTTAATTTTTTATTATACAGATATTCTAAATGGTAATTTAAAGGTCTCCTCTAAAAGGATGCTGATATGCCCGGTTTAGCGCCATTGCGGTGCTTACTATAAAATTTTTTTTAAAAATTTCCATTTTATCGATGTGCGGCGCTTGCGACGAAGCGGCGCTTTCGCCGAAAAATACGGTAAGTATCATAGTAAATTTCTATAGTTTCATCTACAAGTCACATGATGTAAGAAAGTCATTCTAAGAGTTTCCATTCATAACTGACTGATTCCTAAAGATTGGTCCTAACCACTAATATTATTTGTCTTTTGCAGACCACAGGAAAGGGAAATGTGTATGGAGTGGCTGGGACATCAATATTTTTTATTTAACTATACTACATTAAAATTTAAAAAATGCTTTATTTCCATTTATTTATTATTATTTTTATGAATTTTCAATATTACAAGTTTTTGATAGTTTGAGGCAGGACTATTCTCATCCACCTTGAATTACAAGACTCAACTGAATTTCAAAGTAAGAATTTTTAAAAGGATAATAACTTTTAAAGGAGTCTCAGAGTTCATTTTGAGGTTAAGTACTATTTCTTATTTTATGTAAAATTTATGTAACATAAGATTAAAAGCTAAGATTAAGATTTTTGATGATGATTAAACACATTTGAACAAATCAATTAGACTAAAAACTTAGACCACTAAATAAATGAAAATCGTTTGATAATTTTTGGAATTTGAATAGCAACAAAACCAAACTTATGTTTTTCCAACTCGACAATAAGAAAGAAATTATCCTTAATATTACTTATCACTTGATTACTTGAGTGAACGAAATAAACTCCTGGTGCATTAAGAAGCTGACGCCTGATGCATTAACTATATCTACATTAATCTATTTGGGCTACATATGGACTTAAATTTGAAATGGAAAACACATTTAAATTATATTCAGAAATTTAAGTTTCATACCGAGAAGGTTTCATTATTTGAAATTTAAAGTAAAAAGAAATTTTTTAACTTAATATTCAAAGGTTATTGTTTTACATTTAGAATAGCTTATTAGATTAGGAAAGAGATTACATAACTAACACAAAAAAAAAAATCTAATATTCAAGACAAAATCATAAAATTTTTTTTAAACACTAAAGAACAAATCAACCCAAACAACAAGTTATTGAATATTCTATCAATCTCCAAGCTGCAATTCTATAAATTCAACTTGAACTTTCTTAAGGGCCACACAAATGATAAAAAGCAATAGACTTTAACAAGAATTAATCAAATTTACTCTATTCCTGGGCTCAATATGAATATTTTTCATAAAACTTTTTTTTATCCAAATGTTTTAATCAACTTCTCTTAGAAAAATAATTTTAAACTTTTTTCAACTTTTGACATTATTTACTTTTTATGTATCTAGATTAGAAGACTCTCTTACATAGCTATATACCAGGGTTCGTGATTTTTTTGATTTTTTTAAAAAAAATCAAAAGAATCAGATTTTTTTGATTTAAATCGGATTTTTTTGATTTAAATCAGATTTTTTTGATTTTTATTCAAATACACTGTAAGAACTTTAATTTATGATTAAAAAAATTATAAATGTTTAATCAAATTAGCTTAATAGTAAAACTATATTGTAACAATAATTTAGAAGCTCTAACTAAAATAATTTTTCATTACAATACATGGCTTTGAATGCATAGCAACCATTTTGAAACAAATGCATGATTAAAATTTAAAGACTAGATGAAATAGAGAATTTAAAGAATACTTCAGGGGTCTGAGAGGTACCTATTCTGAGAGGTACCTATTTCGTGAAAATTAAAAATTATAATAAAAAATCAACAGAAATATAGTAAAAATATGGATTTTTCGCTTCTTACGAGACACAAAAATAAAATTTTAAGAAAAAGTATTTTGTGTGATTATTCTATCATTTTTCCTAAAGTTGAATTTGTAAAGGTACCGGCTTGGACAGACCCCTGTGCTTTAACTATTAAAACAAAGTTTCAGTTAGCAAACCATAACTTTAATTTAAAATTGTGATTTCTTTTTTTTTCTCTTGATTTTTAAAATGACAAAATAAATGTAGCAGACTGTGTTTATAAATGTAGTCATTCATCAAAAAATAAATAAATATTTAATCTATATATTTTTATATTAAAATATTCATTTTTAATTCTATATCAAAATAGATAAGTTAAGCTAAAAAAAAAATTTGAAAATCTATGTACTCATTGGAATTTTTTTTCCACAAAATTTCGTAATAGAAAATCAGATAATGTCAAAGATACTGTAAACATATTATGAGAAAAAATACCAGTTAATAACCCTACTGCATCAAATAGAATTTGAAAGGGAAGAATGAAACTATACTAGGAAAAAAACATATGAATTCATCAGTCTTTTTTTTTTTTCTTTTTCTGTTTTTGGCATATTAGGGTAATTTCTTTTTATTATAACCTCAAGCTCCAGAAATATACATTTTTCACCAATAAAATATGATGTAGATTTTAATTCACACTTTTTCATTCAAAGAAGAATTTTAATTAACATTATTTGCATTATTTTTGAAAAAAATGCATGTTTATTAATTACTTTCTACAGCTATGCAAGTCTATATTAAGACAGCATTAAATGTTTACTTTAATCTGTACTTTCAATCTCAAGAATCAAAAGATTTTTAAAAATGTAATTTCAAATGTGTTGGAATTTAACACACACTAAGAAAGAAAGTAATTTTCGTTAACTAAAATTAATTAATGCAGCAATTTATTTAAATTATGATTTAAATCGTGATTTAAATCAAGCTGATTTAAATCAACGAACCCTGCTATATACACACTCAAAAGCTTAAATTTATTATGTTTCACATATTATGTTCAACTTTTGAACTATAAAAATTTAAACTTGAAACTCTAATTTGCAATCTTTATCACTTAGAACTGTTTTGTTATATGTTTTTTTTCTTTCTACAATGATTCATTCTTGTTAAATTAATATTCAGTTCTGCAATAAACTCACATAGGCACATAGGGTCAGATAAAGAGATAAAGAAAGATAATGCATAAAATTTATGAGCCAAAAGTGGCTCATTAATTTTATTTTCCCTCCATTTTCATCTGAAATAAAGTGATTTAAATAAATAAACTAAAAATATATCTAAATAAATTACAAGATTGATATAGTGTCCAAAAAATGGATATCTTCTTTGTTCTCTCTCACTTGTGTCACAGCAACTATAAAGGTGGATGTTTTTGATAAGGCAATAGCTTTGATGAATCCCCCAGTATACTAAAAAGAATATCTTAAAATTTTTACCAAATAAAATATAATTCAATTAGCATAATTAAATGTAAAGGTATCCAATGGTTTATAAATATGCTAGATTTCAAAAATTTAGAAAATATGATACTAATATTTTTTTTAAATTTTGTTATGAGCTCTACTAAAGCTATTACTACTCTTACTATTTTCTAAATAATTAAAATACATAATATATATTTATAGCAAATGGTATAAACAGTGTTCTCCCACAGCATTTTTAGAAGGACGGCCTACCCCGCCTGCCCTTTGATCTTATAAATGCACCCTCCTTTCCTCTTCTTTAAAAATAAGCTGCCATCTTGTTTGCCTTTTTGTCACTGCCTTTTTGTTTGATTTTTTTTCAGGAAAAGGTTGTTTTCTTCATCATCTGTTTTAATGAAATCACTTCTGATTTATTTAGTTACTGATAATTATTTAACTTCCCTTTTCAATTTCAGTCCTTAATTTTAGTAAGATTTTTCTTCAGTTGTCTAGTTATATATAGTTAAGTTATATTTGCATGATATTCGAGTTCAGCGATAATCAAATCTTTTATTTGGGGGGTACATAGAGTTTTTTAAGGATTTAAAATTTTTTAATTAATTTTTTTCAATATTTAAAAATGCACCATTAAATGTTTCTTTTCTCATAATTTTCATTTCAAAATATAAAAAAAAGCATTCAAGTTGTGTATCAATCAATCCTTTTTAGAAGTTTCCTTTTTTTTTTGAAGAAAATTTATACACAGAGATCGTCTTTTAGCTTGTCTTTAATTATTTTTCAGAAGTTCAAAATTTTTCTGTTATTTTGATACTTAATGAGAATTTTTTTTGTGAAGTATACACATAAAATAGTATGAGAGGATAGTTTAAAAATTGAGGATCAAATTCAGTTATTACATAATATTACAAATTTTAATAACTTTTAACGGTGGTGAGTGCTCTTTCAAAACTGTAAGTGCCCTTTTCTGTGAAAAAGCACACTGCCCTTTTTTTATTCCTAGGGAGAACTCTGGTATAAATATAAATTTTATTGTGTGCATAAAATTTTGTCTCATTTTAAAATCTAGCAAACAATAAGTAATAAATAATATCTCTTAAATCATGAACAATTTTGAGAAACAAAATATATTTTGAACAAGCTGTGACACATTAATTACAAACTTATTTTATTTGTAATAAAATTAAAATCTTGCTAAACATTTTTATTTTTTGCTACATAAAAATGCTAACTTAAAATAAACAAAGACACATTAGATGATAACCCCAAGTAGCACAGGGATATTGTTAGACACTGATGAATATCGATTGACATTGTGAACGTCGTACAGTATTGTACGACATTCATCAATAACACAATTTAATATACTGTTAGTTTATTTCATAAGAAGCTAATTTAGCAATAAAATTCAAGAAAATTTTTTAAAAGACAATAATAATTCATGTTTGCTGAAATTGTAAAAGAGTTAAAATTAAACATCTTTTAAGAATTATTTGTAAGCAATGGTAAATATGAACACAGTATTTTTTCACAATATTCCTCTGCATCTTTCTACCTTTTATATGAGAGCTATATCAGTTTGTGAACTAAACTTTTTAACGATAGAAACTGTTGTTTACTTCGCCTTAGGGATATGTAGATGGATGCCAATATTGGAATAGCGATAGTTAAAAGCGGTATGCAATATACATATATTTGTAGCAAAGTTTAAAAGGTATTAATTTCTTCTATGTAGTATTATTGAGTATTATATAGTTTATTATTTTTCACAAGTATTTTATTTAAAAGTATTTAGCAACTATGAAAATAATCATGTATTCAGTCAAAAATGTGAATATTTTAATTAATTATTTTTAACGTTTTATATATTTGATCATCTGTTAGTCCGTGTTGTAGGCTTAATCTGAAACTTGGTGATATCATGTTCAAATTTTCAGGTGCTTTAAATATTGTTTAATTTCAAATTGATTCTTTTTATGTTTCATTGTAACATTATAAAGAATGCAGAGTATTTTTTAAATTCCTTAAGAAAATTTTTTGTATAAGCTAACATTTCTTAGCTCATGGCAAAGCCAGATTAAGCGTACGCGGGGCTCTAGGCCATTCAAAATTTCGGGGCCCTTAGATTAAATTTTTTTTCTTGTATGTTTTTCATTTATTAAAATATAAAAGCATTTATATAACTTTTGATTTAAGAAAGCATATTTAAAATAAAAATAAATAATAATAAATTAAATTTTAATCAGTACAAAATAAATATGATTAACATTATATAAAAAAACATTATCGTATTTAATTAATATATATTTGAAATTGATTTTTTTTCAAAAAATCCTTATTTTTCTTAATTTTTTAAAATTTATTTTCAAAAAATCCATTTTAAGGGGGCCCTAGGCCATGGCCTATGGGTAATCCGGCACTGGCTGACGGTTAGGTTATTATCGAACAAACTAATATAATCAAACTTTACTGCGTATTGAAAATATCTTGATTATTTGTATATTAATTACATTCAAAATAAACATTCACTTAAAACATAAATAGAAGTTCTTAATGAATGGTAACACTCCCTAAAAATGCGTGTCAATATTTTTCCTGGCAAAGCTGCAGAATGTTTTGAATTTTACTTATAAATATTATGTGTCTTTCATAAAAAAATATAAAATAATTTAATAAATTATTTCGCATGTTTATTATCCAGTCCTAAAACATGACATGTAGTGTTTATTAATGTGGCTTTGTAATAAAAAAAAATTGCAATAATCCTTTAAATCATTCAATACATAAGTCTTGGAGATCATTCAGGATATAGATGTAAAACTGTGATTGGTAAATTGGTCAAGAGTTAAATGTAATAATAAAATACCAGAATTTATCTATAACAAAAATTGAGACCAGCAGCTCAAACACAGATTAGTTAAACAGATTTTTTAAAAACACTTTTGAAAATTGAAATTGCCTTTATATCTGATCATTAGTTATTATTTACTTGTATTTTGGTTGCCTTTACAAAAGTATTAAAGTAAAATATCAAGATAAAAGAAATGGCAAGTTTTTTTTAATATAATTTTTTAAATGTTTAATTTCTTCAGATGTTAAGTTTCCAAATTCAGTTTAGAAAAACCTATGAATTTTTGCACAAAATAAAAATGTTATCCATTTTGAATTTGTGTTATCAAATTTCTTATCAACTGAAATTCAAACAATGAAAAATGGTTTACTATATTAGCTTTATGAATATGAAGTATTTTTACACAATTTAAATACTAGCAAGAGTGCTACTTAAAATGAGGAGTTTTAATATAATTAGAGTTCATATTTGTTTTCATACACTAAAATTTTCAAAGTGTAGTTGCGATATATTGTGGTATTAAATATAGTGTTAAAAAAATTACTGAACTGGTAAATTTGCAATAAAAACAAACTGCCAAAACTTTATTTCTAACTTCTTTAATAGCAAATACTTGATTTAAATAAATATTTTTATTTTGCATTTCTCGTGTTCAATAAAATGAATTCAAATGTTATGCATTTAAATATATTACAAAGTTTTAAAATTTTTTTTATACCATAGTGCTAAAAGCTGAATGTATTTACAGTATATATTTTTTCTAACAAGTTTCCTAAATTAATAATTTACTATAAAAATATGAATGTATAAGAATTTATCAAAAGATATTCGTTTATTTGGAACACCACCAATAAGTTCAAAGTAGTAAATATAGAATTGCTTTTAGAATTTAAAAACATTTAGATTGAAATGTCTCTGATTAAACATATACTTTTATTTAAAATATTATGCAAAATTCATGAGAAATTATTGAGAAATTATTTAAGTAGTTAACTGAGTTAAATATCTAATACTTTAATCTTGCTGAGTATTTAGTACAAAATAACATAGAAAGAAAAATATTGAAGCAAATATGTATATATATGTATAAACAGTGAGGTGAATCAATAACTAATGCTTTAGAGGGTTAATAAAGCCAGCATATAGTAATAATTTAATGTTTGAATTGTTTTTTTAAAAACTTGAGAATTGTTTCTATTTTTATCATAAAGTCATAAAAATTAAGGGAAAAATTTCTTTGATCAACTTAATATTTAAAATATAGCTTAAAAACATATCTATTAGGGTATAAAAGATCAAACCAATGTAGAGAAGTTTTATCTCTTCATAATTTTATTTGAAAGTATAAGTAAGCATGTTTCATAAATGCATATACAGTACATACCAGCTAATATCCCAGGTTTATCAATAATTTTTTTGGATCATAATTTGAGTAGTATTAAATTTTATGCTTAGTCATTTTTTTTATTTAATAAGTTTGATTCAAATTGATTTTGCCTACAAAAATAACAATAAATACAATAATTGTCATACAGCTTTAAATATTGTGGGAAGTTGTTACTTCAGGGTTGGTACCTATGACAGTATACATAAGATGGAGATAATGCATATATATTTTTCTTCACACTGTCTTAATAACTACCATAAGTTGTCTTTGTTGTTAAAGTGCTTATCATTGGTAAATATCTTAAGGAAGCATTGCTGTCGCAATGTTTATTTTCCTAAATTTCATGATTTTACTATGAAATTTCATGCTTTAATAAACTATATTGCCTGTGTTCTATTGATTATTGATATTATTAGTTGAAAAACAAATAAGTCGTTTTTTTCTCAAGAACTATTTCTCTATTTCTAACTAATGTCAATGCAACTGACTGTAACACATAATTTTTTAAATTCTTCCCCCATTAATGTATTTTACCCATTTGCTTAAGAAAATGTATAATATATTTTTCATGCATTATCTATTATCAGCAAATTATATTCAATAAAATCAGTTGAAAACATTATTTTATGCAAAATAAAATTATGTGACATACGAGTATCATTTTCTTTATTAACCATTACCAAACACAATTTTTGGCATCTTTTTAAAGTCCTAGTGTCTTTGCATTACATTTTTAAACATTTGTCTATTTATGCTGAATTTCACAACTAGACATATAAAAAACTATTTATTTGAAAATGAAAAAATAGGTTTTAATAGAGAATTGTGGTCACTATTTAAAGAAATTTTCTACAAATATTTTTTTATAAGGGAAACTTTTAAGTACTGAGTTAATACCTATTTTTGTTGAAACAAATGGAATACGAGCATATCACAAAATATTTTTGGTGTATTTCTTCCCACTCAGTATACACGTACCCACACAGTACTTTTCTCTCTAGGTTTAATTAAAGATTTTAATCAGGAGAAAGTTTAGGTATTATAAAAAAAAAGTTATGCGAAGATTGAATTTCAGTGAGAGAAAAAAAAAGATAAGTAGAAAAATCCTTATCGTTGTAATTTTGTTTCATTTTAATTATTTTTATAGTTATTACAACAATTATTAAAAGAAATTTCAAACTGAAATTATAACAGGGCTTTTTGTACACTGGAAAAAGAGAAATTTTTTTTTTAGCAAAAGCCGTTTCATTGCTGCTTTATTTTCAGGAATGAGAAAAAAATATCCTTGACTACCAAGAATTGTTAAAAGTTCTAACATCTATGCATGATAGTTTTTCACCCAGTAGAAAGTAAATAATGCTGTATAGTTTAAAATAGGAAAAGCTTTACCAACTTTTTTAACAAAATAGTTGCTTCCACACGTAAATATATATTGAATGAAAGATATTCTATTTCTATTGAAAACTAGCTGGAAATGGTTTTATAAACAGTTTTTTCTCTTTTCCAGATTACAAACAATCCTGAATTTTTTTTTCAAATGTTACATTTTTTGAAAAATGAAGGTGATGATGGCCAGAATTCCACAGCATTTGTTTTGTGAATGTAGTTTTTACAATGTCGATTTACAGCGCTTGTTAATGCTCAGAGATACCTAATAACATTCTACAGCGTTTCTTTTAAGTATCAAACAATATAATTTTAGAATATTGAACAATATTAGAAATTGTGTCCATTTTTATATATCACAATATTTCTCAACGATATCGCTTGAAGTTGTGTTTTTATGATAGCGTTTTTGAGATTTGTGCTACTTGGGATTGGTAATGTTAATATTAAAGATAAATTAAGAATCAATAATTTTACCTTCAATGAAATTCAAATTACATATCCTCCTGAGATCCACGTTTTGTATAATGACAAAAAATGCTATTTTACCAAGAAATATGGAGGTTAGAACAATGTTATCTTATAAATAAGATTAAAAAAATTTAAAAATTACAATTGAATGTAATTAATTTTAAATTTCATAAAAAAGTTATATATTTAAGTTTTTCTTTTTTAAAGATTGTGGCATATTTTTGCAGTGTATTTTGACCCTGAAAAGGTTACCTACATCAATTATGTTTTTACATAGACAATCATTTTGTAAAAGCACAAAAAAATCTTTAAAAAATTTTTTTTGCACACTAAAATATTATCAAATGTTGTCCAATGTCTGGTTTCAGGAAGATATGAAAAAAATAACACTTTAAACAAATAAGGTTCTTAACATAATTTTAAAACATAATTTATCTAAAGAAAAAATTTTTTATTCTAAGCTTTATTCAGATTTAATTAATAGCTAGAAAATTTAAACTACAATAACAAGAAATAATATGACTTACAGTTTTCTTTCCAACACAGACTAAACTGAATCGTTTTGAAACATCATTCGGTTTCCACAATAAAATGGTTCCTTGCACATCAGAAGTAATCAGCATTTTGTTTTCATTTGATATAAGAATTCCATTAATGGATGATTTATGGTTTAAAAATGCATCTGGGGTATCGGCACTAATTTTCCAAACATTTATTGTTCCATCAAGAGAGCTTGAGATTATTTCACCATTTCTATTGATACTGCATGATGTGATACTTTTGCTGTGTCCTTCAAGTGAATACCAATATAATTTCTAGAAAAAAAAAACACTTTAAATATTTCAAAATATACACTAACATACAAATAAAATTAGGTTTTTAAAAATAATTTGATTGATTTTAGTAAATTAAAAAAGAGACTACCAATTAATTTGAAGTTTTGCACACCAATCAATTTTAAGGCTAAGATATATGAGGAGAAAAAAAACTTTTCATTAAGCTTGAAGTAATTTTAAAGTTAAAGGTTGTTCAAAGATGAAATTTTCACTTCAAAATCGATGTTAGTTTCTACTTGTTGAAAAGAAACATTGTTATCGTTAAAAAATTATTTTAATTCAATATTTTTTATTCCTAATAGGTGCAATAAGAAAATTAGAGGTGTAAAATAAGAGCTGTTAGAAGTGCGATAAAAAATAAGGTGAATAAATTTTTACAGCAGCAACTGCTGATCAGGATTGAAGCAAAGTCAGGGATAGTGTAGTACAAATCCATTTTAAAACATTTATTTTGTTATTTTTAGATTTTTATACAAAGCACAACAATTAATAGTTCACGCCAAAAACTTTCAAGATTCTGAAGATTCGGGAAATTTATTAAAATATTGCTTTTTTAAGTTGCACAAAACAAAAAGATTTAGAAGTTTTAAAAAAATGAGCTTCTTGAAGCTAAATTTTAAAATTTATATCGAAATTATAATTGAAAAACTCAGGAATACTTTCTTAATTATAGCTTAAATTGAATAGAGTAAATAATCTTACTAGGCAGAGTCTACTTTTTCTCTGCTTAATCTACTTATATTTATTTCATGGTGTATATTTCCTATTTAAATTATTTAAATTAAGAATGATAGTTATTTAATTTTTAAAATTTATACTATTTTCAGCTTACGTTTATTTTTAATATTAGAGTTTGGTGTTAAGTCATCTTCATTCTCTTAATTTTTAAAAGCTAAGCAGTGTTATTTTTGCTTGCAGTGTTTTTTTCATATAAATACAATTTTCTTTTATTTAAATTTCTATTTTTTATTTGAAGATTGATTTAAGATTACTAATTGTGTGGTTTTGATTCAAAAGAAATAATATCTGACACTATGTTCCATTGCAATATATCACTATATTGCAATATCTAACAGACGATATATCACAATACAAAATTTCTTACATCACCTAGTCCTACGTATGGTTTGGATTAAAAAAACTCATCTGCTACATGCTATAAAAATAAGGAAACTCCTTCAAATACAAGTTTGTTGCAAAGTAGCAATGGGGAAAATCTTGTAACAATAAAATTGAAACTTCTTTCAACGGTAAGGAATATATCTAAATAATATTTCATTTACAGTAGATGTTTTATTGATGATAAAATTTTATCTAAGAAATGCGAAAGAATTTCTTTGTGAGGTGAAATATCAGAAGCAAATCCAACTATTTCTGATTTAAATTAACTTTTTAACATCTTTGAAAAAACAAAAAATGGATTATTTTGCCTAATTTTACTTAAAAATGGAGAGGAAAATTTTACCAATAAAGTAGTGTACATCTTTATTGGTAAAATTTTTTCCTCTAAAGAAAGTTCTAAAGAAAACTCAAAATGCTTCTTTAGCTTAACCAAAAGAAACAATAAAAATTTGTGATTAAAAACTATTAATGTAACAAGTTATTATTAAGAAAAGTTTAAAACCTGAATAGGTTTAGTTATTTTCACACTGCCATCTTTATCAACATATGCCAGAGTGACATCAAAGACTCCTCCTGCCACATCTATGCAAAAAAACATACAATAAAAATTAATATTTTAAAAAATAAAGAAGTAAAAAATATACTTACATTACAAAATCTTAAAAATATACAAAAAACGTGATTAGTTATATGATAATAAAGTATAAATTATTTTAGCTTCAAGATGAGTTTCAGAAACAAATTTGTTTTCCACATATACTTTAGAAAAAAGTGATTCTAAATTCTTGTTCACCATTATTTTATAATCAAAAAGAAAGCAGAAAGTTGGAAAAATAATTTAATAGACAATATTGAGTTTTTGAATGAAACTGTTACAGCTCACATCGATTGAATGCTTTAAAATATCTTTTTCATTAAATAGATGCTATCTATAACTCAATAATATTTGTAATGACTACATGAATTCAAATTATTGTCTTACTTTTTTCAACTAAGAATGATAATATTGTAGATGATTGATCAATTCCAGGGACATAACTTGATAATTTCCCATCTATAGACCACATGGCAACACTACCATCATTAGCACATCCAATGATATAATCATTCTGAAAAATAAAACAATAGGAGTTGAAAACAGTTTCTATGAAAATTAAGTTTAAAAAGATAAAATGAATTTTATAATTTAGAAACAAATTTTTTATTTATAATTTATTATGAACTAAAATTGAAATTAACCCTCTGACTCTTAGTGTTGTACTTTTTCAAATTGCATTAAAATACCAGTTTCTTCATGTTAGCAAAAGAAAAAATTGCAAGTAGCAAGAAAATTTCTGCGTAATTTTACTCAATGGCTCATGGGTTTGGAGGGTTACAAAATATTTAACAGTAACTAAAATATAGATTATTACAACACTGTTCTTGATATACATCAAGTTAGAATATTAAAAATACTTCATTACTTTCTTCTAAAAAAATAGTAAAAAATAGATACTTACTGAGAAACAAACATTTATTACGCTTGTCTTTAATCCACATAAGATTTTCTCCCCATAACCTTCAGTCATAATAATATTATTATCATGTGAGCCAGATAAATAATATCGAGGATAAATCTAAAGAAAAAAAATATTAAAAGCAAATAAAAAAATCAACTTCTAATTTTAGACATATAAACCTGTTGTTTTAGAATTATAAAATAGTAAATTCATTTAGCTAAGAAGTCAAATAAGCTCAACAGTGTGTACTCTTGAAGCAGTTGTGCTGTTCTGACAACAAGACGCTCCAGTGGCAGAGATGGTTAAGGCTCTGCTCACACCGCTGGTAGAGACCTGGGGTTCAGGAGTTTAATCCTGGCAGCGGACTAAACAACCGGTGTGCGTACGCAGCAAAGTTGCACATTAAATCTGTCAAGGGCGAAAATCCTCTCATCAGTTAGAGGGTAAAAGCTTAGAGAAAAAAAGGCACCAACTCAGGCACCGTCCGTGTAGTCTGATCAGGTTCAAAATGATACAACATTCCTGCCACAGCTGTTAAAAAATGAGGATAGGTGCTTAGCTATGATTGGGTGGTGAGTATTTCCGCAACAAATCTGGTGATCAAGCTTGCTAGGAAAGATAACTGGGAATTAATAATTTAAATCCAGGTGACCTAATCACCTGCCAAAAATTAGAAATAACGCTGAAAGTCTAAGATCATAAGAATGGATGATGTAGCTAGTCACACAGATTTCATACTTCTCAATATTATGCTCACATATTTCAGTTGATTTATTTGGGAACGGAAGAATGATGCTTTATCACAGTCAAAAACTAAATTCTTCTTCGTGGCAGTACAAAAGCAATTCTGTAAAGCAGTTCTGCAGTAACAAAAAAAGTTTAATAAAATTTTTGAATTAATATTAAAATTTATAACATTTAATTAATATTTGACAAGTTAATTTTTTAATAAATAAGCTTCAATTTATTTATTTTTAAAAGATTTTTAATCCAAGTTTGTTAAAAGTGTTGGAAAAATTTACTTGAGTTTGATGAACATCACATGATGGGTAATGTTTTATTTACTGTACACATTTCAATCTGAATAGCATCACCTTATAATGCTTTTTCACAGTCAAAAACCAAATTCTTTTTTAGTAGTTTTCTTCAATAATAAACTAATTTCTAAAATTTTTTGAATTAATATTAAAATTCAAAACATTTAGTTAATGTTCCAGAAGATAATTGTTTAAGACAACAAAATAAGTTTCAATTTATTTATATTTAAAAGCTTATAATCTTAGTTAAAAGTGTTGGAAAAGCTTTGTTGAATTTAATGAATAACACGTGATGGGTGGAGCTTCATTAACTGTACACATTTCAGCCTACATATCATCTCAGACTTGGTAGCCAAGAAAGAGATTGAACAGGTAACAAATTCTGCCAAGAATAAAATTAAGTAAAAAATACTTGGAAATGCTCCTATTCGCTAATAATTTCTAAGCCAAACTAGTTTCCTATTTAGTAACAGGATGAGGGTTGATGTGTACATTGAAACTATGCAGGAGGGAAAAGCATAGTGGTAAAAAGTAAATGAACACTTACACTGTGATAATCAACATAATAACTACACAAAATTCCATCACTATGCTTAGTTGTCACGTCTTCATAATGCATAAGCTCTATCGTTTCCTTTATATCAATGCGCCAAATTTTTAAAACCTATTAGGAAATAATTTTCTTTATTTTGAGTTTTTTTTTTAGAGAATAATATAAATAAAAACAAGTATTATCATACTTTATCATATCCAGATGACATCACAAGTGGAAAATATTTACCAAACAGGTGTAAGGAGAGAACTGAACCTTTATGCACACCATATACATATGCTGACTTACTGGAATAAAGTTTCACACTTTTAGGTATTTTATAAATTATATGTTTTGGATTATGTTTAAAATGATCAATATATAAAATTTAAAAGATATTTCAGTTTGTGATATTTCTAAGCCTAATAACTCTATTAGTTTAACTTCTGATTGGATCTGGAATTCTTGATTTTCAATCTCATAAAAATGATTTTCAGTTACTGAAATTTACCATAACAGTATTTTTTTTAAATGAGGTACGTACAATTAGACAATCATAAGAAAATTATATGATTCCTCTGGGCTATGCGCATTTCCGTTAAAAAAAAACTTATACACAGAGGGACCTCGAGTTTACATTGCCCTTTTTGTATGTTCTTCCGCTTTTAACTGATCAAAATAATTTTTTCACTACAAAGCTCACACAAACTTTTTTCAAGTTCTTTCTTTTTTTTCCTAAAAAAAGAGAGACTTGTTTATTTGCTGTTTGAAGTTGTTCAGAGATTTTTTCTATTCCATCTCATTGACCTTTTGCTTGTGAGAAAGGAATCACCCCTTGAGTCAAAATCAGAAATGCGGTGGGATCAGCAAAGCACAGAAAGGGTGGTATGCACCTTATTCCTCAGGACATTTCTTTGTACTAGTTGGCGGTACAACAAGAGGTGTTTATAACTTCCTCTAGACAATACAGATGCATTAATTTACACTAATATGTGCTATGAAGTTTATATTTTTGTTTAAAGTTTTAAAAAATTCTTATAAGTGATTTAAGTTCTGGTCAATATGCAATGAAGAGGAAAAAAAATCAAAAATGCAGAAAAGATGAGAGAATGATGTTCACATAATACTCTTGATGGTTGTGTAAGAAAACAAAGGTATTTTTAAATTAACTTCAGTAAAATTTTTATCTTTACGACATAAACTTGAAAAAGAGTTAAGTTAAATTGAAAGAATAACTTTATGAGTTATTCATATAAAAATAAAAAATATATAACTCAAATCTTTTTGCTTATCAGTACACATCAGTTTGAAAAACTAAACTGAACCTATTTTTCATTTTTCCAGTAATAAAGTCACACAAATTTAATTACGTAATAAAATCAATCATTCAATATTTATTCTTATAGTTATTCAATAAAATTTGATTCATATAATTGCATCAATAAACGAAAACAAATCAAAATAATATACTAGCAGCTTACGTAACGTAAATCGCAATTCCACCCAAATGATATCTTTTTTTTTAACTCAACAAACTACATTGTTCTTTCACTAAGAATTGAAAAATAAAGTTAATAACTGTTTAAAAATATTCAATATTGTTCTAATTCTATTGTTTCAACTGCATTACAAACTAAATTTTACGGAAATAAATGAACTCAGGACGTTAAAAAAAAAGAAATAGTCACGTCGTGCTATGATGTCATGGAAGAGCTCTAGATTTCAGACGTTTTTTTTTTTTTTTTTTTTTTTTTTTTTTTTTTNTTTTTTTTTTTTTTTTTTTAAGGATAGATGGTGAATGTGTGTGAGGAAGTATGGGAGTTTAAATTGTAAAATTTTAGAGTAGACTTTTTTCCAGTAAGCTTCAACCTTTGAATCTTGGAATAATTCAATCACACATCCCATTACTTTTCAATTCCTTCAATATCCGATTTATTGTTTGCTTTTGATGATAGTGATGAAAATGAAGAAGATAAGCAAAAAGTAATGAAGAATATATCCTCAACTGATGAAGAGTTTGAAAGCATAAAAACTCTGAAACATTTGCAAATGTAAACCATAAAGCAAATTTGCTAACAATAGTAAGTACTGAGAGGGACATTGTTGAATTCGTATTTAAAAGCAAGATCATGTAAATATTATATATTTTTCCTAGCAGTTCATTTTGTAGGTGCCTATTTTTGAAAAATATACTTAGATTTTTTTTAAGAAAAATTGGGGTTCCACTGTAATAAAAATGTAACTCATTTTCTATGAATAACATAAATCACACAAAATTTCCTAGTGCTGTTATTATTAAAATTAAAGAAATATTTTAACTTACTAATCTGGATAACGAAATACACCAATATCACCATCAGAATTTCCACAAACAATCATTTTTGGGTTATGAACAATTGAGGTAACTCGAAATTTCATCAATCCAATCGAGGATACAGATGATTCAGTAAAGTTTCCACACTGTAGTATACAGGTTTCAAATCAAATTTAATACCATTAATATAATTGCAAATGACAAAAATAACTGTGAATCAGTGATAAAATATAATTAGTAGCTTAAATTATATAATATAGTCATTTAAAGTGAATGTAGTTTTCAAAGAGTGAGTAACAAAATTTGAACAAGAAAATGTGCTGAAGATAAACCAACAAAATTTAATGTAAATTTTAGAAATTATGGAAGATTGAAAATCCATACTTTAAAAATTAGAAGCTGAATTGCATTATAAGCAAGTTTATTAGCAGTTAAATGCAGATATAACTAGGAGAAAGCCGGACATTGTTTTTAAGTTTTGGTTTATGTCCAGTAGAGATTCCTGAAGTTTGTCTTTTCCTATAAAAAGAACTTTATCTTACATTTACTGACAAGGCGAAACCTAAATGTCGTTACTTAGTCAAACACTAACAATAGCAATAAGGAGCACTAACAATAATAATATGAGTAATACCACACTAACCAATAAGTGATGTCTAATTTATTATTAGTGATATATTTTTTGTATTAGAAGGAATTATTTGATTCAGTGTAAACACCAACACTTAAACCGGTTTTCCCCATGTTATTTAATGGGAAAAGAGTGTGCAGCAGAAAAGGTTCGGTTGTGTAGAATATTGCGGAGAGCTAAATGTTTCAAAGGTTAATAATCTCTAAACTGATAGTTTTCAAGACTTCATTTATTCAATTTGGTTTTATACAATTTTGGGTAAAAAAATGCATCAGAAATAATTTTTCCCTTTCCACTAATTATTTTGGTATTGAAATCTTATTTATAATGCAGAAAAAAGCCGATTGGAAAAAAGGTTAATAAAGGGTTTCAACCATAGTACCAAACAATATAAATGCCCTGATTATAAATAAATACCCCAAACACATCTAGGACCAGCCATAGGCTTTGGAAAGAGCAAAAAACTTTTTTCTATAAAAACAATTGAATTAATAGTTGACTGACTCTTTCATATTTTTATAGGTTTTAGGATTTTATTTAGCAGTAGTTTTTTTATGTTCAATATTTTAAGCTACAATGGTTTCCAAATAAAGTAAAACATCAACAATAATTATTTTATTAAATATAATATATTAAATGAATTTATATTAAAAGGAATTCATAAATAAAGACCATCTTATAGCACATAAAATAGTTTGTGGATTGTTGAATTTGATACATTTGAAAGAAAAGGGACAATGCTGTGTAATGATATTTTCATACAAGTTTAAATTGTGCTTATTTATTGTCCAAAAAATTTGAATAATTTTTTTATTTCTTTTTTTAACTCTATATATATGCAATAAAAATTAAAAAAGCTTAAATTAATTTTGAATTTTCTTACCAGAACCTTTCCAGATTGAGTTCCAAATATCACACACATTTCTGTCCATTTTTGTTGTTTAACTGTATCAAGGTCAATGTTATCACTTGGTTTACTGATGTACGAGACAATGTCTGAATTAATGACGAATTTGGCCTCTACAGAACCTGCATGTACACATAAAAGAATGTTGGAATGCATAAAAGAACATTGTAAATTTGATTTAACTTACTTACAAATTAAAATACATTAGTTTACAAAACCATCGTTAGAGCCCTTTGACCATAAGCTACCTTTTTTTTGTATTGCCAATAGTAAAATACTAGTAGAAATTTAATAAAATGCATTATTATTTATCAGGTAAATATTGCATACTCTTGCAAGTGTAGTAAACAAATATCCCCTTGTTACATGAATAAGACAATTTATCTAGATTATATTCTTGTGATGCAAGAATGTAATAAATGGATAGATTAATTCAAGATGTTGAGTCAGTTAAGCTAAATTAAATTCAACATAAATATATGTAGTTAAAAAGAATAATGCAAAATTTCTCATTATTCAATTTCATTTTCAGTAACACTAGATAATCAAACAAGTGTCTCATAAATTATGTATTCTATAATGAAAATACATTTATCAAATAGACTACTGAATTCAGCCAGTTTTATTAACATGGAATAAAAAATGTTACCATAGCCAATGTTAAACATTAGTCAACATTTCAAACATTACTTTTATTGTTTTAGTACACAGATTAAAAATATTTATCCTTAATTTGCTTGAAATTAATATTAAAACTCGTGTGTTTTTAATTTTTAGTCAGGGAGTTGAATGATTGGTCAGAATGACATAGCTAATGTACAGAAAAAACTACACTATGCAGAATAAAAATTAATAAATCTCTCAAAAGAAATATTTAACACATATTGTTAAAATTTTCTTTAAACACACAATGAATTAATAATTTATATTATAAATAAATAATTATAGATTAATAAAAAGAATGTTCATTATCAAATGGAACAACTAATTTAATGTCAAGTACAACTCAATGATATGATTCAACTATTTTAAAAACCAATATGCTGAAATACTTTTCAAACCATGATACAGAGTTCTCCCTATTTTAACAAAGCAACAAATTAAGGACTTTTTTGGAAAAAAATTAAGGACTTTTTTGAAAAATTAAGGACTTCAAAATAGTATGTTTATTTATCATCAAATACGTTTGAATCATTACAAAAATTTGGCAAAAAAATGCATTTTCCATTCCAACAAGTATCTTCACGTAACAAGAAAAATTTAAACAAAATTTTTTTATTAAAATTTATATTTTTATTAAAATTAGAATAACTCAAATGAAGAAAATAAAATTTTTTATTATCTCTAGAGATAAAATATTTTAAGGGGCATTTTGAAAGATTTTAAAGATGGTTCTGAATGTGTTTCAATAAACCAAAACACAAATATTAAAGTTTTACACAACCAAAGTTTCTTTTAACAGCCATGAAACTTCTGAGTTTTTAACACAAGTATAAGTGAATAACAGGGGAAAAGAAAAAATATTTTTTGTTGTTAATTAAAAGAATAAACATTTAATACTTTTTAAGCAAATTATATTTCATGTTAAAAATTAGTAAATTTCATGCAATACAGTTTTACATTAGTAATGAAATGTGACTTAAGAGATATTTAATTAAAAAACAATTTTAATACTTAATTAAAAAATTTTGCTACATAATTATTTTTTATATTTAATAAGCTATTAGTAAAGTAACATATATTTTGAAAAAACTAGTTTAAATTTCACAGATAAATATTATTGCATTGCATAATATTTATTACCAGTATACATGTTCATAATCCACATTTCTGAGTTCTGAAAAACAATAGCTAGAAGGTCATGGGATATTATTTCCAGCATACTAATAGGGCAAAATCTACACTCTGACAACTTGTTGATACACACACCATCTGCTGTTGGCCAAATCTAGAGAAATATAATTACAGATATTTGTTAAACATTCAAACTCGATGAGCACAAAGAAAATATTTTTATAAAATTATACATAACAAAAATAAGTAAATTACTAAACGAAACAAGCAGTTGAATAATTCCAACTAATTAAAAATAAAACATGATTAATTTTATGATTAAGTTAAAACAATGAAAAAACCGAATTATGTTAAACTATTATTTTTCATAGGATTTTATCGATATTTTATATTTTTTAGTATGGTTTCTAAATTTTGTTTACACATTTAAAAGGTGTTCAACAACATTCTCTAATTTAATTTTGTTTGAATATAATTACAAAACTAAAACTGAAAAAAACAAGACATGTCATATCATTAAATCATATTATTACCTTAAGGGTACAGTCTTCACTACCACTCACAATCAGATTCTTTTCAACAGAAAAAACTAAAGATTTTACTGGTAATGCATGTCCTTTCAGATTTGCCACCTGTTTGGAAAATAAATAATTAAACATAATGATGTAGCATAGGAGGGGGGGGGGAGTGTCCCTCTAATAATTTCAAAAAATTTCCATACCATATTTTATAAAAATCTTATAGAATAATCATATCATAATTATATTTGTAGTCATAGCTTTTTGAGAAAGTCATGCATAATTTTTTAGTTTAAAGAATAAATTTTTGAAAATTTTGATATTGAAACTATAAATACTGCAGCTAGAGGAAAAAAATTTATCTGAAAATGAGGAGATTTCAGTTTATGAATTGAATAATTTTAACTTTAGTCATCTTGTGACGCATCATGACATACATTCCATTCGCTTAAAAGTTTTTAAGACAGAACTAAATATGCAAAAACTGAAATTGAAGTTGCCAATCTCCTGTAAATTTGACCTGAATTTAGGATCCTATTTTTCTAAATACAACCCCTTTGTAAAACCTGCCGGCAGCCAATGAACATCTCTCTCACACATTGTTCTCTCTCCATATCATTTTTAAGACTATGCATTTTGCTCAAATATAAGTGTATGCTGTTTCAATTTTGATGACTATTTGTTTCAAATTCAACAATTATTTTTTTCAGAGCTTATTTGGGCACATTTTGTTTACTTTTAAGAAAACCTTTTTACAGTATATGCCTGAATCAAAATATAAAACATAAATTATGCCCAGACCAAAATGTAAATCACAAATTCTGCCTAAATAAATTGTTTTTGAGAACCATTTCATGTCATTTATGATCAAAATGAGTCAATAAAACATATTGCTCAATCTTAACAAATTTAAAGGAGTTAAGTTAAAAAATTCTTTAATTCAATAATCACATTTAATTTTCCTTTTTAATTTGTTTCTGATTCATAAATCATTTTTGTTTTACTGTTGTGATAGTGTGTATGCAATAATTAAATTACAATCACCCTAAATAATTTACGCAACTATAACACATATAAATGTGATAAAAGAGATTTTTAATAATAACTACTATTAATGAAATATCATTTTTAGTAATAACTATTTTCAATAAAATAATAACTTCTTTTTAACAATAATAATATTAAAATAATAAAACTGATTTTAAAATAATAAAACAATCAAAGTTTACGTTGTTATGTTATTCTTGCAGTTTGTATTGGCTCACACCCCCAGTCAAAGAAACGTTTACAAGCCACTAAATTTATCATACATTTTTTTTCCCTAAGCTCTAAATTTAATAAAAATAATTTTTGGGGAGGCGGAATGTAATATAAAAAGTCTCATACGAGTTTTTTTACATTAAATCATGATAGATTTATCTTAGATTTAGCTTAAAATAGATTTCTCTTATTGATTTTAAGACGCAGAAAGCATTCTTTCATAAAGAGTTATAAAAACTCAAGATGCCAATTAAATGGTAATAATTCTCAGAAAAATACTGATTAAGAAATCCCAAAAATTCCCTATTGTATGAATGGCATCATGCTTTTGAACAAATGCAAATTTAAAATTTTCCCGTTTGAATGACGTTTGAATAAGTTAGGGATATTTTTGCAACCAAACCCCTTTTAGAATCCCTGATTAAATAGAGGGAGCTATTTTAATGCTTAACTGTTTCATATTTTCATGGCCAGATAAATCTGTGACAAATCCCAACATTCCTGTTATGGGAAACCACCCAGGGCCGTAACTACGCCTGGGCAGTCGCGCCCCGACGGTCAAGGGGGACCACATCATGTTTCTTCAAAATTAAGTAATTAAGAACTCTCATTATATAAATATATGTAGGAAAGAAATTGTGCTAAGATAGAATTGATGAAAATTTTCTTTTTTGTAATTGCATATATATTTTAACATAAAGGGAAGGGGAAAAAATGGTCAAAGACCTTTTCTGAAGAATATTTCCATTTCTTAAAANTTTTGGTATTGATTTCCTATTACTTTCGAGTCTTAAATTTCAGTGATTTTATACTTAAAATGCTTTCAAAATAAAATGAATTATTTATTAAGGATAATAAATTATATAAAATTATTGTTTACAGGAAATTACTTTCATGTAAGGGAATTTTTTAAATGTTATCTCACTTTTATGTAAGCATTTTTGATAATGCAGTTATTGTATATCAGTAATTCACTAGGTATGGTCAAACAATATCGTAGATCTTCCTGAATGAAATGGTTTTTCAGATTTCACCTGTAATGTTTGTAAATATTTAATTGTTATTAAAATAGCTTATTAAATTCGAATACATTTTCTTTAGGAAACAAGTTATATATTCTAATTGTAAACCAGAGCCTGTTAATTATAATTTACTTTTTTACTACAAATTACAATTTCCAAATCAGCTTAAAAATAAGTTTATTGCTTTGTTTATCGACATTGCTGATAAGAATTTAATTTAATTGAATAATCTTATAGACTATCTTATACACTATCATAAATGCCGAAATTACTGAAAACATTTTGAATAAAGCCAACGTTGTATAATGCTTTCTGTTAATCACTGATATTTTAATGATAATGTTATCATTAAAATAGTATCATTAAAATATCATTAAACCCGTTCATAAAAATTTTGATCCCTGAATGGAAAAAAATGTTAATATTTTTATCATTTAATTAACTTTTTATAGATATTTTTTATCAAATATTTTATTTATTTCCATTTTGTTCTCCACTAACCAGTTTGGTATTTTTCAGTAATCAATTTTATTACAGTGTGCGTTTCATTAGTGAATGTTAGATGATAGATAAAATAATTTAAAATACATTAAATTAATAATATATCTTTTAAATTTGAGCTAGTGCAGATATTTTAGACTTTGTTTTAATTTAACAAAAAATTTTTTAAATCTTAAAATTCTTATAAAAAAATTCTATTTAATGCTTAATTAAAGAAAACTGAATTCAATTATATCTAAATTTATGATTATACATAATTTTAAATACTATACAAATATTTAAAAAAAAATAATCCAGTTTTTTTTTCTAAATTTTTTTACATTGTATTATATAATTTCGGTACAGTAATTTCGTTCTTTTTGGTATTAATTTCCTATCAATTAATTATCAATCAATTAATATATAAATTAGTTATTAAGGATAATAAGTTATATAAAATTATTGTTTAAAGGAAATTGCTTTCACACACAACGGATTTTTGTAAATGTCATCTCACTTATATGTAAGCAGTTTTGATAATGCAGTTTTGTATATAAGTAATTCAATAGGTATAGTCAAACAATATTGCAAATCTTCCTGAATGAAATGGTTTTTCTGATTTCACCTGTAAGGTTTTTAAGTAATTGTTATGAAAATAGCTTATTAAATTTGAATACATCTTCTTTACGCAGCAAGTTATATATTCTAATTGTAAACCAGAGCTTTTTAATCATTATTTACTTTTTCACTGCAATTACAATTTCCAAATCAGCTTGTAATTAAGTTTATTGTTTTAATTTGGTCCTTTATAGCAAAACATGACAAATGCAAAGTTATTAAATGGCATTGCTGATATGAATTTAATTTAATTGAATAATCTTATAGTAAGTCTTATAATAAATAAATAAATTTGTATAAAAGAAATTTGAGTCCTGGATCAGATAGCAGCAAAAAACATCCCGATTAAAAATTTATCTTCAAGTCACGATACAATCATAATAGTATCTGTTATCTGGATTTTTTTAATGGTGTAATTTTAATTGCTATTCACACATTTAAATACTTAAGTCAGTTTACTAGATACATTAGTTGACTTAAAAATTGAACAAATTACATTAACTATTTTAACAATTATAATAATAATAATATATATATATACAGGGGAAAATGTCAAAATGAATAGATTTATTAGAGAAAAGTTTTATAGTGAACCTTTTAAATCATTTGCTGCTAAAAACGAGTTTAAAGGCAACAAATTGAAGATTTCCAAAAAAAAAAAAAATCATCAGTCAGGACAATTGCTGAAAGCAATTTTCCTTGATCACTGTACGGGGAAAGGATAGTAAATCCAGTTCTTTTGCGACTAAGCCGAAAAGGGAAGCTAATAGGTAGGCATTGACAATAGCAACTTATCTTGTTTGAAAAATACTTGGAATCTATTTCCATTCACTAAACGCCGCAATTATTTGCTGTACCATTTGGTAGAACTCTCATATGATTAGTAGGTAAAGTCTGTAAATGAGTGCAGGTGGTTAAATATAATTGACAATACGCTCATTTGTAATGCTAAATCTNAAATTTAGACATTAATAGAATAAAATCAAGTAAAGTTGAAAATTTTAGAAAAAAAATTGTTGCTTAAAACTTCGACGCTATTTTCCAAATCGAGAACTTCATTTTCCTCTTGAATTATAGTGAGGGGGTCGAAAACTTTATTTTCTTCTGATATAAAAGTAAGAGGGGCAAAATTGTGTAAACTATTTTCCAAAAAGACAATTTTATTTTCCTCTTAAATTAAAGTGATGGGGCGAAGAATATACTTCACCCCTTCTGAAATTCAGACATTCGCAAAAATAAAGTAAAATTAATATTTAACTCTCATTTTCGACTTTAAATCTATTTTCCTAATTGAAAACTTTATTTTCCTCTGAAATTTAATTGAGAAGGAAGATAATGTTCTGAATGCCCTTCTGAAAGTTTGACATTCGCTACAATAAAGTAAAATAGATTTGGTAATTTCAGAAAAAGAAACTACTTTTCTTCCAATTTACTAGCTATTATCCAAATTGAGATAGAAAACTAACTAAAACTTTTTATTTGATGATCGATGAACATAGAGAAAAAATGTTTGTGCTTTCTGTGCCAAAAATACAAAATGAGCCAATTGTGGGGTGAGAAGTTATTGACAATGTCAACACTCATCTATATAAAGGCCCCCCAACATAGAATCGAGTTAACATGTCTTATATACTAGTGAATTGGAATTGTATTTTTGTAGTAGTAGATACCCTACACCAATAAAGTAAATTTTCACATATAATTTTTTTAATCATGTAGAAATGGAAAATGCTTTGACAAATTGGCCCCCAGAAAATAACTAAATAAAAAATGTTAAATGGTGAATAGGGTCAAAGAAAGGTAATCTCCCATGATTACTATATGACTTCTAATTCTTCAATTGCCCCCTGACACTTGTTAGGAGCTACAATGAATAAGCTCCCATTAAAATAACTACGTAAAATATTTTTTTCCTAACTGAAAAATGGAAAATTACCCTCAAGCTAATAAAACATTTCTTTAAGAAAATCATTTTTTCTCTTCATTATGCAATTTAGTGAAGAAGTAACATTTAAAATTTGTTTCACATAAATTTACTAAATTTTGTTTTTATAAGCTGATTATTAAATTATCCGATATGGAAGTAAGTGAGAACAATTGTAATACATTCTCAAGAATTCTTTTACATGACATTAAAAAAATACTATATTAAAAAAAGTACTATTAGTTAATCAATTACAAAAACATACTTACCTTTAACCCTTCTTCTGCAGACCAAATGACAATGTCAGAATTAATAAAAGAAGAGATTATGTTAACACCATCAGAAGAATAAACTATTGATTTAACAGAGCCACAATGACTTTTAGCAGTCTAGAAGACAAACAAAACATAAATCAGCAAATACAAATTGTTAACAATTTCAATTAATTACCACTAAGCCCTAAGCCTTCATTACAGTTTTCTTTATATGAATCAAAATTCTTCAATGGATGGTTCACTGAATGTAAACAAAAAAACAAGTTTCCTAAAACAGCTTTCTTCTTAGTTATGTTTTACACAAAATTCTAAAATTTATAAGTGTTTTTTTTTTGTAATTTACGAATTCTAATAGATCATGATCCTTAATAAAAATAATTGTATAAAGTATACATTGTATAAAGAACAGAAAAAAATATCAATAACAGTTTAGGCAACTCAAGTACTATTTCTTAATTATATTTGAAATATTTATTCCAAAAAATTTACTGGACGCAAAATATACTTTATAATAAGAGAGAGGAAAATTAATGGTTGCAGAACTTAGTATTGTAATTTTATTTAGCTTTTCTGTATAGCTAAGTAAATAATGTGTGGAATGACATTATGAAACTATTGTTCCATGTCTTACTGCTTCACAACAATACAGGAAATAAATAAATTATATTGCTGAATTATTCTACTACCATCCAAATCTTCCCCTTGCTTACTCTAAAAATAAAATGCAACAGAAATACAAAATCTAATATTATATAGCATCAAAATCAATGCAAAATAATGCTATGGCGAATGGTAGATAATATTAGTTTGTTTAAAATCTAATGGTATATAATGCAGAGAAAAGAGCGATTTTTTGTATCTTTCTAGTATTATAAAGGTGTGCATGATAACGTTAGATTTTCTGATGTTATCTAATATTAAGTTCTACTTCGGTAAGTTTATTTAAGCTTTTTTTTAAATTTCATAATTTCTTGCAGTTGAGGAATACTCCAAAAGAATTGCAGAAAATATAGTGACAAATCTTCTCGACATTTCACATTTCTCTAACTTATGCAATACATTTTGTTTACAACAGTATAACAATTTCTTTTAGATCATCTTTAATAGTATTTTTGATAATGATTGAAATCGTGCACTTTAGGAAAAAATATTCTTCTATTCTTCCTTTAACTAAACAATTTGATAACAATTCTATTATTTCCTGTCAGTCACTCAATCTCATCTAAATATTTTGCAAAGTTTTTTTGTTTAATTTTTTCTTCTTTTGACTTTCAATTTTACAGGGCTGAAAATCCTGATTGGGATTACCGTATTTTTCGGCGGAAGCGCCGCGGCGCTATGGAAAAAAAAGTTGTTTTTTTCCTACATGTGGCGCTTCCGATGCAGCGGCGCTTCCGACGAAATATTTTTTAGTAGCAAAAAATTTTTTCAAGGAAAGTTATTTAAGATTAAATAATTTTCTGAGAGAAAGACTATTAAAAAAAATTAATAACGAAGTCGACGAAATATTCGCCGGTATCGCGATCTGCTGCAGAACATCGGCAATTGTAATTTGAGCGAACAGAAAAGGAAGTAATAGGACCCTAAATCCAACACTCACGGGACTGACGAAATGCCGAACTTCGGATCTCTTTCGGAAATTCCAATATGGCCCCCAAATATTACTATAATTCAATTCCACTGTTAATTTCAGAAAAACCAATAAATTTAGTCAAGTTTCGATCGTAGATTATGATGGGGTGAATTTAAAACTGGCCCATCTTAAGAAATTTTACTAATCTATATAATATAATCAAGAAGAAATAATCCGAATCCTATGAAGAAGACATAATCGTTTCTTCTTTGGAGCAAGATCATAGTTCTCGTTTTTTCTTTTAGATAACATTTTGTTTTAACAAAAGAGGCTAATCTCGCATGAAAAAAAAAAGCTAACAAGAAACTACAAAAAAAAAAATGTAACAATTAATGCTAAGAACAAGCAAAAAACAAGCTAAAAACTAATAAAGATAAAAAATAAAAAAACAAGCAAACAACTATTAACAAGAAAAAAAACAAATTAGCAGTTAATAACTAATAAAAAGCGGCAAAATAAAAAATTAATAAATCGAATAAAAAACCGCAAAAGGGATAGAATTCATTTTGTTGTCTACATGGTAGTTTCAATGTCAACTGGGTGTGGCCAATTTATGGTCAAACAGAGGAGGGAGAATTGGGGGCGAATCAGTAAAGTGCAAGCCTAGCTGTCAAGATTGATTGATCAGTTTTTTCCAACTTGCATTTCTTTATTTTGTTCATTGGAAATGCAGATGTTTTTACTTCTCAATTTATTTTAAACTGCTTAAGAAACAGATGTTTCCTTTGACACAGATTTTTTTTTTCAAGCTGCTTTTTTATTTTTAAAAGATAAAATAAAGTAAGTTACTTCAACAGAATAAAATTCCAAATAAAAAGAATATAGCTGATTTTTTTTGTCTTATCAATATAAATTTCTTAAAAAAAAAAAGAAAAAGATTAGATCAGATTAAGTGCCGAATTTTGGAATGCTGGATTAGGGGTCCCATACCCTTTTCTTTTCCCCAACCCCTTTAAAATATAACTGATTGATTCCTCCTAAACAGCTCCAATAGAAATGACACGTGGAGGAGGTGGGGTACACCCCTCTTTTAAACATTTTCTTCTCTCTTTCTAAGTTGAGTCACATTGGGTTATTTCCATTGAAGGAGAGGGCATTCTACCCACTAAAATTCCACCCTCAAAGATTGTGAAAGTGAAACTTATTTCCCCTTCGCTCATTCCTTCAGAATTTTTTTGGGGCCTGCTTAGTTATTTCTTATTCTTGTTATTATTAGTTATTTCGTTATTATTAGCTGTTTCATTATTATGTATTAGTTTTTCCTCAAATTGTTAACGGTAATAAATTTTAAAATCTTTCTTTTAATAAATTTTTATTTTATTTTTCTTATTACATTGTTTTACGGGTTTCTGTAATCAGTTCAGCGTTAATTCAGCTACTGAACATATAAATATTTTTTTGCTGTTCTTCTGCTTTTTGGCGCGGTGCTTTATTTATATTGTTCTGTTTTCTTTTTTTGTTGCTTTTTTTTTGCTGAAAAAGAAATTTATAATTAGAAATTAGAACTTTACTTTATGAAATGCATAAATTTTTTTTATTTTTTTTATGCAGATATTCTAAATGGTAATTTAAAGGTCTCTTCTAAAAGGATGCTGATATGCGCGGTTTAGCGTCATTGCGGCGCTTACTATAACTTTTTTTTTAAAAAATTTTATTTTTATCGATGTGCGGCGCTTTCGCTGAAAAATACGGTAATTAAAATCACGGATTTGGTATGATAGGTCAGACCTCTCTTAACCTTTTTGAAAAACAAAATATTACAAATAAAAAGTTACAGTAAATAACGAATTATAATGTTATAGTAAATAATTGAATCGAATGAATGTTTTGCTTTCCGTTATGACAGATGGTACAGAAAAGAGTTATGAAAAAATAACTTTTTTCCAAAAAAAAAAAAAATTATATCACCAAATTATTTCTCCTTGATTTATTTTACTCGCAAATTACTTGCAAATAATAGACAGAAACAAAAGGCAATTTCTCAAATTTGGTGCTCATCAGCTAAATAATATTTATGTATGAAAAAGATAGGGTTGATTAAACCTCCCATGCTCCCCTTACTCGAAGAAATGAATTAACTGATAAAAATAAGTTACCATATCAGCAACAAACTACTGTTTTCATAAAACTTTTCTTTGTATTAAATTCTTCCAAAACTATTTCAAATATATTTTAGCTCATTTTCTAACATAAGCTGTCCTAAGTCCATTATAATGCAATGGTTAAAATCATCAGAGTAAACAGCAAATATAAATTCTAACAACATATAGATAAGCTTAACAACTTACAAATACTTTCTTTAGACTAACTGTATCCCACACTTCAATGCAGCTGTTCCACAAACCACAAGTAACTTGTTGCTTATATGGGTGATGATCAATACAATTCACTGGGCATCTGAAAATTTCAAATTGCTTACTTAAAAAAATTATAGAAAACTAAATTAAAATCTATAAACAATTAAAGCGAAAAAAAAAATACTTTTTACTATTAAAAATTGTATATATCTCTGATTTTGATGATATAATGTGGGGTAATCTTTTTAGCAAGTGTGATCAACTGATCATCATAGATTAGGTAAGAAAATGTTAAATTCTTAATAGTAATGATTAGTTGATATGATTTTCTAGAGGTAAAAGTTTCAGGTGACAATACAAACATAATTGGTGCTAAAAGCGTCCAACTTCTTAAGCTTTTAGCCAGAAACTTTTCTAAAATATTATATATGAATACAGTGATACCTCGAGATACGAGTTTAATTCCTTCCGTAACCTAGCTCGTATGTCAATTTGCTCATATCTCAAAGTAATTTTCCCAATTGAAATTAATAGAAATGCCATTAATCCGTTCCAGCCCAAAAAATGCTACCCCCAATTGTTTTTGTTACGTGTTTTTGGATAAGAAAAATGTATTTATAAATGACAAATATTGTATAAAAGCATAATAAAAGAAAATTTAAAGCAAAAAAAAAAAAACTGGTTTTACAAAGTGTACATACATATTTGTATTTTGGTCACTTAAATGCAACTTACACACAACTTAAATGCTACTGTATGCTTAATTTTAGTGACTGCTTTTCTCTTCACTGGTTTTTGCTTTTTTAGCCGGATAAAAAAAAACTGTCGAAGGAGGTTTTTTTCCCCTCCTTTTTAGAATGCTGCAGAAATGAGTTAGGCAAGTGTCATTGAATAGCTCCGATGTACGACCAGTTGCAACTTTTTCGGGGTGTTCCTTTTCCACGAACAGTGAAATTCTCTCCCACATTCCCAAGAACTCTTTTATCTCACTTGTAGAGATAACCTCCTCCACCTCTTCCTCGAAACCAATTTCTTGCAGAACCCCTGAATGCTGCTGCGACTGTAACTCTTGTAATTCCTTGGTCGTCAGTTCCTGAGAGTGTTCCTCGGCGAGCTCGTTCACATCTCTCTCACCCATCACCAGGTTCATGGATTTTCCAAGAGACACTATTTCCACCTCCACTGGCACTTCGGGTTCGAATCCTTCGAAGCTACAGACTCAGGCGACAGCACAATTTTCAGCTACAGACCACAGCTTTTTCCATGCATAGGTCAAGGTCCTCGTTGTAACACTCAGCCAGGCCTGATCAATAATTTTGAGGCACATCACGATGTTAAAGTCGTCCTTCCAGTACTCTTGAAGGGTGAGGTTTGTGTTCTCTGTCACCTCAAAGCAGTGCCAGAACAGGTGCTTACTGTACAGCTTTTTAAAATTAGAAATCACCTGCTGATCCATGAGCTGCAGGATAGGAATGGTGTTAGGTGGTATATACGTGACTTTATAAACGTGAAATCTTCGAGGATGTCCTGTTCGAGACTTGGTGGGTGAGCAGGAGCATTGCCGAGGACGAGAAGGGCTTGCATGGCCGTTCCTCATATCTCAAAGCAAAACTTTGCTTGCTCGACAGCTCGTATCTCAAATAACTCGTATGTTAGGGCACTCGTATCTCGAGGTACCACTGGATATGGATTTTAATGTCTGATAATTGGTTTAATAAGATTTGAAATGATTATGTCCACCATGGCCAATAAATAACTCAAAGTTATGAATACCATCCTGACAATCATGTTGATGCATTAGTGTTGAAAAATTTTAAACAATTTTACTTAACCCTCCTGGCGTTTCCCCTCTCTCTTAGTTTCTTACTTCAAGCGGCAGACACATTTTAGAAAGATGCTACCAAAAGTGTCGAGGGTCGGACAAAACGTATGCTTTCCCCCTTCTGCTTCAATTTGTGGTAAAAAGGGGTGATTATCGGTCTAGGTGGTCAAGGAGGGTCAAGACAGTTTGATGGATGAATTGTGTTTCGTGATTCACTTTTCTGAAAGTTGTTGTTGAACTTCATACAATCTTACACTTTTCTCTGAAATATCAATCAATTCTTTCGTTCTGATAAGATAATTACTTTCAGGTTATGTTACATTCTTTCTTGTCCTTAGCTTTTTCACAATGATATAGTTGAAATATAACATCAAAGGAGTGTTCAATGAATTGGAGCTGAATAGATTCTTGTGATTGATAATTTTTCCTTCCTGTTTCCTGTGATTTCTTTTATTTCCCAGATACATTTGCGGCTACCGCCTAAGTTTTTTATTTTAAAACTGCGTGTGCATTTTAAATTGCCTCATTTCCGAATTCAAAGTACAATTTTGTTAATATACAAGCTAGTAAAAAGTCATATTTATCTTTTAAGTATATTATTGATATTTCTAAATTTAAAAAAATAATTAATGAGTATTTTTTCAATAATGTTCGATTAGAAAAATAACTGCTGTTTAATAGATATTATTTATTTAATTCCTGTTTTATTTCTCTTTTTCTTTGAAATTAAGTAAAAAAAAAAGCTTTCGCAGATGCTGCTGTTCTAAAGATGGAATATTGTTAAAAACATACTTAAAACTTTTTAATGTGCGTTAATACTCTTTAAATAGTGCTCGTATTGAATTTCTAGTTATTTGGATAATTTATTCTTAATTCGTCTTTTAAATATTTAAGTAAAAGCTGTTCATATTACACTTTATAGAATTGACTAAAAATATAAATTTTTATATATACACTAGTTAAGCAAAACTGCATTTTTTATTGTGAATTTTCTTATCTTATTTTATGGGGTATTATCAATAATAAAGCTTAAAAAAATTCGTAACCTTATGAAATTTTACATACAAAGAATAAATATCAGTACAGGAATTGTTGCAAGAATATTATTTTACAAGTAAATATAATGATTCTTTGTAGTTTTGTCCATTGCTGTTAAATTCAAAGGAATGATTTTACCAATATAGATCATGCAATGATATATATTTGGAAAAAAAATCACGTGGAAGTAACAGAATTTAAATATACAAAAATAAATGTAGTTATACAAAAATTTTCGGTAGTATTGGTTTAAAATATTTAATATCTTTTTTTTTTTTTTTTAATTCATCTCTTTGCACCATGTTGCTCCACGGAATCAGCTATTCCACACTAGTAAAAAATGGCGACTAATAAACACAATGGTAAATAACAAACAACAATAATTGTTTTCGGCTTATATAATATAGTTCCTGAAAAATTGAAAAAATGTGTTAAAAGGACTTCATCACTTTCTCTCCCTATCTGTTAGTAGAAAAAAACGTTGTTCTGCGTTTCTTCTTCATCGAAACAAACTGACAAGAATTAGAATTAATGGTTATGACATAAAAATGCTTTGACATAAGAAAAGGTACTATGATTATGCACACCTTTTGTATAGCAATAAAATAACATCAAAAATGCTTTTTAAAAAAAATAATAATTTTTTTTTTTTAAAATTGGAAAATAGCATATAAAATAAATATAGGATTTTTTCTTTGTTTTTTTTTTTTACTTTTTATAGTGCGCAGCTTAGCAGTAAAAAATCAAAGAACCTATGTAACATAAGCAGAAAAATTTATTGAAATAAGGAAAGTAAAATTTTCTGCATTACTTCGGTCAAATATCAATAAATTAAAGGTCATAACAACTTTTTATTTTCTAGAAAAATTAAATTAAAAATTTTTTTTAAAAGAAAATTATTCTTATAATAATTAATAATGAACACTAACATTAAGTTATGTTATCCGTGATTTTAATTTATATGGGGTAAAATATATTTAGAATAATAAAACTTGTATCCCTTAATAGTCATATTTACTATTCATAAGAGTAATATTTTAAAAATATTGTATTTATAATAAATAGCAATATATTTATGAATTGTGTGGATTATGAATGAAATTGAGATTGTGGTTGGGCACAAAAACTTGCTATCGCTTTTTTTTAAACATATGATTTGTTGGATTATGTTTTATAAATTCGTTTATAACGTCATTTACAAATTCAAAAATATACAATTCCAAAGAATCAAAATAATGTAATGCCTTCCATTTTAGTTCCCAAATATTTTTAAAACTTTTTATTCAAGTAGCGAGTTAATTTTTATTCCAAAAGCAAATTCTGCATACAATATGCATCGAAAGATTACTGATGAAGCAAAATGGATATTTTGTTGCAGTGTTATTGAATTTTATTTTCCGTGACTTTTAATCATAAATTTTAGCCATTACTTCGATTATTTTACTTGTTAAGTTCGCAGAATTGTCGTGTACTTTATTTAAGTTCATTTATGTTTTATTTTTAATTCTAGCTTACTTTTATTCTTATTTTTTGTTTTAAGTTTATTTAAGCTCTTATTTTAAGTTTTTTTTTTACAGTCGAAGTTTAGACTTTAATTGAATTGCAGAAAATATAGTTACAAATCTTCTCTACATTTTGCATTTCTCTAACTTGTGCAATACACTTTTAGTACTATACGCCCAGTTTTTTAGATCACCTTTTACAGTATTTTTGACCATGAACAGAAAAGAAAACGTGACCTTTAGATGAAACTGTATGATAACTCGTATGGACACTAGTATGATATCTGGACACTAGTATGATAAGTATTGTCTAGATTATATTTACATCACAATAAGGGTTTGTTTATCGCTTTGCACACCCCCATTTCAAATTGAACTTCTGAAAACTATTTTAATAACTTAACAAAAACATCATGTAATCATCTACTTTAGATTTCAGACAATCAATCGATGCATATTTTAGTACGAATGTCAGTACTGTAATACTTACGTTGGTTGTTTCCGACCATCTGGATTGAACAACTTTTAAATTCGTGAAATATTAGGGAGATCTGAAAGAAATGTCATTTCGATGTACTTGATATTTGTTACCAAGATTTTATTTTTTATCAAAAATGTATTCACCCTCGTTATCAACAACCCTTCGATTCCGGATCGTAAAAAAAGGGATTTTTAAGACTATCGAATATTCAATGCGCCGAAGCGTTATTACTTTCCAGGTTTCCGGAAAATTTACAAACATGATAATTACAACACAACTCGAGCTTACACCCTTGAGTTTACACACACTTTTATTTGGATTTCGAATGATATTATAGAAAAAATTGTACTTTGAATCAAATTAATGATGAATTTAATTAAAAATAAAACATCTTTTTGAAAGAAAAAAAATCTTGTTTGCAAGTGTTCCAACAATTAAAGTATATAAAATGTGCAATGATTTTAATATTTTATTTTAGTTACTGGAATTTTCACAACGATTACTTAAATATTTTAAATATAATCAGTTATACTTTTAAAAAAAATCGTTTTCTTTAAAATGTATATCTAAATGTATGTATATTTAAAATGTATTTGAGTGGAATAAAATATTTACATTTATTTTGTGGACTTGAAAAAAATATTTAGTTTATTATAACTCACTTAGTTATTTGGAGTTTTAACAGCTTGTACATTTTTTTATTATTATTTATTAAGGAAATTTGAGTTTATCATTAAATTTATTTATCATTACTGAAATATTTACTTATACATTCACATGAATGAGAAATGTATTTACTAATGAGACGAATTTCGATTTTTTCTCTATCCATGAAAATGCTTTAATATCATTTAACTAAAGTACAAATAAAACTAGTGTTTTGAGTGATGGGATTTTTAGAAAAATGCCGAGAAAGTCTTTAACATTACAGAAAGAGGAAAGAGTGTTTTAAGAGTTAACTTCATTTGCCAGATAAAAATTTTTTTAATTTTTTGTAAGCAACATAATACTTAAAAAAATTAACTAATTTAAATAAATTAGTTAAATACTATGGAAAATTAGTAATATTAAAAATTCATTAATTAGTTCATTAAATATTGCATTTGTTTAGACAAAAAATAATTTCCTGCAATTTACTCTAAAATGAAAAATGCTTTTTCGAAAATTAATTGAAATTTAAAAATACGAAACGATTTTATTTATTCATAGATTTAGTATAATAAATTAAGCAATGAATATATTTTTTAAAACAAAATTCAATATTTCGAAAGTGTTGGAGAAAATAAAAATGTAATCTGTTTCTTACAGGCAAACTTTTGGTTTGATTGGGGTTCAAACATGAAAAAGAACGCAAACTATTCACATCTATTCAAACAGAAATATTCTAGCACAACAGTGGGTGATTTACGATGACAGCTTATACGTCTCTCAATTTGTGAGCAGTAGGAGGTTGAGGGGGAAGGAAATATTCTAGTTCAGAAAAAGACGTGATCGCCGCTCTAGACCTAGAACGTGAACCCGTGCATACACGGGCAAGCCGCTTTCAGCATAGAAATCATGCCCGTGTTATAACAGGCTTGCCGCCAGGAGGGTTAATAAATTGTAATTTCACAACATTTTTAAATATTGTATGTGGGGGGAAACACTCTCATTGGCATCTCTGGGTGCTAATTAGAAAAGCTAAATTTCGTAACTTAATTTTATAGCTTGAAACAATTCCTTCAGCTTATATTTTGAAAAAATAAATTCAAATATTTGAGTGAATATTGAACAAACCTAAAATCAATGGTGGATATTGATCTCCCATCAAGTAAACTCCACAGGCGAACAGTATTGTCCCAACTGGAAGACAGTAACACTCCTCCTGTTGGATCAGCACAGCAACAAGTAACACTTTGCCTGTGACCCTTCAACACAGAAATTCTGAAATATGACAAATATAGAATTTTTATTAGTCGATAACTTTTCATACAGCTTTGTGTTATCTAAGTATGAAAAGGAAAATTCAGAGATTTAAGGTATAGCCAAAGGCAATTTTTCAGCATTAATAATAATAAGCTTATACAGTTGTAGCTTCCAATAGGAAAACTTTTATTTGAGGGACAATTCTATTGGTGTCAACCCTTGAATAGGGACCTTCTGTACTCGCCTCTATAAAAGGGCACTTGGCACTATATTTATGGGATAATGAAAAGGGTGTGAAAATATGAGCTATAGAAATAAATAAATTAAGAAATATTCAACAGAAACATTGCAAGTTAATAATATTTAGAATTTTAAAAGTTTGTGTTCAATTAATGAAAATAGAGCAATAAAAGGGAAAGTTCATTATTTTCCTTTAAAAAATAATTTGAAGAAGGAAAATAAGAAATCTTGGAAAAAGTAACTTGTGCAATCAAAATGACATTTTATATAGGGCTGTAACTTACCTGAAAAAGAGAAAGAAGTATAAGTAAACAGTTTCATATCTACCGTATTTTATAGAGGAGTAAATCATCTTTGACTAGCATGAATTCTTAACAGTCATAATATATAGAGGGTTCATATTTAAGAAGGAAAAAGTGTTTTCCTGACTATTGCTAGTTTTCCAGGTCAATTTGCATAAAAGTCCAAGGAAGTAAAAAATTATGAAAACGAAATTTATGTTTAATAAAAATCAATTATTTTAATACAAATAAATAAATAAATATAATTATAACATTATATAAACTGAATTACTTTCTAAGATGAAATAAAATCCTTTTTAAAAAATGAAATGGAAAGTAAATTCAACAAGTCATCGTCAACAAAACAAGTCTAAAAGATCAAAACTAGCGATTTAAATAATCTTATTTTTTAAATAAATAAAATCATTGATTTAAAATACTAATGTCAATGATTAAAATAATTTGATAATGATAATAATCAATGATTAAGACAATTTGTTAAGCTTTAGACATCAGAATAGACATCTTTAAAATTATTAAAACAATAAAAAAAGGGGAAGAAAAAAACGAAATATTTTACTACTAATTTATTGAATAAAAAAAATGAAATTGCATTGAGGGATGGAACTCAGAAGAGTAACCAAGAAAAGAATAATTCTTAACTCATCTTTAATGCCAAAAATTTAAAAAATCTCTGTTTTGTATATTACCTTAACACTTAACTATGATTAAAAGATGTAGTAAACAAAGCAGAGAAGGCATGATTAAATCATATAACTTATGTAAATAAGTGAATAGCACATCCTGTTAAAATTTCCTTCATTATTACGAATTGTTAATTTAATACAATCATCATATCGACTTAAATATGTATTGTATATTTTTGTATACATATGTATTGTATATTTTTTACATTATTGATCTTTGGAAAATTTTTTGAATTATTATGCAAAATCATAGTGTATATAAAGTGTCAATTTTAATAATTTTAAGTTCTTGATTGAACTTGGAAGAAAAAGAAGTGAATAGCGTTATACTTAAGAGCTATTTTTATGTACGTTACCTAGCACAGGTTTAATAAAGATTAATAAGAAAACTAAAGATTGATGCATGCTATGCAACAGGAATTGACAAGTTTAGATTGAGAGATTTAGTGTAGAAATTTACAGGAACAGTGATCATCGAGCCAAATTTTTAAATTTATTTATAACTATTCATAAGAAAACAATACATATTCAATCCAAAATAGTACAAAGTTATGTCTGAAACCATTGTAATAAAACAAGCTTTGAAATTACAGTTTTAAATAGCCCCATTGAAATTATCCAAGACAAAACTGAAATGCTTGAAATTGTCACAATCGGCCACAATGCAAAGATATAAAATAAAAAACAATGAAACATATGTACTGAAGATACTAATGATAGCATATTTTATTTCAGCCATAGCTGGTAATAAATTTGTAAAACAGTGAAAAAATGAAGAAAAAGACAGGAGAATTATGACATGAAAACTACATAAATGTCTTAAAATGCATCTTGTAATTAATATACGAATCCATGAAAATTGTTAGCTCTTAGTGCAGAGAAAACAGTGACAGTGAAAGACTTAATATTATACTTTCACTTAGATATTTGCATAAAAAGAAGCTTTTAATGCACTGATCTTAAAACAAATTCATGCAATGAGATAGTTTTAATAAATTTATGTCAGTATTAAAAGTCATTTCATACATTTCTGAAGTTATGAAATGAAGAAGTAAGGATTTTCATCATTTTAAATAAATACCTGCCGTTTTCATTATTTTAAATAAATAAGTACCTCTACCCCACACAGCCACAAATATTCCCAGAAAATCTTTGAGATATCCCTTATACAAAAAGCTGGACATTCCTAAATCCAACAGAAAACATTTGAATGTTCATGAAATATCTGTCAAAAATTCAAAACTATACCCAAAAGTAATTTGAGAAATATATATCACTTATATATCCAAGGGATATCCGGCACATAACATTGATATCTAAGGGACTTCTGTCAGATGTCAATTGTATGTAATATCTGATTATCTCAGAAGCATTAGTATTGGATATCAGAGAGATATCTTAATCCCGTAAAAATTTACTTCTACTAAATTGAATGATCTAATATGAAAATACTTAAGTTTTACAACCCATAATTCAAAGAATCAAATTACTTCAAACATTATAGAATGTATGAGGGGATTTATCGGCTATGGCCACTTTCATCTATCAAAAGGCACCTCAAAATGGAATCAAGTTAACATGTCTTATATACTAGTGATTCAGTATTTAATATTTGTAGTGGTAGTTGCGCCACAATGTACAGTATAAATAAGCTTCTAATATCAGATTGTTTAATTTTGCAGAGCAAATTCATGATATTCAAATTTTTTTTATAGTTAATAAATTAAAAAATGCAAAACAAAAAATATTTTTAAAAAAATCCATGAAGACTTCTCATATTTTGCTATAAAACTGCAGTGTGCAACACAATCATTAAATTAGTAACTCTCTTTATTTACAAGGAAATGCTTTATCATAAAATTAGAAAGAATTACGTAAACAATGCAAAGCTAGAGAGTTATTTATGACCCAAATCCATTTGCTAATTGCATTAAAAATTTATTTATAACTGCAGTTAAAATTTTTTATAATAATTGACTAAATAACATCATTAATAGATTGTAAATGTATATTCAATAAAAAATCTGTTCCTAACGAAAATAAAGCACAAATTAAAGTACATAAATGGACATATTACAGTTTCAGTTCTATAAACAAGAGCCGTCCTCAGCGTCTAAAGACCAAATGATGGTAGAGAAAGTAAAGAAGATAAACAAATGCAAAATCGGTGACCTCTCACTTATGCACCACCTCTTTTATGCATCTTTTTCATTTATACGACGATTTTTATAGGTCCCATAAAAATAAATTTTTCAGTTATGCGTCGAAATTTTAGGCTAACATTTTAGTTTTTTTATCCTTTAAATATTTCTTTTTCTTTTTTTTAAAAAAAAAATAGGTTTTAAATTATAAATTAAAGCAATTATATAAGCTATACTTGTTACAGATAAGAAGAAATATGTTGTTAGATCCTATTGAATTGTGCAGCATATTATGACATCAAGTACTTTATTTAGAAATTTATCAAGTGATGTTTCACCCCCTTCCATAAAACTCAAATTTTTTGTGAAGAGCTGTTCATTTCCATGTAACTTAAACTTGTGGACAATGAGACTGTGGTGGATGATACTGACGAGGATGATTAAGTTCCTCCAAATCACACAGTAGTATTAGAAGCTTTAGACACTATTCATGACAATTTCCAAATTAATTCTGCTTTTGAAACTCCCTTTTCCCATTTATATGAACTGGAAAAAACTGTTTTTGAAATACGTCAGCAAAAACAAATACAAACATGTATTACAGATTATTTTGTAAGAAAATATATTATCTTTAGGTATGTTATATTTTTTTATTGTATAATTATAGTAAATACCAAAACAGTATAAATATTAACATTTAATCTTTAGAAACATATTTATTCATATTGTCACTGCAATTTACATTGCGTTATAGAAGTATTTCACTTGTGCGTCTCTTTCACTTATGTGCTGTTTTCTGTTGGCCCCTTGCACCAGTGCATAAGTGAGAGTTCACTGTAGTTCAATCAATAAGGACAGAGGAACAAGTTTGAACAAGAAAATGAAAAAGGGACATAAAAAACATGAGTGAGGGGATTTGGCAGGAAGTCCTAATCATTTAGTTAATGATCTTTCTAGTTCTTGCTTATAAAACCGAAATTATAGTACATGTCCTTTAATGTACTTTCATTTGTCCTTTATTCACGTTGTTTTTCGCTTAAGTCTACATAGCACAAAGTATATCCTATCCTTTGTTGAATCAGTTCTTATTATATTTAGAGTTTGACTTTGTTTGTTTGGCAAACAGAAAATTTGTTTATGGTTAATCTGTTACAATATCATATTATAGAGTTTGCAGTACCCCAAACACATACTTTGGTCGAATAATAATATGCTCAGTAATTTAGGATAATATTTTGAATACCTGTATAAGCTGAACAAGATTTCAATGCACAAGAGCAACAATGTTATTAAAAGTTATTATTTTAAACTAGATAAGAAAAAAAGTTAAAGAAAATATTGATATAAACAAAAGAATATACTTAATTTCTATTAAAATACTTTTAAATTATCTAAATCATGTGTTTTCTCTTTGTTTTTTTTTTTGCTATTTTTTATTTTAAAATTTTTTTTGTTATATTTTAATTTATAAAAAGTATTTAATATATAATAATCTATAAAAAATTATTGTTTTTTTGATAAACTATCAGTAATAAATAATAAAAATAATTAATAAAAGAAATTTGTAACAAAAATATTTTTAGTTCTAAGCATAGTGGTTTTAAATTTAGTATTAAGATTAATTAAAAGAAATTTCGTACATCATTTTACTATACAATATGAATTTTAATATGCAACTACCTTCTCAATTTACAGGAAAAAAAGTTTTAACAAATGTTTTGTTATTTGCTTTTCCTCAAATTATTTCATTGAACACCTCAATTTCAAAATTTAATTAAGAAAAAAACACATTTTAACGAGCATTGAGATTTCCAATTATTATTTTTTCTTTTACTTTAGATACTTACGAGTATTGCAATTGCGTCAAAAAAATCAGATTTAAAATGCCCCTTTATAACACTTATCTTATAAGCAGAGCAAGACAAGTGAATTGTCTATGACCTAAATTGTCTATTCTTTTTCTATTTAATTATACCAATTGCAATAATTTTTAAAATGAAAGACGAAATCATCAGTAATAGATATTAAAATAATTTCAATTAAAAAAATATATTTCATATTACAGATTTGTTTAATCAATATTATTACTTTTCTTTTTAGCATTTGGCTTTGTCCTCAGTTAATTGAATATTTGGTTATAGGCCAAATACTAAGCAAAGTTAAATAATAAGGTAGTCAGCTCTGTTTAATAATTTGCTACATGGATAATAATCCAATGGAGTTTGCATAATTTTCTGGATAAATTACAAATGACTAGCAGGTGATAGAGATAGTGCGGTACAAATGACACAGAGTAATGTCACTTTTAAAATTCCATATAATACAGCGGCAATATTAGACTTCATTGAAAAAATAGTGAAGCTTTTAAGTAAAAAAGTAAGCATTTATAAATTTCTAATCAAATTGGGTAAGTCGATCCAATAGCATGGCAAACCTGAAATTTCTCTTAACTGTGTGATGAGAAACGTTGAAAAATGAATTAGTACATGAGTGAAAAATGAATTAGTACAAGAATTTTGATTAAATACAGTATGTAAAAATTTAAATAAAATATCTTGTATTAAAAAGCATCTTTTTTCTTAAAAATTGTTTTAAAAAAAAGTCATTAATAGCATTTTTAATAGCCTAAACTAGATTAAAAAACATAGGCATGTCAAAGGGTTTCCCAATAGACATGTGTGACACTGAAGCTAACTGATTTTATTAATAACACATATCTACTTCAAAATGCAAAAAATCCCAACATCTAATATTTATTGATCTGATTTAATAATCTCTCTGACTTAATAACTCAGTGTTATTACTATTTACTACATCATGCTGTTTTAGAAAACATGTAAATTTACAACTGTTTTTGAATCATACTTGGAAATGAAGTAATCTTTCCCTGGTGGTGTAAAATTGCCATAATTCCAATCCTAAGTTCACTAATAGATAACATAAGTTGAACTTTCTTGCTCTATTATATACAAGAACCATAATACTTATTTGAATAAAATATTTAATGAGAGATTCTGTAATAAAGGCCAAAGTTGCGTAATACACTACATGGAAAAACAATTAAACTTAAGTTGAATAAAATGGTGAAAACAACATGAAGATATGAAGTTCAGATATTGTTACCACTAAAGAATAAATGCGATTTCTAGTTAAAATTTTATTAAATATAAATCTTAATTAAAAACACAAGTAATAATAGTTATTTATTTATTAAAGGAAATCATGAAACAATTGACAAATTTTGAAATAAATAAGACAAATCTTAACAATGTCCTAAAATGTAAATCTCTGAAATATCAAAAAACTGGATCTGTATCAAATATTAAGTAAACATTGAAATATCTTCAAAGCATTCCATAAACAACCAACTAATATCTAAAACATATCAATAGCTATTATCTGGGACTTCGGTATGCCTGGTCATTTCAACAATATCCAAATCTTCCAGATAACCATGAATGATATTTCAGAGACATTGACAATATTTAAATTCATACTCAAACTTATTTTGATATCTGTACGATGCCTCTAACATATCTAAATATCTACTGGATATTTGGATGCATACCAGATGTGTTTGGATATCCCTCAGATATAGGTGGCTACATGAGACGTTATTTAAACATCATTTTTAAAAACTTGATATAAACTGAATTTCTAATTAAATTACTCATTTTAGTATATAAAAATATACCTTCTGATGGACAAACCTCTTAATGGACAAAATGTTTTATTTGGTGAGCTAAGTATATTATATTAATTTTGAATATATGACATTAGCTAGATATATTGCTCACATCTAGCACTTTATAATAGGAATAAGTTTCATATTTAAAAAAGGTAGTTCATAGCTTACATTTTCAGATATTGTCACAGGAATATTTTACACAAAATTGTAAATTTTTGCTACTCTTCAGCAACAGAAATAAAATTAATCCTTTTTTGAGGAAAAAATTAAATCCTAAATGTAAACATTTATTTTCACTTGTAATAAATATATTCACTAGAAAATCAGAATTATTGAGAAATTATTACATTTGGTAATTCATTATTTGAGAGAGAGAGAGAGAGAGAGTTTATTCATACATATGCAAATCAATTATATTTATTTAATTTAAGATATATAGTGAAGTTTTAAACAATTTACTTATAAATAAACTTTCTCTGTGTAAACATAATAGGAAATAGGTTAGTACATTTTTATGTTTAAATAAGAAAGTATCATTACATAATATTCAAAAGGAAAAAAATTAGAAATTACGATTTTCTTTTAAACTAATTCAAAATGTAACATACAAACTGTAATCTTCACTACTCCAAATATTTAAGGTTGTATCATTTGAGGCTGTGCAGATTCTACTTTTTCCACCAAAACAAACAAATGTTATGGCTGATGTGTGGCTTTTGAGATTTCGTATGACCTAAATACAAACATTATTTAAAATAGTATAATGATGAATGAAAAATATTTTTAGGAAATATTGATTATCTTGTCACACAGATAAAAACAATATTAAACTAACTTTAAAATTTGAAACCAAGTTGTCAAAGTAAAAGGAAAACACCAAATTTCACATTCTAATAAGATATATTTTTTTCGTAGAAAATTAAGATAAATAGATTTATAAGCCAGATACACGTTATACAGTAAGGAATAAAACAGACATGAAAAGGTAATTACAATTGAGAGTAATATGACTAACAACAAGAAATAAACAAAGAAATTAAATATTAAGATGTCAAGCATGGCCTAGCATTTTCATTTCAATCATGCAACAATTTCAAAACAAATCTATACATTATATAGATTTTTATGAATTATTATTATGCTTTCTGATCCATATTATAGCAAATTACACTAAAGAAATTACTGTGAGAGTATAAAACAAACAAACAAAAAATTAATGCCATTAATAACAAATAAATGCTGCTAATTTATTGTCTATAATTTTCCCCTTAAATACAGTGTCTGGTTTTTATATAACTTGTAAGTAAAGAAATCAAACGATTAAGTTTCATGCATTTACCAATATAGTTAAAAATATAGCATTTAAAATTGATTCTCTATCCAATACAAAACAGTGCAACAGATATTAAAAAAAACAGAAAGAAATTAAAACATTACTTTGCATTAAATTTACATCAAATTTGAAGATATATTATAATTTGTGAGAAAAATGAGTTACATTTGTTTTATATAAGAGTTGAATACACAAATTTATAGTAAAATATTCACGATCGCAATGCTTGAATAAGCTATCTGGGGAGAAGACTGGTTCCATGTATTGATCCTCCCCTTCCCTTTCCTTCTCTTTTCAGTTGTATAGAAATGTACTACGATATTTTTCCGTTTCCTAATGTTTTTCGTTTTTACCTGTCAAAATTATTTTTTTAAAATTTCCATGTTTTCATTTTAGATCCATGTTGAATGTAGTTTTCAGTTCCATATAGTTCCTAACTTAAAAGTTTTTAACCTATTTGAAAATCAAGACAGAAACTAACACGTTTTTTTCTCATATGACTCTCCACACGCTAATGGTGAAAGCATACTAAGGGTTGCCATAGGTAGAGAATTCTGCTCTATGCCACCTGTAGCCCATTTTGATTGCCAATAATGTATAAGACTACTTTTGACATAAGTTTATTAAAATATTTTAAGTAGGCGTCATAAGAACGGCTAAAAAACATAATTTTAATACTTATAGCAAGGTTAAGATTAATATTTCCAGAACAACAATTGTTTAAAAACTTTTAGCCACAATTAATTCTAATGTGTTTTTTTCGGAGACTGAATTTCTCTTATTAAAATTTTTTATTAGTTATAATTTAAGAAACGCTGTGATTCACCAATAAAATAGTTTATCACATAAGTTGGATTCCTGTTTTGCCTAACAAACTGCATAATCAATTCATCTAAGATTAAGTAATGATATCATAAGTTACAATGAGGTTTATGTCAGAGATTCAGGTATTCTTTGTGAACATAACAAGAACATTTCTTTTAACAAAAAGGCTATACATAAGACAGCATTAAAAATAGTAGGCCCAATTTTTGGAAATCTCCAATGGTTTGAAACTTTAAAAAAAATATTTACTTATTGTTTCATTTACAAAAGGCTTTATGATTATTCATCGCATAAATAAATAATGATATATTAGGAAATTTGAGCTTACATTTATTTAAATTTGCATTAACTCATAATTTTAATTGTCGATTCTGAAAAAAAATACATAACTAGTAAAAAAAAAATTATTAACAAGTAATTTCAGATATTAAAAAAATTTGTTATATTTCTCTTTGAAACTTTTTAAAGGTACTTTAAAATTAATTAATTTTCCTCTGAGAACAAGAAAATTAATTTTTGTTAGAGTTAATTTAAAATTAGTTTTCCTCCAAGTATAAGAAAAACAGTAACAGTAAAACCCCGGTTATCCGAGCCCCGATTATCCGAGTCTCCACTTTAACCAAGCTGTCAAATATCTGTAAGTTTTTTTTTTGGCTTTGCTTCTACATTTCCTACTTTTTTAAACTACCGAAAAAAATTCTGAACTTGATCTCACAAACACTCAGGAAAACAAAATCCATCAGCACTACTCCGCTTACTTTGCATTGTATCACGCACCGCTCCACCCCTCCCCATCTTTTGAAAGAAGAATATTGCGACACTCAGCTAGCTTCTCCTATACGTAGCAAGGGCCAGCAATGTCACTCTGTATGACAAGAAACGCACCAAGGTTTTTTGAGCTGACGCATGCGCAGATCTTTCATCCATCATAGCGTCTCTAAACTTGTTTAACAACAAATTTTTCGCCATCTTTAAAGTGACATCTTTAAGTGACGGATATCTGTTTAAATTATACACCTAAGTTAAAATAATAAATTATATTTATCTTTTAATGAATTCGTCACAAGTGAATATTTTCCTTGCTTAATAAGCAAACCTTTTTCAAAACCATAGAAGTCTGTAAAGAACAAAAGCAGACGGGGTTTGAGTCACTTTTTATTATCTGTTTACATTAGCGGAGAGGAATGGGGTTGCTTACGGGGTAAGGACGGAGGGACCCTCTGTAAGGAGGCAGGTTGTTTTCCTAGCAATACTTCCCCACCTTGATGGAGGTAACCGTTGCCTCCGGAACAGGTTTACATGGGGGCCTATGAGGGCTGGTCTTCTTCTCAGTTTCAGGGTTCAAAAAGAGAAGCATGAAACGAAAGAGAGTATGCTGAATTGTTTTCGTTGTCTAGTCAAATGACCCATCCCCCCTTACTACCAAATGGTTTCGACTGGTCACATGATTCCCTCCCTGGAATCGGGAAATTGTTTTGCGGGAAAAAGTACAGTGGCTACATTCAGTCAATTCTACAGATTCGAAATGAGTAGCAAAAAGAGAAAGCGAGTTGTTGCTTCTTTAGAAACAAAATTAGAAGCAATTCAAAGATTAGATAAAGGTGAATCAATAAGGAAAGTAGCGAGAGTTCTCGGAGTAGGAGCTGTTACTGTTGGCGACTGGAAAAGGAAGAGAAATGAAATAGAAATATGAAGTGCAGAAAAGGCTAATTGCAGTTTACGAAAAATAATGAAAAAGTGTGAATTTGAAAAAACATCCGAAATTGAGAGAAAAGGGAAGTCCCATATCAGGGCTTATGCTACAAGCAAAAGCATTGGACTTTAATAAACTTCTTTATGCTGGAGAAGATTTCACTGCTAGAAGTGGATGGTTGGATTGTTGGAAAAAGAGATATGGAATTCGTCAATTAAATATATCGGGAGAAAAATTATCAGTTGACTGTGAGGAGGTGATTAAATTCAAAGAAAGTTTTAAAAATCTCATTGCAAAAAAAAAATCTGAAAATGGAGAAACTTTTCAATTGCGATGAAACAGGACTTAACTTTAGAATGTTGCCTTCAAAAACTCTTGCGGCAAAGAATGAAAGGTCAGCTCCGGGGTACAAGATAAGTAAAGAAAGGGTAACAATATTAGCATGTTTGAATGCATCTGGAAACCTAAAACTAAGATAATGTTGATTGGCAAGTCGAAAAAACCTAGAGCATTTAAGAACATTCATATTCCAAGTTTACCAGTGTATTACAAAAATCAAAAAAGTTCTTGGATGGATGCGGATTTGCTCAAAAAATGGTTTTTTGATGAATTCGTTCCTAACGTAGAGACATTCTTAAAAAATCAAAATCTTCCAAGGAAAGCAATATTAATGCTTGACAATGCTCCATGTCATCCGAATGATGATGAATTGGCGAGTGGCAACATTAAAGTTCTTTTTTTGCCGCCCAATGTCACATCACTTATTCAGCCTTTAGATCAAGGTGTTTTGGAGAACATGAAGAGAAATTATCGAAAGAAATTACTAAAATTTCTTATTGAAGGAATTGAGGAAAATAAAAGTGTTCCTGAGACAATTAAAAGTTTAAATGTAAAGGATGCTGTCTACTGGATAGCTGAGGCATGGGATGAAGTAAAATCAGACACCATAAAAAAGTTGTTGAGGAAAATTATTGATACACAGAGTACAGAACATCACGGAAAGTCCAATGAATGTAGTGATGAGCTTTTGGATTTAGTCATTAAACTGCCACTAGCTGAGCCAATAAACGAAGAGGATATACGTGACTGGATAAATGCTGACGAACAACAAGAAATTACGGATGAAATGATCATCAATACTGTGAATAAGGAAAAGGAATCTAGTGATGAAGACAGTGAGGATGAAAATCGATATATTTTCACATACAGATGGATTAAAAGCTATCGAAAGTGCTATTGAATACATAGAACAAGAAGAAGCAACACCAGCAATCCTGTTATCTTTAAAAAAATGGCGAAACATTGCTGCAGAAAAATGCCAAAGTAAAGTTATGCAAAAAACAATTAAGGACTTTTTTAAGTAAGAATTCTTTAATTATCGTAAAAATATGAATTGCATGTGGTGTATCTGTATAACCTTTGTATTTGTTAAAATATACATTTAAACCTACAGGATTTATCTTAATTTACATTTTTCGCTTTTACCGAGTTTTTCGGTTATCCGAGTTAGTCTTGGTCCACATTAATTCGGATAATCGGGGCTCTACTGTATTTTAAAAATATAATAGGTGTTTAGTTTTAAAAATTTATCATTGATTAGGTAATATTTTTTTCATTAATATTTAATTTTCAATTTAAATTTAGTGTTTTAAACTTAATTGTAACTTTTTAAAAGATAGCAACATTAGTTCATTGAATCTAGTTTATTTTAGTTTTAATTCTAATTCAGAGATGTCAGCACTATCTTAAATTTGTGTAGGACAGCGCAATATTAAATTTTTTCCTGTACCTTTACCTTGTTTTTTCGCCAGGGCGTGAGTTAATTACGAGTTTGATGTGTTGTAGATGCTTAGAATATTTTCTCTCGGGAACAACTCCCAAAAGATGTTTCAAGGATTAATTGCTATGTTTTGATAGCTATTATGATTAGCTATATTAATTTCGAGGTGAGTCATATATTCTATGTTTTGTTGTCAATCGCTGAGCTGAAATCGTTTTCATGTTTTAATTAACTAAATAAATATTGCTGCTATCTTATTAATAACTTGATTTCTGCTACAAAAATTAATTTCAGTTTATTTCGTGAAATCAATTATTATTCAGTATTATGCTTATTGTTCAATATTATATTAAGCGGAATAAAATGTTCTTAACATATTTAATTTGTCAGGGTTTAAATTTTATAATATTAATTTTTCTTTCTCTTTTCTATTTTGGTAATTAATTTTACCTGGTTCATCATTTTACAATCACACATTATTTATAGATATGCATTTAAAATAAAATTTATTACTCTTTTAGATGAGTAATCAAGTATTTTCAGATATCCATCTTTACTTCCTAAAACAGCGATTCTTCTCGACTCTTCATAAGAAACTGCAGTAATAGGCTGAAATGGATATTTAAAATATATTAAATTTTTTTAATCCTTTTATGGCCAAACCTGTACCATTGTGCGGGTTAGGTATAATATATAAAAAGTGGTAATATATACATGTTTCAAAGCATGTCTAAACTATAAAAAATGTTCCTCTCTTGTCAACCATTTTAATTTTTAAAATAGTCATAGCAAACATAAACATAGATTTTAAAATTATTAAAGTTTTCTAGTGGGCATTGGTTATTTTTTATTTCTTAGATTAATCCTCTCGTATTGAATTAGTTTTCACCAATTTTTACATTTTGAGTATTTTATATGAGAGAAATAAGTACTTCCAAATTACATCCAGTTGTAAAGGGTTATAAAATCATTTTTATTAAATTACTTAACTTTTACAGAATTAAAAAAAAATGTTTCAATCTGACAAAAATGGAAGTTTATAGATATATACTTGAAATATAATTTAGTTACAGATAATAACTACTTCTACTCATACAGGGTTGCTAACTACTACACTATTTGAAAAATAATTTTTAGAGTGGTTGCTCACTAAAAACCAAAGCTTTCAGAATAATTGGTAATTTTTCCGAAATTTTAAAAGTTTCACCACAAGAAATCTGGAACAAAGTTGCCTTTCATATGATCTTTTGAAATATTTACATTTTGTGGTATGGAAAATAACTTTAAAATCAGTTTTACAGAACAAAGAATCATATATTAAAATGTAAATTTAGCTACCACTAGAAGAAATTTTTCTAAAAACCATAGGAAGTTGACAGACCCGCAATCGATATAAAATACAATTATAGAATGTAAAAAAATTACATTTTAATTTAAATGAAAAATGATGTTGTTTCAAATTAATCTTTAATTCCCCAGAAACCTACCGGAATTTTAGGATTCCATTAATTTAATTTGGAAATTGCTATGACTTCAAAGTGTTTTCTCTGTGAAACAACATTATACATTTAAATGGGAAGATCTTGGAATGTACTCCTTCCTAAACCATAACTTGTTCTTGAATCACCTTATGTAGCTGCAGTTGCAACTGTTAGACTCTTGATAAGACCTGATTGTCTTTGTGCCCAAATTTTTTGTTTAAAAATTTTTGACCCTCCTACATGTTCTCTTTGTATGACTTTTCAGTTTTGCATTTGGACAAGTGCCCTGCACTATCTGCTTTCTCTAGTCAAGTGGAGAAACATTAGAGAGGTCATAGTCTAATGGCCTAGTGGCCAAGCAACTAGCATTTGATAATAAATAAACAAATAATGATCTGTTTTAACCTACTCTCTTCTTTTTAAATGACCTCTCTAAATTCATGTCAATAGCTTTTTTTTAATAACCAAAATTAATAATTCTTTCAGTCTTCACTTTATTTTTGTGTTTCTCTTATTAACTCAATGATTATTTTGATATATAGAGAAGATCTTCATAACACAAACAATAAAAGTTGGTACATTGCATTTCATAAAATTTTGTGTTATACCATCTTTTAATTAGAGCAATTTAATATAAAATACAAGGATAACAATTAAATAAATAAAGAAATTATGGTACTTAACCTGTATAAAGCCATTAAGTGTAGATAGCCTGTGATCAGACACAATAGGTTCAGAGACACAAGCAATTATTAAAGATTTGATATCACCAACATCTATTTTCACATGAGATCCGGTTGGTTCATTATATGCTTGTTGTTGTGTTAATTCTGGATGTCTGAAATAATAAAGCAAACTAGTTCATAAGCAAATATAACAGAAGATATTGGGTTAAATATTTGTGCAGAAATTCTGATAATATAAATAATATTTAATTATAATTCTTATAAACAAAAGCATATTTACACAATTTAAAACTCTATTTAAATCAATAATGTTATGTTTCGAAAGATGTAATAATTTCAGATTAAACTGCAGAATTAATAAATATTTTTTTAAAGATGTTTAGAAATTAACATGTTAAAACTACTTTTCAATCTATGACACAAAATTCATTAGAATCTCACTAAAAGCCACAAAGTTGATTTTAACACTAATGTTAGATTAATTTTCAGATTTTTCATAAAAGAGAGAGATAAGTTAAAGGAATTGTGATAAAAAATACAGAAAATTAAAAAAAACTATAAAAATAGCCAAAACTATAAAAGTTCTTGATAAAATATACAAACAGCAAAAAACTTATCATTATGACTACCGACTTTCAAGTCATGTATCACCAAAATTTCAGACATAAATTCACTTTCTTTTCAATAAATGTTTGGTGAATGCGATTGTTCTACCCAGTTTTTTTAATCTCCCAGAAATTTTTGAAAACTAAAAAATATTGTCAGCTCATTTTTTTTTTATTTTATCAAGAATTATAAAATGGAGAAATGCATTTTGTTAGATTATTCCCAATAGGGTATTCAGTTATTAAATGAATTTTTTCTAAAGACTGATAAAACTGAAAAAAAATTTTATATGTCAGTTGTATTCTTTTCATCGTTATTATTCATTATATTTTCAATGCAATATCTCAAAATAAAAAATTAGAATGTATATGGCCTGAGAAATCTAAAGTTAGAATGTACATGGTTTCTTTTCAAAACGTAAAACTGTCTTATATAAAACTAAGAAAGCAAACATTCTGATAGTAAAAAAACTTGAATTAAAAAGCAAAAATTTGCACAATCACTAACACCTCCATTATTTTTTTGGTTACCCTGTAATTTGTTTCCCACAGCTACATTTTCCACTACAGTCTCATCAATTAGCCCACAATTTGTTTTGTATGAGTATTATAGAGATAACTTTAACAGAAAACACTACAGGGATTTTCACTATGGAATTATTTAAAATTAAACTAACAATTATATTTATTTTTGTTTTTTATTTTTTATACTATTATATTTTTGAAAAATATGTGACTTTGAGATAATGATTAAATTGGTAAGTATATAAAGTCTGAAGAGCTATCTTTTTTTCATGCATTTATGCCTAAGATTTCGTAAGACCATTGATCAGAACACAAATGAGGAAATAACTCCTTCTAGTAGTACATATCGATAGAAAATGAAAATAATGAACAAATTAGATTTAATTTTTTTACTCTATTAAACCATATACAAGTTTGAGATTTACTACGCATAGTACAGTATATGTAAGTAAGTTTAGTAGAATATTTTCATTTAAAGGATGTATAAGTTAAATTTCATTGAAAAACTGATAGTGCTAAAAGGTACTTAAAACAAAATAATTAGAATGGAAAATTTTATATTGATACTTAACCCATTTTAACTTCTAATTTGATAACCCAGATTAGTACCTCAAAGAAATTGGTGATTTAGCAGCTATTTTTTCTTTTGATTGTAGCTTTGAATTCTTATTTGATTTATTAAATATACAGGGTGTGTATAAAGTCCCGGACCCATTTTGATGTTTAATAACTCATAAAATAATAAAGATAGATTAAAATTAATAACATAAATGGTTAGATAGACTCAAAAAGTTTCATGACCCTTGTCAATGAACTTCCACGTGTGCCCCCTTCATCGCATGGAGAATATCAAGTTGATAGTCAATTTCACGCCAGGTAGCGGCAAGCATGTCGGCATCCACAGAGGCTATTGCGGTTGTAATTCTGGTTTTTAGGTCATCAATGTGCGACACGATCCTCCTGTAAACATTGTCCTTTATAAATCCCCAAAGAAAAAAGTCCAGCGGCGTTATATCAGGTGATCTGGGTGGCCAAGGAATTGGACCTCCTCGCCCAATCCATCTTCCTAGAAAATGGTCATCCAAAGAACTACGAACGATGATACCCCAATGAGATGGTGCACTATCTTGTTGCAAAAAGACATGTGGCTGAAGCTCTTCTAGTTGTGGAAAAACGAAGTTTTCCACCGTGTCTAAGTGTATGACTGATGAGACCGTCTTTTCTGTAGGCGAGGAGGTCCAATTTCTTGGCCATCCAGATCACCTGATATAAAGCCGCTGAACTTTTTCTTTGGGGATTTATAAAGGACAATGTTTACAGGAGGATCGTGTTGAACATTGATGACCTAAAAGCCATAATTACAACAGCAATAGCCTCTGTGGATGCCGACATGCTTGCCGCTACCTGGCATGAAATTGACTATCGACTTGATATTCTCCTTGTGATGAAGGGGGCACACGTGGAAGTTCATTGACAAGGGTCATGAAACTTTTTGAGTCTATCTAACCATTTATGTTATTAATTTTAATCTATCTTTATTATTTTATGAGTTATTAAACATCAAAATGGGTTCGGGACTTTATAAACACCCTGCATATCTATACCTATATGCGTGTATTCACAAAATAACAACAATATAAAAGCAACTGCAGTCTAAAAATAAATAAAAAACGAATAGTTACTTGAATACTTAAATTTCAATACTGCTTATTCAGTAATCAGTGATTTTTAAAGTTAGTTAGTTTTTTAGTTACTAATTTAAAAATTAATAAGTAAAATACCCATTTACTTAATAGCTTTATTTTAGTTACAAAGAAACAACAAATTGCTAGGTAACCAAATATCTAACTCAGGAATTAACTAAGATTGCTTGTTACTTAGTTAAATAATGACTTAGTTTGTAATAAACTTGCAAACATTTTAGTTTTAACTAAAGTAACTTTGTATTTAAAAGGTTAATTAAAAAAATTATTTATTAGCTAACTAATCATTTACTAGAATTTACTAATTATTAGTTAATTATTTACCAGAACGTAATAGGTCTGTTTGTATACCTGAGGCATCGAGGGCCTCAAAATATCCACAATTTTCAAGTTCTACAGGTAGAATGACTTTACAAACAATCAGGAACAGTCAGATGTCTTCTATTTCCAAACAAGCTTCTATTTACTGCTTCAGACTATCTTTCTTCCTACTTTGATTTATTTTTATAACATTACAATTAATAATATTTTAGAGATTTTATAAACTTATATACTGCTGCCATATTTTATTAAAATGCATATTGTTGTCCGTTTTCAATTGTGATTTGTCACATGGTTAGTGGTTTGGAATTTCATCAAACTTTTTTTTCAAAGTTACAAAAATGCCATGTAGTAACTTTCGATTTAAAAAGTCAACTAGTTGTTACACATTGTTTGGAATTGTTTGTTTTTTTCTTTTGAGATTTGTAAACTCAAGTATTTAAGTGATCTTTCCATGTTTATTATAATAAGTTATATTTTGGCAATGAATTAATGTTATCTGAACAACCAGGGAGAAGAAAAGATATCAACAGAATCACTTATTTTACCTAGAACTTGGGAAGAAAATGTTGAATTACAATTTCGTCATATTTTTCTACTATTAAAATTTACCTACTGGTGTTTTGTTACTATTGTTAGAATTTTTTTTATCTAATTTATTGCTTTATATAAAGGAAAAAGTTTTACCCACCAGTCTAACTTTGTGTCATCTCTGTGTATTGTATTACACGCATATTAATTCATTGCAATCAAGTCTGAGAGACACAGATATTAAACATTATTGTGCGAAGCTGAATACAGCTTAGAAAATTAAATTATATATATATTGTACTTTTATAATGTGGCAAATAAATTAAATTTTAAATATGTGTACTTTTCCATGCTCTTTACATAAAATTAGTTACAAAATAATGATTGAAAACAAACAATAATAATGAACGGATTTTGAGATGACATAATACTGTAAATAAAGTCTCTGCTGTGGTTGGCTAGAAAAAAATTGATTTAAGTGTTAATAGCTCGCACACATTAACTTTCCACATAATCACCAGAAGTTATAAATACACTTTCTTAAAAATTAAAATATTTTTAAAAAATAAAGAGAAAAAACATAAAAAATAAAGCTCCTTTTCATATTGAAAAGATTACATCAGAAAATTAGTAATCCTGTTAAAAATATTAGTAAAATTAAAATAATTTCATTTAAATGTTAATAATGTGTCTGAAATATATAATTAATAATAGTAAATGGTTTATTATTGTTTAAATTTAAATAATGCCTAGTAATTAATTAATTAGCCTTAAAATATATAATTATAAACTTACCTGTTTAAAATATGCAGATTACGACAAACAAAATTTTTGTAAGATTCTAATACGTCAAAATCTATTTCTTTTGTATCTCGCCTCCCTCTCTGTTTTTCTTCTAAAATGTTTAGATAATACTCCTGAAGAATTTCGCCACAATCCACATAAAAACAAGCTTCTAGAAATTGAAGATTACACAACAAAGAAGCAAGTTCTGGAGTACACCTTCCATTGAATAAATGAGAAAGTAATCCTCTAAATGCATAGCCAGAACGAGTTGTAAATTTCGCATTATTATCAGGGTCACAAATAGAGTAGTAGTATGCTAAAAGCAAAAAAAATAAAAAAAAATATGAAAATTGAAAAGCCTCCCCGCCCCCCTTAAAAAGAACAAAACAAATATATTTCTCAAAATTGTATATTTTGCAGCTTGTGCTTATGCAAAAGGGTACTATTTCATGTTTTTCATCATGTAGCACTACACATGATAAGATTGGAAAATTGAATATACTCCTACCATAAAATCTATACTCTAAATATGTAGAAACAGTACATGTCCAAAAAATGTATTGAAATCTTTCGATCCATAAATATAACACAATAAATAATAAATGTTTACTTAATATTGTTTACTCGAAATAAGGTAAAAATTTTAAATTCATCAATTAAGATAACTGAAAAGAGAAGACCTTAAAAAGTTTCATAGATTGAAATAAAAATTCTGTGCAAGTAAAGCACAGAAAGGACAAGTATTCTTTTTGCCCTACCGCCTAAATGCAAATAGGCAAATGATATATCTCATAGTAGGAATTGTATATATACTGGCAACTCAAAACTGCACTAGTTCTAGCTGGTATTTTCTTCTTCCCTTTGTTCATTGAACTCTATCATTATGCTTAATGTTATGTAGATTACAAGCCAGTGAATTTTTTACACTTTTTCATTTCTAATAAATAGAATTGTTTCCCCCTAGTTTTGTCCATAATTAAAACTTTACTTACATATTCAATGTAATGAAACACATTGTACAAGATGCATGTGGTTTAAACAAATCACTAAAAAACAGTTTATTTTTTATAGCAGTCTAAAAAACAGTTATAACAAAAATAGCTTATTTAAAACATGAGAATTAAAATTTGACAACCTCATCACAAATGTCTGAGAAGAAGTGAAGAACAGAAAATGAAATGTAATTGTAATACAATTATAGATGCAGAAATTATGGCGCCTATGAGTTGTCTTGAACATTCTCCTATTCAATGAAGAATTCATTCTTGATTCACTGGTAACTTAATTTAACTATTAATCGCTTGCAAAGTCTTTTTGCAGTTTTCACTGTAACAACTCGAACAATATCATCTTTTCCTGAATATACTCCAATAATTCTGCCTACAGGTCAAGTAGCAGGTGGAAGATTGTCTTCTCTCAGCAGTACTATATTACTAATAGAAAAATATTGTCTGTTTTCCCATATGTTTTGCTACCGAAATTAATTTAAATATTTTGTATGCCATTGCTTCCAAAACCAGTTTTTTAATTTTTGAATAAGTTCCCAGCATGTATGATAACTCATATCGTCCAAATCTAATTTTTCAGGGGGAGATGATATTATTTTCCCTAATAAGAAATGAGAAAGAGTTGATTCATCTAAATTATTTATATCATTATCACTAACTGGAGTAAGAGGTTTCGAATTTAAAACTGCTTCAATTCAAGTTAATAAAGTACTTAATTCCTCAAATATTAAAGATGCATCACCTAGAACTCAATGCAAATGAAATTTAACTGATTTTATCCCAGGCACCGCCATAATAGGGAGAAGCAGGCGCTACCATATGCCACTTAATTGAATTTTGATTGAGGAAATAAGATTAATTTTTATCGATATTTATCTCAATGGCAATTCTACCCATTTCAGACAGTTTAAATTTTGCACCTACAAAATTCGTAGCATTATCACTGTAAATATGCTTAGGAGCACCTCAACGTGATGAAAAAAGAAAAACAGCAATAAATGCATTTGTTGAAAGATCACTAACAGTCTCAATATGAACAGCTTTAGTGGAAATGTATTCAAACTAAGCAAAATATAACTGTTAATTAATTTTGTGCGTCTTTTTTTTTAGAGTTTTCAGATAAATTGGACCAGCATAGTCCACACCACAAACTAGAAATACTCTATTCAATTTAACTCGATTTGTCGGAAGATTTCCCATAATTTGTTGGGAATAAGCTCTATATCTACAACATATAAGTATTTATGAATATTACTTAGCATTAGTTTTCTACAAACATTAATCCAAAAGACTGGCGAATAATGTTTGGTAAGACAGTTGAAACATGAAATTGTTTTGCCAATATACTAAATTTATGCTGATGAGGTAAAATTATTGGATGCTAATCATATTTAAAAGGAGAGTTTTGAAAACGTCCTCCTACTGACAAGATACCTTCATCATCAGTGAAAGGTAACAATGAACTTAAAGAACCTTTTATTTAATAGCTTATCTTTTTTAATATTTCAACTCATAAGCAAGCAATTTTTTCTGCTCATAAGATAAAATATAAATGAAAACAACATTTTCTTCCTTTAAAGATAAAGGAATACTCATCTTTGTATTATCTGACACAGGAACCAATTTTTTCTTTCCCAAGCTTATTTCTACATGATGAATAAATTTCATGCAATAAGATAAAATACAAACAATTTTGCTTAACGAAGAATCAATTTCAAATATATACTGAATTATATCATAACTAATACTGGCTGGAGAAGACAATGATTGCTTAGACCATTCCTCAGAATCATTAGATTTAACAATGTTCAAAAGCAAATCGTTTTGGTTTTCTTTTAGCCATGAAGGTTTAGCCCACCACAAATCAAAATTGATAATGATATGAGATTTAGCCACCTATCTGCTAGATTATCTGTAGACTTAACACTATGATATTTGTCATAAGATATGACATACAGCATTAATATTTCACTAATACAATTACCTACAAAAGTGTTCCATCCATGAGGATGGGAAGCAAGCCATGTCAATAGAGCCTTTGAGTGACACCAAGCAAACACTTTGAAATTATGTTTAACAAAAAATATTTAAAATTAATTTAATAAGTCTCACATGTAATAATGCGCCTTTAAGTTCTAATCTTGGGAATGAAATTTATTTAATTGGAGCTACCTTTGTTTCAGAACGCACTAAGTTTACATTTATACAATTATTTCAATTATTTTTATCCTTTTGCCAGTAATAACGCTACAGCTGCATATGCAGACTTAGATGAATCACTAAGCTCATGTAAGTCAATATCATCACGATAAATACGTAATAAACTAGGTATTTTAATCTGTGTACAAATAAATTCTTCCTACAATTTAATCCGCTTTTGATGTAATTTAGAAGGTAAATTATCATCCAAATTAAGTTTTTCAAGCCACATTTTTTAATAAAAAATCTTAATTAGAAACGTACAAGGAGATAATAATTCCAATGAATCAAATAAACGTTTTGAGTGAGAAAGAATATTTTGCTTGGTGAAGGAAGATTCAATATTAAATTTAACCTTAATAATAAATTATCAAAATTCAAACCCCATTGAAGATCTAATATTTTGGAAGAATCATCTGCAGAAATGTCTGTAACAAATGATTCATTTTTGTTGGCAGAAATTTGTTCGATTATTTGCTTACAATTAATAGAACAAATACAACTAGGATTTTTGTTTCTATTATCAATAGCAATTTGATGCAAATATCTAGTAGCTAAAAATGATGCCGAAGAAGTACCATAAGTTACAGTACACAATTTATACACTTTTATTTTTGAATTATAATTATTTCTCTCAACAATTCTTTGATAACTTTGATCTGGAGAATTAATTAATATTTGTCTATACATTTTCCTAATATTGCTTTCTTTTTTGCATTTTTATATTATATATGCTTTCATTTTCATCCGCTTCTTATATGGACGTTTATTTGAGTATAATGACTTTATTCATATTAAAAGTTTAAATTACTTTGATATAATGATTATACGTACGTACGTACCTACCTACATACATACATACAAGGTAGGGTCAAAAAGTTCCCGGAATAGGTCAAGTACAAATTACTATAAAAAATAGGACAATAATTTTTTATTGACCTTCAAAGTATTTTCTTCCTGTATCTACACACTTCTTCCAACGTCTGTATAACTGTTGAAAACATTCCTTGAATCCATTTTTTGAGTGGTCCTTCACTTGCTTCATTGTATTTTCGATTACTTCATCGTAATTCACAAAATAGTTTACCTTCAATTTCATTTTCAGTTGTGAGAACAGATAAAAATCCATTGGTTCAAGGTCAGGAGAATAAGGAGGGTGTTCCAGAGTGGTATAACAGTGTCTCATAAGGTGTATCTTGTTCACAATCAGAGTGCAATGTGGTGGAATATTGTCGTGCAAAAGGAACCATGTGCAAACAAAAACAATGCATGTTAAAATCATCATGCAGAATGTTGTGAACCTCTTATGTAAAATTCGATGTTTAAAGACAATAGCATCAATGGTTATTCATTCATCCACATACACGATTTTTCGAACACGCAGTGGAATGTTTAGAATAGGCAGTTTTTGATCACCCATTCTCATCTGCGGTGGAAGATGCGAGGGTTATCTCTGATGCTTGCGTGCCCTTCATAAAAACGCTTATGCTCCTGGTACACAGCCGTTTTTTTCATGGCATCATTTCCGTATGCTTTCATCAGCATCTCAGAAGGTAATTTCTCGAGAAAAACACAAAATTTGATGTTTGCATACTGCTCTAAAGACAACATTTCAAAGTCTAATAAATAAAAAAATTCGCTACGTCAGAAATCATTTGCAGCTAATGCCGGCATAACCGGGAATGAATTCCAGGTGGCTGTATGTTTTTATTAGTGCTGCCAACCTCTAAAAAATATTTCCTCTCCTGCGAACACCTACATGAATGTAGACAACCAAATGTGGAATTTATAGACTCTCCCTTGTATACATACATACATATGTATATATAGAGAGAGATTTTGTATAACTATCTTTGTAACTAGTAGGAATTAGAATTCTACACACTCGAACCATTATTAAAAATGAAAAGTGTTTTGATGAACTTTTTGAGAAAAAAATGTTTTTTTTAAAAGATAGTTTTTTGATAACTTTTCTGGTAACTTGAGCTAGTAGTTAATCAAGTTAATATTAAATTTATTTATACTAATCACAAATTGAAACAAAAACTTTTCTTTATAAATATCATTAATCAAAGTTACTTTAAAAAGGAAAAAATTGCTAAAAAATGAAAAATCAGTTTTTAAAGAAATATAATGTGCCCTTTTATAATTGTATAAATAAAAATTACCTGCTAAAAGAAAATGCATGCTTTTCTGAAAATTGGAATAATTTTTATTCAAGTAGTACTTTTTCACGGCTTTCTCCAGTTCTGATCCAGCCAGACTCAAGCTTGATGGTCTTAATAAAAAAGTAAACTTTAATTGAGCAAAAATAATAAGGATACTAACAATCAAGAATTTTTTTTCATCAAGAAACAGTAAGAAGACTAATAATTAAGAACATCTTAAGACTTCGTAAAATTTTCCAGAATATTCTAATTATTTAAAAATTTCTATTAAATATGCATTTAAAAAAAACAAACAAGTTTATTAGAAGTCTACTTATCAAAAATTAAGTTATTCAGATATTTAGTTTTTTTTTATCACACTGAATGGAAGCAAGTAATTGGTAGCAATAGAATTTGAAGTCAAGGTGTAACATCAATTAATTAGTTAGATATTATATAGCTTACATCATAAGACATTTAAAAACCCAAACTGCAAATGTTAACATTACACAATTAAACATAAGCAAATTTTGTTTGTTACTAAACTATAATTTTATTTTTAGTTTGTTATCAGCAATATTAAATATTTATCAGTTCTTAAAAGAATTTCTGATTTTTCTATAGTAAGTTGAGAAAAGGATGACAAAGCATGTAACTATTTTTTGAATGGGGTTAGCACCATAAATATAATAAAATAAGATATTATATAATAAAATAAGATATATGCCAACTGTTTGTGTATTCTGAGTACTGCGGGTTGATTTATTGATTGAATATAAAGTTTTATGGTGCAAGATCTAAAGGAGGATATGCTGTGCCAAAAAATTTGATCTGATTTATCAGATCAAATAGTAAACTGCATACTACAATTTCATCTTCATAAAATAAATGAAACTACTAAAATGGTTAATCTCAAGACACATATATTTAAAAGTTCATAAAGTTTGATAAAAAGCGTAATTCCATAAAATACACAGAAAAGATAAAACATTACATGGGTTAGAAATAAGAGTGAATAAAATCAGATAAAACAGTTGTATACAATATAAAATACCAGGGGTCTGTCTAGTTTTTTCTGGGTGGTACCTATTTTGTGAAAATTTAGACATAATTTGTGAAAATTAAAAATTATATTAAAAAATCAACTCAAAAATATGGTAAAAATATGGATTTATCGTTTCTTACAAGAGATACAAAAATGAAATTGTAAAATAAAGTATTTTGTGAAACTACCATTTTTCCTAAAGTAGTATTTGTGAAGGTACCGGTCAATGGTAGTAAATTTGGCTTGGATAGACCCCTGAATACCAATAGCTTTCAGAAATGAGAAAATGTTAGGATGATGAATTTTCCCTAACATATCCTTCATACATAAAATAGTGCTATTAAAAAAGGTTAGATGTTAAAACAAGGACTAATGGTTAAAATGTGATGAACAGTAAGTAAAATGTTACAAGTGTTACATTAGGGAGGAGATTCTCCGAACAACAGATGAAGATGGGAGAGTCGAGTGTGGCCAGTTCTGAGACGATTAAGTTTTACATCTATATTATGCAGGCGCAATATGGGTGAAGGATCCACATAAGGTTTGATGATATAAAGTTTATTTTGAATTTGAAAATCACAATGCTGTTGCTCTGAGTACTATGGAATCTAAATGGCATTTGCAGATGCCAAATTTAACACAAAAAGAGATAGAAATGGATAAGATGTTTTTTGATGCTTAATTTTCACATTTTTTATTAGTTCCTAAAATATTAAAAACAATGGTGATTCCTGTATGTTGAAACATAACATGCTTAAACTAACTTTTCTAGAATTATTTTTCCATCATGAATTTCGCAGTGTTTTTTTTTTGAAGTCTTATTTTTTTAGGATGATTTTTAGATTAACGGAAAAATAATTTAAAAAAAAAACATTTTTTAGTAAACTGTGCTTTGACTGACCCTTCCCCAATTTCTTTTTCAAAATTAGGAGATACAAGAATCTATTAAAAATCTGAATATGAAATTTATATGAAAATACATCTATATCTATTTAAAACCTTAAATATAGAAAAGTATTAATTACACAATTTATTAAGATTTTTCCTAATTAAAGTAAAAAGTAAATTTTTCTATCTACTCTGATCTTTCTCAAATGAATGACAAATATTTTTCTTAAATGACAATGCATAATTATAGAGTATTTTTGCATAAATGCAACACACTTGAAATGAAAGATGAATTAGTTCTCTTCCAAAATTTTTTATTACAACTTGTTTCGCATCATTTGATTTCTTAAAAATTTATTTAATGGAAAATATGGTGTGCTTACTAGATAGTTTCATTTCTTTAAATATCAATTTCTTTTTGACCTAGGGTAAGTAATAGATAAAGTTTTCAATGTTATAGCTTTAATTTATGCCAGAGTTTTAAAACGATTCTGAATTACTGAAAAAACAAGTTTTAGATGTTTCAGTGATCAGTCTGACTATCTTTTCAAGAGAAAACTACACTATCTACCCATTAATGACCGGACACCCCTCATTTCGGATACATGAGGTGCTAGTATCAAGTCAGTAGGGCGTAGGGCCGCCACGCGCCCGAATCACAGCTTTAACCCTTCTAGGAAGGCTATCCACTAGGTGTTGGTACACGGCGGCAGGTATTGCCCGCCATTCCTCCTGTAACATGGCGAAGAGTTGAGTGGTGGTTTTGGGGCGTTGTGGTCTGGCCCTCAACCGGCGCTCCAACTCATCCCAGAGATGCTCAATTGGATTGATGTCGGGACTTTGGGATGGCCAGTCAAGCTCTTGCACCCCCATTTCATCAAACCAGTCCGTGATGGCATGTGCTTTATGAATGGCAGCGTTATAGTGTTGAAACACAAACGGGCCATTACCGAACTGTTGCCACAGGGTGGGAAGCGCCGAATTATACAGGATGTCTCTATACCCTTCTACCTTCAGGGTTCCACGCACCAACACCAAGGGTCCAAGGCCAAACCATGAGAAACAGGACCACACCATAATTCCTCCACCGCCGAACCTCACAGTGGGGACAATGCACTCCAGTAGGTACCATTCTCCGGGCATTCGCCAGGTCCACACCCGTCCATCAGAGTGCCACAACATGTAGCGTGACTCATCACTCCACATAACGCTTTTCCATTGCTCTACTGTCCACTGGCGACGTGCTCTGCACCACTGAAATCGGTGGAGGGCGTTCGATGGAGAGATGTTTGGCTTATGTGCTGCTGCTCGTCCATGGAATCCTTGTGCAATCAGCTCCCGATGAATGGTACGTGTACTGGCTACATTGCCAGATGCAGCCCGGAGGTTGGTAGCGACAGTGTCCAACGACATTTGTCGGTTTGCCTTCACTACACGTCGAAGAGATCGTCGATCCCTGTCGGACATTATTTTGGGCATGCCGGGTCGGGACTGCGGTTTTATCACTCCCTCTCGTTCCCATTTCAACACGACGTCACCAACTGTTGACCGTGGTAACTGAAACTTGTCGGAGATGGCATGTATGGAATGATCAAATAGGTGGGCGCCTATGATTATGCCCCTTCCCGCCTCATTCAGCTCTTGCCGTCCACTCATCTTCACTGTTAAGGCTCGTATGGCCGTCGCCTGCTTGCGAATGGTCTTTCCCCCACCACAGGTTCCGTATTTATTCCGCCAGGACGAGTCCACCTGCCGCTCAAGGGGTGTCCGGTCATTAATGGCTAGATAGTGTATTTAATTTAGACTTTTTTTTAAATCTGTTGCAACTAGGATACTAATATTTCTTAGAAATATTTAGGCAAGCTTAATTGCTAATTATATGATTGATTGATTTTTCAGAGGCAAACTAATCTATGGAGAAGTGAATGCTTTAAATGTGTACAGCAACACATTTTTGCATCAAGATATAAATGTCTAAAATAGGTAGTTTAAAATTGTTAATAAATTACATTGAAACATTGCTAAATTTAAAATTGCTTTCATATTATTTCTGACAAACGAAAAATATAATCAGTTAGAACATACCTTGACTGTCTAAATGAAAAATTACAAATTGAATGGAGCATGGAACAGAAAGTCACTTGACTTATTAAACTGTCAGGATTGAGTGAAATAAATTTTTGTATAGTTTTTTCCCAAGAGTTTGAGGCATTGCTTGCTTTATCCATTAATACTATACTTAAAAGAACATGCAAATCTCTATCATCTAGCCCTGTAAAATAGAATTAATGATTAGTGAAATATTATGGTGCAAAACTTCAAAATTGTTAAGATATTTCAGCAATTACATCTGTAATTACCATCACTAATATATATTTTTAAATCCTAGTATAAACATTAAAATCTAAGCAAAAAATGAAGTAAAAAACTATGCATGTTACAGGGGAACACATTATTTAAGGATTATTGAAGGTAAAATGATCAAAAATGTTTACAAACTCAAACCAATAAATATTTATGTTAATATAAGTGCAAAAGAAAAAAATTGAAATAATCAAAAATCACATTATTTGAGAATAAAGATCAATAAAAATTCCTATCCCTGAGAGTCTCACATGTCCTATTTTTGAGGGGGATGAAAATAAAATACAGTCACACTAGTTCCTTATATTTCAGTCATAAAAAATAAGCTTCTCAAATCTGTTGAATATCTGTAAAGATATTTACTTTCCTGTTTTTACTTTTAAAGATCTTACATCAATGACGATTGTTGAGAATTTTCTGTTTGTTAAAATTACTAAGGGCTTTTTAAATTTCTAATGATTGAGGGGGACATATAACCCAGTTAAAGATGTCCATTTTCTTATCAAAAGAAAAATGCTTTGCTAACACATATAAATTGGTGGCTCAAGATTGTAATCCCTGCTTTGTTCTTTTTTGCCACACTTAAAACAAAAATACACTTTTTAACTAGAGTGAAACACATAGAATATAAAAGAGAAAACCAACCTTCTTTGGTGATGCACAATAAGGTGAGAGCTGATTGAATTAAGATAGATCCATATTCATTCTCCATCTGTATAATCACTTCTTGTAAAAGTAAAACTGAAGATGTGGGAAGACTTTGAAGCATAGGCACGAACTAAAAAGCAGGACAAAAAAAAAAAAAAAAANAAAAAAAAAAAAAAAAAAAAAAAAAAAAAAAAAAAAAAAAAAAAAAAAAAAAACATTGTAATGCAATGCATAAAATAGTTATGCTGAAATTATAAAACATACTTACAGTTTCGAAGGATGCATAAGTTCGTAAAAAGTCACACGCTAATCTTAAATACATTGGAATACCACTGTCTTTTTTTGTTACCATAAGTAACATTTGGTTATTAAATGAGCTTTCATCCAAAGTCTTTCCAAAAAGACTTAAATAGTGTCTTACTACAGATTCTTTTTCTGATTGAGGAAGTGCAATAAGGTTTTCCAAATATAACTTGTTATCAAATGCTTGTCGTTCAAGAAGCACCTTTGAAGCATGTGAGGATTCGGACGCTGTGCAGATAAGCCTAAGCCTCTGAATATAAAAAAGAATGGATAAATAAAAGAAGTCGATAAACATATAGGTAAGTAGAATACATTTTAGAGAACACAATTATGATTAAATTATTTTTTTTAAATATTAAAGTTTAATAAATGATTCTTCATAGCATTCAAAACGAATATGGAAAACGTTAAACAAAATGATAGTGCTACACTACTCTAAAAAACTGTGAAAAAGAAATTAAGGCAGATCAAAAGCATAGCGAAAAGTAGCATAACAAATTATTACAAATTTTAGAAATCTAATCCTCTTAAAAATAGTTTTAAATCAAAATACAATTAAACTGAATGCATTAAAATAACTTTAAATTAAAAAAAAATTTTTTTTAAAGAAATTTTTACTGCGGAGCTCAAAAATAATAGTGGTTCGCTAGTCAGAGACCACTAAAAATTTTTTTAGACTACCATAAAATAATTCTTAGTGGCCCTCAGCCCAGTAATCAATATAAAGGGATGGTGTTTTTTTTTCTGGATGTCTGGTTTCAAGTTCTAATCTCTGTTTTTTTATTAATAAAATAGCATATTTTATCATAATTGTGATATAAAACCTTCTTGTACTAATTACATGTCGTCATTTTTCCTTTAACATTCACTAAATTAAAATTTTAAAAAGTCTAATAACATGTCAAGACCCGTGAAAATGTGTGCAGCCTAGTATAATATCGTTCAGTTATTGGTACTTCTGAACAATGACTAAATTGTCTTATTTTTAACCACACATATATTATACATAATTTTGTATTTATATACATTACATACATACATATTATAAAGAATTAAATAGATTTTGTCTTCAACCTGCAAGATTTCCAACAAAACAAAATAATTTTGTTCATATAAGTCTGAGAGAAATATAGTTCATAGAAAAGCACCATTGATTAACCATTGAGCCATTAGCCAAGATCACATTGAGTATTATTACATTCATAATGTAATAAAAAATTATAATGAACTGAGGTGATCCAAAAATAAAAAGAAGAAAGATCATTAAAGTTCTTGTATAATGGCACTACTTAGAGCTAATCTTAATGATTAAAGAGGCTAACTTTAAATTTGTTAATTATTCTGTGCAGACAAATATTTTAAATTACAAAATCTGAGACAAAAAAAAATGCTCTTTCTCTGAATAAACATGCCTTTTTTAAAAAAACTTGGATTCCTTGCACTAAAAAAGGTGGGGTTTTCACAATCTAGAAAATAAGGCCCCAATAATTTAAGCAGGAGAGTGGGTAAATGTTTAGACCTTAATACTAATTTCAATTTTTACATGTTTCACCATGTATACAGCATAAAACTATGTTATTCACAGATCGTTGTATTTAAAAATTAAATTTACATAATTTTATTTATTATTTTTTATAATTAATTTTTAAAAAAATTAAAATTATAAGGTACAAAAATTTTATATAATTTTTAAACTTAAAACAACAGAATTCAACCGAATTCATCAAAAAGTTGGCAGAAAAGGACATTTTTTTTAAAAAAGTTTTTTTTATAGTATTCAGTGTGAAAAAGTTATTGATAATATTTAATAGATTAAGGCCCCATATTATTATATACCACGCATTAAGAGTCAAGAACCCAAATACATAAAAAAAAAGGCACGGTTTTCAGAAAAAGTATGTTTTTGCACTTGATTTTGATACATCAAATATCCTTTCACAAATTAATTAGCATATTTTAGCCTCTTAAGATTGCATTATAGTACAAGGTAATCCAACAGTTAGTTCAAAAATTATTTAACTGTTTTACTTCTTATTTTGCTTCTTCTTATTACTGTGTTACTTTATAAACAGAAATACTTATAGATAGTTGATAAAATAAGAAAAGATAAATTGTTCCTAACTTCAAACTTGGAAGTTTTTGGAATTGTATCCTTTGATTTTCATTTCTTTTCTTTCTTCAAATACGAATAAGACTCAAAGACTAGAAATGATAGCCATTTATGTAATATTTTTTAATTTAAGTAATGAGTAAAAGAGTGGAACAAACACACAGATTTAATCAATCCATCAATATATTTACTTAGCAGCAAACCTCAGATTTTTTAGTAATAAGTTTTTAGAGAGTGAATTAAAATCCTTCTGTGAACATTTAATAACATTAATCAACTCATGCTTTCCTCAGTGGTGCAACAGCACAAGATGGGCCCTAACTTGATACCAGTTGCCTTTATTTTCGGATTTCACTTTTTATCAAGTTATTTTTCATGTTTTTATAACAAAATTAAGACAGTACAACCAGTTTGCCACCAACCAGTTTGCCAAGTTTGTGCCACCCTTTTTTCAGTACTATTTAGTTTGGTTATAAATAGTTTTGGTAGTCTTTCTGTCATTAGCTTTAATTAGATGTTCAGTCTATCTTAAACTTTGAAAGTTTATGGCTGATTCGCACAAAATATGACAATTTACAGTGTCTTGCTTCAAGATCTAATACTATACTACAAAAAGAACTTTTTTTAAAAATTTTAATAAATAGCATTGCTGTTAGTATTTTAAAATGATCTTGTATTAGCATTGCATGTTTTGCATATTTAAAAAATTTAATTGAATTTCAAAATATTATTTTCCTGGAATATCACCAACAATATTTCCAATAATAACTAGCTTCAAAACATTCCATTAATTTTTTAATATCTAATTTTTTTTAAATCTCAACCGTTGTAAGCATTTCTAGAATATATGGGGAGGGTATTATTTACATAAACATTGTTGGAAAAAAAAATTCTGTCAATAATTTGTTTGTCACAAGAAAATCTGTCATTTTCCTGGCCACTTTTATTTAGTGATTTATAACCAAAACAGATAGAGCCAGCAATCAATATCTTATGTTAATAGATCGATTAGAATACCATTCTATCTGAACATGTCTTAGTGCATGTAAAAAGTACCAACTTTCTGGTTCAAAACCTATTTCAAAAATTTTTTCAAGGTTGGTAGGTTTTTATGTTGTCATTTTCCTGTCTTCTTAAAATCATCAATAAGGTAACCTACTTAGATTTACCTCAGTTATTTCAAGAACCCCTGTTGTTTTCTGCGGAATGTTAAGCCAAATCTTAGACCAAAATTTTAAATTTAAGTTAAGTTAAATTCTATATAATGGCAAATTGTCATTATCCTGGGTTATGAATGCCAGGATATTGAAACAGTTACCAGAAATTTTTTTAAACAGTTGAATGTAAAGAGAGTAAGCAAATATTAAACTAATACCAAGTTTATGTACGATTGTAATATGATTGAATGTAATCAATGTTTTTTTATTTAATGATTGATTATTATACACAATTTTATTCTGTACATATCAGCAACAAAAACATTTCTGATTCTTTCTACGGTTCATAAAAGAATTAATTTAAGAAATTCATGGTCCATCTAACGCAAAGGCTTAAGTTGAGTTACTTACTATTAGCTTAAAATGACTGTTCTTTTAACTTCTAAGCTAATATGTTATTTTCCTGGCATTCAAAATTTGGTGAATTTCGATTTTATTTTATTTTCTTGAGCAAATGCCAATAAATTGCACGGCTGTCTGTAAGATATTAATAAATATAACTAAATAAATATACAAAAAAAAATTTAGATTATCATGCAGACTTTAAATTTGAAGAAATTTTTTCTTCCGAATTGTCATGTTTCTAAAGAGTCACCCTTATAAAATTAATTGTGTCTAGATATTTGCAAATTGCTATATTTGTTATTCTTCTGCAAAATACATTTACTTGAACATCACCAAAAATATCTCTTAAAATTATTTTCTCAAAAATTGCCAGGATTTCTCATCTTTTTTTGTCAATGCTTGAAGTTTCAGTTGCATAAGTTAAAATAGGTCAAAATAAGTATTTGTATCACTCTTTATTCACTTTAACTAGAACTAATTTTATTAAAACTACACATTCATTGAGAATTCAGTTGGAAAATAAACTCTGTTTGGAATTCTGTCCTTATTCTGATTTGTTATAATGAAACATTACAATTTGCAACTAAGTTAATTTAAACTTCTGAAAAAATTAATGATAGAACTTAAATAAATTTAAATTCATCTTTCTTGAAATTACATTTTTTTTATTGTAAAAGTTTCTTAAAAATAATTTTAAACTAGTTAAGACAAACTCAGTTTATAAATACAGAAAAAAAAATTCTTGGGGACCTAAACATCTTATTATAGTATATTATTGGTTATAAAATAACCAACGATTACAAACTCATTGACTTTTTATTTTATTTTATGAGTGCCATATTACTATTTTTTCGATATTTGCTACCTGAATTAAATATTGTCAGTTTTGCTTTTTTTAAAAAATTAACATTGAATAAACTTGTTTCTCTCAATGTAAACAATTATATCCCTATGCAAACTTAACACATTTTGAAGATATTGTAAATTAAATTCTCAAAAATTTAGGAAAGATTGGGGTTGATATTATATATTTTTTTCCATTTCTCATCTCTATCACACATAGAAATAAAATAAAATGAAGAAAATTTTACTTTAGGTAAGTGAAGAGGTAACCAATCAAGTAATTGACCATCAGAATCTAAGTAATCAATTCCATCAAGTAATAGAATAAAATCTCTCCCGCTATCAACAGCTTGCTGTAGAATTTCTGGAAAGTTATTCTTCACATCACTGAAAAATACAGAGAACTGTGAAATACATCTTAATAGCACCATTTTAAAATACTTATAAATAAAACATTAGTTTATGTCATACCTTGGTGAATTTGGAAACACAGCAGACACAGGAAGTTTTCTTGCAATGGATTCAGATATAAAATGAAGCATGTAATTAACATTTGTTGATCTTGGTGTTAGTCCAATAAAAAACTTAATCACTATAAAATTTTGTAGCTTATTAAGGAGATCAACCTATAAATTGAAAGAACAAATATGATCTAGATTATCAATAGATATTTGTATAAGTAATATATTTTAAAATTTTGAAAACATTTAAGATATTTTTTAAAATAACTTAGAAATTTCTTGCATACAAAACTATAAGAAGTGCATACAAGATTTAGTATGTTTTTTTAATATAAAATAAATAAAATTATTGATTTAAATCATAAAATGTGAGGATGATAAAATATTTCTACAATTAAATATTCTAAATAAAATAATGTAAATAATCTAATTTTTAAAGCATATTTCCTAAGTTACAGAAATTCCACAATATAGAAATGCTACATGAAAATGGTGCTGAGAAGTTTGTTTTAAATATTTATAATATTTTTTAGAACTTAATAGATAAGAAATATACAGTCAATAAAAATTATAGACAATTTTATTAATTCAGAAATAAACTTATAAATAATAATAAAACATTTTTACAAAAACAAAAGATGCTTGAGATAACATCTCACCAGGTCTGAGGAAGAATAGACATTAATGTAGCATTCTTACATTGTGAGTGCACAAAAACAGTAGAAATATATACTTACAGTTAAAAATACGTTATTGATAAATTTATTATATGCTTTGAAAAGAAAGTTAAGTAGATTATGAATGAAAAAATTATGACAAACTAGAACCAGGGCTGTCTACCCACTCACCCACCTGCCAAAAAAAAAAAAGCCATCGAACGAAACCCCATAAAACCCATATTTTAGAGGGTCTTTTTAAGAAATGACAAAAAAGGAGTTTTCAAATCAAAAAAGGAGTTTCAAAGGACTTTTGAAATTAAAAAAATTGTGTCACTGATAAGTTCTCATTGTCTGGTTGGTTTAATTTCTTGTTCTGTGTTACTTTTCAAATTAAAAATTTTGCTTAACTAATAAATAATAATTTAAGGCTATCTCATTTTTGTATGCTGATCATGATCAATCCTAAATTGTAAAAAATGAAAAAAGAAGGGCTACTGGGTTGGAAAGAATAATGAGTGTTTTTCTGATAGAACTGTCTTCTAGGTATCACCTATCTATATTTGAAAATATCCATAGAACAGAGTTTAAATAAAATTAAATTAATTAATTGAAAAGCATTTCTGGCTATATCTCATTGAATAAAAAGTGAAATGAAGCTATATAATAATTTAATTTGTTTGTTAAGCTTTTTTAAAAAAAATTTATGTTTAACTTATCTTCCAATATTAAACTGTATGATGTTATAGATTTAGAAATAAAATTATATGCTATGTAATAATTGTATACAAATAATATACTATGTTGCATACCAAAAAATTAAACCTTAAAAAACCCAATTAAACACACCTGGGTTGGGCTTTATTTAAAAAAAAAATAATAATAATAATTTTTTCAGCCCTGACTAGGTATTAGGCTAAGAATTTAGAGGATTACGTCGCTTTTTCCTCATTAAAAAGAGAATCAAGGTGTTTCACAATTATTGTGCGATAACATCAAAGAAAATAATGGTTAAAATATTTTCGTTGAATCTTTTTCGAAATCAAATGCTAAATATTGGTTGCTATATTGGAATGACTGTTTCAGTGCTGCCATTCTAATAGACAATAAAATAATATTGCCTCTTGGCATAGCAAACGGGACTTTATCCATTGGTTGTTATAATGGAAAGGTTATTGTAATGAGGATCACACTACACAATATAAATTCAAATTTCTGTATGTAGTTAAATATTTAAATAAAATATGTAAGATTTTCTGTTAAGGTAATGCGTTTTATAAAATATTACCATTTAAAAAATTAAAAATTTAATTATCAGAAAAAGTAATGATTTAAATTTTCATGGCAGCCGTGAAATTGATGACAACAAATTTAATCTATTGCTCCTTTTTTTCAACAGCACAAAATTAAATTACTTTAAATAAAATTTTAGTTTTATGAGATGACAAAAGAGTATTTTGGTGAATTTTATCCATACAATAGATAAATTTAAAATATGTGTTCAAATTCCATAAAAAAATTTCTTAAAATTTGATGAATTAGAACATTACTGTCGAAAAATATTAAACAGTAGTTACTGAAATTCAGTAAACAGCAGAAAGAATTAAAATATTTATCTACTCATTCTATGTAATTATTTTATGTTTTATCATTTCATTTTCTATTCAATAAATACAGTATGATTTTGATAATAAACAAATCCATATATATGCCAAAAGTACATTTTCCCCCCAAATATTTACTCAAATTTCAAACCTCTATTAATGAAACTAAAGAATTGTTTTGTAACCCTATATGTAAAAAGCTATCCTTACTCTTTTGGAAATCATTTGAAACTTGTCACACATATACTGACATATGTGCTCTTACCATTTGACATTTGTTTAAAAAACAAGTCATTTTACAGTATTTCTGGTGTAAATTTCAATACTGTTAGCTAGGTGTATCTATATATATCTATCCTCACAGTAAGCAGTTCCTGATTTTCAGACAGAAATATGTGGCATATGATATTTTGTCAGTATAATTTTATTTGAAACTAATAACACATTGTAACAATTGACGCAGCGTTCCAAATTTCCTTTGTACTTTCCTCAAAATTAAAGCAAAAAAGTTGTTTTCTGAAACAGTTCCAGGAAAAGTAAAGAAATGTCAATTTGAAATTGCATGACTATATGTAAGTAAGCTCTTATTTTCTTGTTAGTAAAAGTTATAACAATCATTCAAGAAATCAAATATTGAAAATTGTTAAAATCAAAATTCTGCGAAGAATAAAACTAGTTTCATATACTAGTGAAAAAAGACCAATTTATATGCCATGGTATATTCATACAAGGAGAAAATCACAAATAAGTAATCACTACAATTTGGAGGAACTCTTACTCTGCTTATAATGTTCAACTGTGAGAAATGGAGAGCTAATATTGCATATTAAAACATTTACAAAACCTTTACCAAAACAAATTTCAGGTTGAATAAGGAAAGAAAAATAAATTGTAATGTTACTGTTGTACTGAATGTTTTATTAAAGGAAAGTTTAAAAAATATCAGCAAACTGACAGTTTTATCACAAATTAAAAAGTTTTGATGTTACTTGCAACATTTTGGTATTTTTGTAAAGGATATTAGATAATGTCTGAAGAAGGTTCCAACTTAAAAGAAATCTATCATTTCTGGTTGTGTAATAGTTCAAATATTTTAAATAATTTTTTATATAACTGATATTTTAATTAGTTATTAAACATTTTGAAATCACAATAAATTACTTTTCATAAACCAATGCAGCGGAGGATATATTGCAGGATACAATGCAATAAATTGCAGCAGAGGCTATTTATATTTCTAAGAATTTTTTAAATCTCACTTAGTTCTAACATTGATTTTAAAGAAGTTTGTAAGAGAAAAAACAATGATCGCACATACAGCAAATGTTGTCTTGCCACAGCCAGATGCACCAGTTATCAGAAATATTCCACATTCTTTGTTAATTGTTTTGGCTAAATTTTCAGCAAGAAATCTTCTTGCACCAATAAAACAATGAAAATTGCTTAGTAGATGTTGCTGATGCTTTTCCTCTTCAGACACACAATCCAAAGGTGGTTCCTAAAGTTAAAAAAAACAAATGCCATGTTTCCTCTTTACAAAATGAATTTAACAAATTCATACTAAACAGTTTAAGGAATTAAACAATCTACATGTGACTGATACTATCTTACAATGAAAATAATAGTTTTTTAATGAAACAATATAAAGCATTACAATTCTTTGTAAATATTTTATGAAGTAAATCATCAAACTTCGAATGAAATTTCAAAATAAAAATTTTATCAGTTTCTTAATTAATAAAATATAAGTCTACCTAAATGTCTTTGACAAGATGAAAGCTTTGGTCTGTTTAAAGGAATTGATAATTTTGAAAGAAATATTTCAAATTATTAGAATTGGAAAACAAGTTCTAAAATTGGAGTAAGAGAGCAAGAAGTAAGTGCACTTTTTTTAATAACTGACTTAAATAAAGGGCTACATTTTTAATTATGAAAACAATTTTAAAAAATCTGAAATATAACAAAAAACATTATATTAGAAGGTTAAAAAGTTCATACATGACAAAAAATTTGAATTATAAATATTTTAAGTTCAATCTGAACATAGGAAGGAAAAATGTAAGGAAAAAGATTTGAAGATTAAAAATTGTATCAGATCTAATAGCACAAAAAAATTTTATAAGTAGATTTCTATGCTCTATCAGATCTGATACCATCTTTGATCGTAAACTTTTCAAATAATAAGTACCACTTCAAGAAGGTAATTCCATACAACTAAACATCTGATGATATTTAGTTGTATGTATTATTTATTTAGTTCTGATGATATTTGAGTAACATCAAAATAATAAAGATATTTTTTATAAAAAGAAAAAGAACAGTTTATTCATAAAATAGCATTTTTGTGGTTCCTATAATATAGAATTAATATCTGTTAGACTTACTTTTTCATGAATATCCTTGATAACATTCCATAAATCTTCTATTATAGCTTTTCCAAATGAATCCAGACCACTCAAAATAGGTTTTTCCTTTAATGCACCAGCAAATTTACAATCATACCTAAAATTAACACTAAATATTAGCATATATAGATACAAGATGGAAAATAGTAATATAAAACACACAATTTTTAGAAAAACTATTTTAAACAAAATGGATCCAATTCAAAAACATAATTTAATTCATTTAATATATTAAAGACTAATGACGTGCATAATTAATTGTATACTAATTATGTATAGTATTATATACAAATAAATGCACAATTTAGTATTTATTAGAGCTTAAGGGAAAGTAGTAAATATTCATTAGTAGGAATTTACACACAAGTTAAATTATTATTTGCATTTCCTTATCTTCTCATCTAACTTAAATTAAACAGCATAAGTTTGCTTTTTAAACACAAATTTCATAATAATGTCTGAATTTTGGTATATTTTTATATTTTGAATAAAATTACTATTATGGTTGATTTTGAGATTAAAACTTATTTACAAAAATATTTAACATTTAGAGAGTGGAGTGATTTTGCAGTGATTAAGATCATACACTGTTAATGTGTAAAACTGACTTTGATCGCTGGTAGCTTTTTGAAGTTTATCCAGCTTCAGATTGATGGGTACCAGTTTGTTTGAGAACTAAAGGTAGTCATTTCAATGTTGACCATATAGCCATCATCGTGCCATAAATCTTGAAAAGTTCTTCTTTGGATGACAGCCTGGCTGTTGAATGCGTGCTTACTTAAATTTATAAAATTAATCTAATGCAAATTGTAAAAAAAAAAATTAAAGAAAAACCTAAATGTCAAAAGTCTTTCGACAAGTTTACACTATTAATGTACAGCAAAATTTAACTTATCATATTTTCTATTAAAATATATCCGTATGACACTAAGCACTAAAAAGAAGACTGTAAGGTTTGTTTTCTGAAAAACCCAGGCTTTTCGCAGTTCAGATTTACATTAACTAATAATTTATTTATCAATATAATGAATTTATGCAAAACATTCATTAAACTTTTTTTTTTATTAGTGCAACTACTTTTGATTTCTCTTTGTTGAAATGATTTTTTCAATAAAATATTTCAAATATGCAGGTTCTTACCAACTATGTAAGATTAAATTTATAACACATATTTTTCAAAATTTATATTTTGATTGCTAAAAATGACTTATTTTAACGATATGGTCATATTTGTCATTTGTAATTAAATAAGTTTATTAGAAAATGCTAAATTTTATAAAAATAAAGCTCTCTTTATTACAAGTTAATCCAACTCTTTTAAATCTTTCACAAAGCTTCGATAAAATATATGCTTTGAATTATTCCACAATTAAAATAAATAAATAACTGAGATAATCAATAGAAAGCTGAAGTCTTTTGCATTACAAACATAACACTTGGTAAAACAATATACTCCTCTACAAGGTTTCTGAGCTAAAATTAAAAAAGAGCTTTAGCAAAATCCTACAAGCCACAAGGCTTAAGAGTATGAGCATATGCTAGTCTAAAAGCTTGCATATGCCTCAATTCAATTTCTAATAAAAACTTTAAACATTTATTTGATGACAAGATTCTATGCAGGCTTAGCACTTGTAATTCTTCAACTACAAGGCAACGATGTATTTTTTGTTTGTCATTTTATCATTTTTAGTCAGTCGTTTAGCCTTTAGCTAGAAATGATACCGTAGCAGATACCTTGCTCCTCCATATTCAAGTGTTATTGTAATGAGGTTTACTCTAACAGTTTAACCCCTTAGCAGCAGTTCATTGATATTACACTGCTTTCTAGGACATAAAATCAGTTTAATCCTAAATAGTAGTGAAAATTGTCAGAAATACAATTAAAGAGTTAAACAATAAAATTTAACTGCAACACACCCATCAAATACTGGCAATCCACTATTACGAATTTTGGTTTTTAGTTCTTCCAACTTTAGTTTGGAATCTGGGGTTTCTGATATAAAATACTCTTGATATTTTGGAGGCACTTCACTAAAACAAAAGTATAATTCAATTAGTAAAATAATATAGTAAAAAGCAAACAATATAAAAATAACAAAAACAATATAAGAATAATAGCTCATGATGCTTTGGGGGTACTTAACTAAAAAAAAGTATAATTTCATTGGTTTTAAAATGATGTAGAAATGATTATAAAAATAGGATCAGTAAATTGCATAACAATAATATAGCAATTGTAGGTAAAACCTAATCTTTTACAAGCATTATTATTTTTTATTGTGGGCGAGTTTTAGAGCAGCTACAAGAATTTTTTCAATATTATAAAATATAAGTTTGCCTTGCTAATTAAAGTAAGTAATGATTCTTAAATATTATATTTTTAAAGTCTCTTAAAAAAAGAGAATGCTTAGGAATAGAGCGGGTACAACTAATGGAATAGAATAAGTATTATCATGCTAGGCTCTGTAATCAAATGAATAAAAGAAAAAATCTTTACTACGACATATAAGAATCTGTCATTCAATTGATCATTGAAGCAAATAATTGATATTTGAAAGGAATAATTTCATGGTTAATGAATTAAATATTTATCACATAACTGATTGGCAAGCATGCTGTAAAAGCACTACTCTAAGACAATTTATGTTAAAAAAGTATTGTTCTTGTTATCTATTTCTAAGTTTTAAATCATTACTTGGCTGGGATGGCCTGGTTGGTAGGGCATTGGGCTCATGTTCAAAAGGTTGCGAGTTTGATCCCCTTGGCCAAAGACTCTCTGTGTACGAAATGGTGAGGGGTGAAAGCTAAATCTCTTGGGATTACAAAGTCCTCTAAGTTCCCATAACAAATAAATATTTCTGGGGATATTGGATCGGAGATTGATCATGCTCTGGTTCAGGTCAAAATTATGGTCTGCGGATAGATGGATGGTGAGAACATGGGTCCACCCTGTAAAAAGGGTTGTGATGTATGTGCATGGTAGAAGTCAAATTCTTTGCCATAGATGGTGCCAGAGGAAAACAAGAAGCGCACCTCTCTGCCTTAAAAATAGGCTTGTCAGTATTGACAAGTAGCATAAGACAACAACAAAAAATCATCTCCTAAGAGCTCAGGAGATAGAATGAGCTTGCCTTCCAATGAGGTGAAACAGGTTCGAATCCCAGGGATGACTGGTTGATTCGAATTCCGCACCTGACTTGTACTGACCACAGTGCTGACGTAAAATATCCTCAGTGGTAGATGGATCACAGGTTAGTCTCCTTGCCATCAGGCTAACCGTGGGAGATTTCTGTGGTTTTCCTCTCCATGTAAGTCAAATGTGGATTAGTTTTATCAAAAAGTCCTCCCCAAAGGAAAGTTTCTCCTAATACTTGATCCAGGAGTTCCCTTGTCTTCACGATTGGGTTCAAAATTACAAGGCTATAGAGTTGAATATTGGTAGTCGTAAACCCAAAATTGAATTGGTTGTTCAATGATGGCTGTAAAATAAAAATCATTTTTTAATAGTTTCGTTGCCTATATGGCACCAACTCATGATGGGAAATCAGTTCTAAAGAGCTTATTATACACAATCCTGGAGCTTGGAGAGATAGTATCGCACAAGTCAACAAGATCATAACAGAGCAGCTCTGGAGTAAAGTTTATATGCCAGTTGTTAAGTTATGTGGTTTCAAATTTTTAGCTTGTTATTAGTAATGAAAAAAGTATTATAATTGTAGAGGCCTAAAATTGTAGAGAAAAATTGCTAGTAGAATGGTTGTCAATTTTCTATTAGGAAAGGTCTAAATATTATTTAGTAATCAGCATGATACATCTAATTGAGTTTCATTACCACTTTTTAACTACATTTGTTATAAGGAGTAAGTTGCTTCCTGGAAAAAATCTATTTCTATGATGGAGCAATAACTATCAACACACTGTCTCGTGACTGGCAGTCAGAGTGTTCAAAAACTGAAATACACATTTCTACTATGTAACTCAGAGAGATAACTATGTAACCCTAAGAAGTCTATTTCAGCAAATCAGGCTGAAAATAATACTTACCTCAAGAAATTCGATTTTCGGAAGTAAAAGAATGCTCGTTTATTTGCTAACTTCTCTGGTCTCAGAGCTCCGGCATGCATCTCTAATTCAGTTATAGATAGACTTTGAGGATAATCTTTCACCCACTGTAATTCAGGACAATCAGGGGTACCATAAGTATAAACAGATCCATATCTTTGTCCTAGTAAGCCAATAAATAAATCACACTTTTCAGCTTCAATGAGACACAACTCAGCAGCACTAAAAGAATGTTTTAATTAGTAACATAATAAAAATAAAATATACATATTATATATTAATAATGTTTATGAAAATTAAGAAACAATTTAAAAGGACTGATGCAAATTAATTATAAAAATGAATGAGGAGGGCATACACAATCCTTTTTTAATCTCAACCTTAAGAAGTCTCATTTGATAACTTAAAATAATTACATAATTATAATTTTATACAATATTTACACCCTTTCTATTCATCTTTCAAATTCATGTAAAAAATAAAAAGCAGTGATAAAGCAAAATTTCAGTTTTTCATGATGTTGAGAATGATACATATTTTACTAGATTTATTAAAAGTAACATATATTTGTATTCGGGAGGTTAGTTTCAAGCATTTCAAAAAATAATTCCATCTTTTGTTTGATTATCTTGTTCAAGTTTGATCTTTTACCCTACTAGTTGAACCTCTTTTCCAGTTAAAACTTCTTTGCAATTTGATAATCAGCATTTAAGTATAATAAAACTTATGTTTAATTATAAAGAAATATTATTTGTGCTCCTTTACATTGCTATCATTCCGACTTTTATAGTTTTTTTACAACTACATTTCATTTCCTGTACTTCACATCTTCTCAGACATTTGTGATGTGAGGTTGTCAAATTTTACTTTTCATGTCTCAAATAAAAATATATTTGTTAAACTGTTTTTTAGTGATTTGTTTAAATCACATGCTTCTTGTACACTGAAAAAATCAAATAAATTAAGAGCCAGTTTTTTGAAGTTCAATAGGTTAGGTACTTTATGTTTTTGATGTTGTTGATTTTTTCCAGATCCTTTATGAAAAATTATTCAACATGTAATTTTATTTTTGCAATTTTTTTTATTTAACATTGGGTTTCGAAGCTCTGTCACCAAGGAAAATAAAAAAAAGTCACAGTTTAAGTGACTTACAGTCAAAGCAATGAGATGATTTTGATCACCTTGCCATGGGCTTTACAATAACTTAAATAATTTAAAAGTTATTAAACTTTTTCACAAATCACCAATTTGCGACTCTTTTTCAACCTAGATGAAAAATTATCAAAATCACTGCCTAATTCTCAGCTTTTGCAAATTTTCATGAGCCCAAGTAATGTAACATTGGAGTAAGTTTTTAAATATTAAAAAAGATATCATTTTCACAAAACTGTGACTTTTCTCCATATTGACATTTTGCACCCTTTCCAAAATAAGCGTAGACAGTGCTGGCTTTAGATAAGCTACATAAATAACCTAAGAGTCTTAAATAACAGTTGCAAACTCACAGCAGTTATAAAAATAGCAAATCATTGGCAAAAGAGCCTCTTTTCATAATAGGACTGAGCATTTGAAAAATATCCTAAGTTTAGGGGGTTTAAATTAAGAAGAAAAAGAAGCATATGGATTTACATATGATTGTACTTCTTGTATGGATTTAACTATGATATTAAAATTTATTTAGAGCTCAACTATTTCCACACTAACTAATAAGACATAAGCATTTATGGTTGATCAATATAAATCATATCAATAAGTATTTATGGTCATTTAAAACAACAGAAAAAAATACTTTTCTTAGATTTTTATAGTCAAAATGAACTTGCAGGAACAGTCAACTAAAAACCCAAGCAGCAGATAGATTTTGTTTTATGCTTCCTTAATGACAATCTTCATTGTGACAATCGAAGGATATCAAAGGCATTTATAACATCATTGTTCAATATTTATTGGTAACACGTTTTAAATTTTATATAATAAAATATCAGTAGCATAGATAGGCGTTTTTCAAGGGAAGTGTTACGAATCCCCATCTATATTCTGAGAAAGTAAAGTATTCAAATTTTTCTCAAACTTTCGCACTAAATAACAATTAAACTTTCAATTGTTTAAAGTATGTATACTTATAGCAGAATTTATTGCAATATTATCACCAAAATAAATTTATAATCAATCAAATGTCAGATATTTCTCTGACCAGTTAAAACAATAAAAATTTAACTGGAGCTTCTTGCTGGATGGCATCATAAGTTTCAATAGTTTCCTTACCGCTACAAGGCAAATTTGGCATCAAAGGAAATTTATCATCAATCTACTTTCCCATTAGATAGAATTCTCAAATCTCAATTGTTGCTTTATGCTTATTGAAAATACAGTTTCAATCATTGCATGGCTACTAGAAATTTGTTTCAAGACAAAGATTTATCACCAGTTAAAATCAAATTTCAACAATTTTCTGTCTAGATAGAATGCAAAAATTTTAACTGAAGTTCTGTGTCTGACAACAATGCAAGTTACAATCATAATTTCATTCATTTTTCCATAAAAACAAACCATCATACAAAACAAGAATAGGCAAAAATAACTTGACTGAATTTTTAAAAAAAATATGTATGTTTTTTATGTGCATGAAAAAGGAAAAAATATTTCTATATTTTGAAGAAAAAAAAACCACTTTAGGCGTTTCTTCCTTGGAGAGATTTGGAAAGACAAAATGTGAATTTATTTTCGTCTTTTTTTCATCCATTTGCAAAATGTTATTAATTAGCCAGTCACCAACAAACATTTAATTACATTTTTAAGCAAACTGACTGTTTCAGGTGACTCAATAGACTCCATAATTCTTGCATTTATAATTGTTTTACAACTACATTTAATTTCGTGTACCATATTTCTTTTCAGAGATTCGTGATGTGAGGTCGTAAATTTTTACATCTCATATTTTAAATAAAACTGTATTTGTTGTTAAACTGCTTTTTAATCATTTGTTTAAATCCCATGCATGGTGTACAATATAAAAATGGGATAAATTAAGAGCCAGTTTTTCTGAAGTTCGATAGTGTTAGGTACTTGATGCTTTCGATGTTGCTCAATTTTTGAAAGATGTGTGAGATTTACTTTCAGCATAATTTTAAAACTGTCAAAAACCTTAAATTTTGCACCAGTTTCATAGTTAATAACAGCATTCACTAAAAGTGAACAGGTAGAAATTTTCCTGGAAAAGTATCCTTCAGTATAGCCAAAACAAGATCAATTGATAGATTTATGGAATCAAATTTAATAGTTATATATTGCAGACTTAAACTTTGAATCCTGTCACTGAGTAGTTAAATACAGAAATAATTAGAGGATAAAAAGTTGTGTTTTATCCCTAATATGTAAATTTGCTGAGTGTGTTCCAGCCCAAAGTGAGCTTAAGTCATCATTTCTTGCTACTACATTAACATCAAATTTCAAAGTCATGCCACATGTACACCAGGCATATGTAGATTTTAATTTAGAACTACTCATTAGCATGTATTTTCAGAAATATATACCTTTGTGATTCCCTATAGTAACAAGTAGATTTTGACAGCAAAATTCTAGGAAAATAAAAGTTATTTAGAAAATTTTTGAAAGACCTTAGAAACAAACGTCCACTGATAGTATTCATCTCTTAATAGTTAATGTGGAAGTAGTAAAACACAAAATTGTGGTCACTATCGGTGTTTACTTATTTAAAAAAAGTATTACTGTATGAACATACAGGTATGTTTTTATAAAAAAATTTCAGAGGATCTTCAGCTCTGACCCTCCAAAACCTTCAGAAAAAAGTTTTTTTTATTAAATAAAAGAATTATGCACATTTGTTTTACATCAAAAATATAACCTGAAAATTTCTACAAAATCAAAAATGTCTTTTAAAAATAAAAACTGGCTCAGAATGCATAAAATTATGGGCAAAAATATTTTCCTGAAGCAAGAAAGTAGTAGAAGTAGAATACAAAATTATGGTCTCTATCATTGTTCACTTATTTCACAAAAAATATTACTGCAGTACATGCATTTATGTTTTTTTTTTTTTTTTAAATTTCAGAGGATCTTCAGCTTTGACTTTCCAATAACCTTTAGAAAAAAGTTTTCTCTATTAAATAAAAAAATGCATGTTTAATAGTTTTACATCAAAAATATAACCTTAACATTTCTACAAAATCAAAATTGTCAATTGAACTTTGCCTGATTGCCAAATTTTAAAAAAAAAACTGGCTCATGATGCATAAAATTACAAGTGAAAATATTTCTCTGAAAGAAAACTCTATATGCAATAGATAGTACATAGTAAAATCAGAGAGAGTCAAAGGAACATTTTAAAAAGATTTAATTGAAAAAAAATTAGTACACACCGCTTAGTAGTACAATCAGCTTCAGTAATGCCCCATCTTAAATCAACTTCATTTATTTTTACAAACACAGACGATGCCCTTCTCCTTAGTTCAGGCATGACATACCGAACTAACATATCTCTTTCAGAATGCATATCTTTGAATGTGGATGATATAAAGATGCGTACCGAATGCCACCTTAAAATTCATAAAACACTTATAAACGAAAATATTTGGTGAAATAAAGTTGTATTTTACATTAAAAAATAGGATAAAATATCAATTACAATATGAGATTAGTCAGATAAAATATCATTTTATAAATAAAAGCCCTGATCTTTGATAGTAATAGCTAAAAAACAGTTTCAAGTCTATAAAAGAGTATTTCTTCCCAAATTAAAATTGCTTGACAAAACTAACAAGAAAATTTAACTTAAGATGTATGTAACTGAATTACAAAATACAGTATTAAAATATTAAAAGTGCAAAAAGTGGGTAAGGAAATTGAACTCCTCTCCCCTCTCAAAAATAAAATAAAAATAAACTGCACAGAGAAACAAAAAATAAGTGCAGAGAAAGTTATTTAAGATTAACCTTTCTTTTTTTGAAAAAAAAAAATATATAAATGACTCCTTATAATTCAACTCCTCCCCCCTCAAAAAAAAGAAAAGAAATATGTCCACCAAAACAAAAAGTAAGTGTAGAGAAACATATTTAAGATTAACCTTTTCTTTTGAAAAAAAAAATTATAAATGACTCCCTAGTGATGAATTTGAATACTTATTTAGAATAAAAAGTAATTACTGATTTGTATGGACAATTTCATAAAAAAGTTTTCACTTATAACTTGAAACCCTAAAAATATTATCAATAATAAACATCAATTTAATCCTTTGAGAACAGAACTCTTAGGCTAAATTCTAGCAAAATTTAATAGTTAACTACTGTTTTTGCATTGAACAATATGGGAAAAAACAGTATTTTGTACACAGTAACAGTAGTAAAGTAACTAGTAAAAACAGTAAACAGTAGTTTTGCAAACAGTAGTAAAGTAATTAGTAAAAAGTTAAGTTCAATGTTCAGAAGGTGAATGTGGCAAATTTTATAAATTAATTAAAAACTTGTTTTGCTTTTGACTTTAAGCCACATAATTTAGTAAAAATTTAAAAGAAAACAATTAACTGAATAAAAACAAATTGGATAAAATTTCCTTTAAAGATATTTTCAATTTTATTTAGCAAATTTGATATCGATATTTTTGAATTTGATATTGATTACTTTAACTTTAATTTTTAAAAATTTACCAAATCCTATAAAATAAATCAAATTAACTCATTCAAATCTTTTTTTTTCCATTTCAAACTAGTTTAGTTTAAATCATTAGTCATTGAATTATACCTTGCTTATAAATTAAGGATACTTTATGAAAGGAAACTTCATATTTTAAAGATGATTTTATGCATATTTTTGTTGAGAAACATTATTATTAATTTTGTTTATCTGGTTCTTCTTCCATTCAAAGTTCAAATCAGATTCATGTGACAAATGAAACATTTTTAGTGTTTCCATCAGGAATTTTAAGAAAACATAAGTTCAAGATTTTAAGACTACAATAAAATGCCCATTTTGCTTTTCATCTATGTGGTTGCTCTAGTAAGAAACAGAAAAAAAAACATTTAACTCTAAGATTTTGTTAATGTCATCATAACAAAACTTTCAACATTTTAAACACATCATATATGCATAGTTTTTGCATCATTATCACTGTTTGTTGATGATGCTTTACAACTTTCTACTTTCTTCATCTTTTTTCCTTTTATTTATAAATTTTATTTTATGTATTTTTTTTAGTGTAATTAAGCTTTTATTTTAATTATTAAAAGAGCTAAAGATAAAATATCAATTAAAAGCAAAATGCAACAAAAAATTTAAAAGTAAAGAACATTGCCTCAAGAATAGTAGCTCAGTAATTCTTGGTAGAAAGGCTGCACCCATGAAAAACTCATTTAAAATTTTCAAATTATCATGTCATATAAAAATACAAAAATTAATCTTTTTTTAGCTCTGTGGACAATTTATTTCCATTATTAACTAAAATTTTGTTTACACAAATGATTATTGTTCTAGTAAATAAAATTTAAAAGTTTTTCCTTTTTTGAGTAAAATTCACTGAGTTTAAAAAAGCAACAACACAAATAAAGTAGTAGTCATCAGTTAAGAACACATTAGAATAATATCTCTGGAAAAAAACGCTACTAAATTTTAGAGAGCATTAAAAGTTACTGAACAGTGCACAAAAAAAACGAATACTACCCAGAATAACTTTTGATCTAATGATTGGATTTTCACGTTCAGAGGGTCACCCTCTCTAGCCATTAGGATTGAGTCCTCAAATGTGAAAACCCAATCAGTAGATTAAAAGTTATTCAGGGTGGTCCTTTTTTTGCACTCACTGTACATCAATAGAAAATCACTAATACTTCTAATCAGGATTCGCTGATTTAAATCAAATGATTTTTTTAAAAAAATCATTCATTTAAATCAACTTTTTTTTACATCTATATATATTGATTTTAAAAGTTGAAAAACAGTGTTTCAAATTATTGATACTTTTATTATTTTCTTTTCTTAGTTTTAAAATTTATTTTAAATAAATTGCTGCGTTAATTCATTTTAATTAAAGAAATTTCTTTCTTGGTGTGTGTTAAATTCCAACACATATATAATTACATTTTTAAAAGTCTTTTAATTCTTGTGATTGAAAGTACAGATTAAAGTACACATTTAATGCTGTCTTAATATAGACTTGCATAGCTTTAGAAAGTAATTAATAGACATGAATTTTGAAAAAAATTCTTATTTAAAATTCTTAATTCTATTGTTCTTAATTAAAATTCGACCTTTTGATTGTAACAGCATGGAATTAAAATCTACATTCTATTTTATTGGTGGAAAATACGTGTTTCTAAAGCTTGAGGTTATATTAAAAAGAAATTACCCTAATATGCCAAAATAGAAAGGGAAAAAAAAGGCTAGTGAATTCAGATATTTTTTCCTGATATAGAGTCATTCTTCCTTTTCAAAGTCTATTTGAGAAAGTAGAGTTATTAACTGGAAACTGGTATTTTTTTCTCATAATATGCTTACAGTATCTTTGACATTATCAGATTTTCTATAAAGAAATTTTGTGAAAAAAAATTCCAATGAATACATAAATTTTTTTTAGCTTATCTATTTTGATATAGGATTAAAAATGAATATTTTATTATAAAAATATATAGATCAAATATTTATTTATTTTTTGATGAATGACTACATTTATAAACAAAATCTGTTGCATTTATTTTGTTACTAAAAATCAAGTGAAAATTAAAATTATGGTCTGCTAATTGAAACTTTAATTTAATAGTTAAAGAGTCTGTCCAAGACAAATTTGCTACTGCATAATGGTACCTTCACAAATTCAACTTTAGGCAAATTTCACAAAATACTTTTTTTTAAATATTATTTTTGTGTTTCATAATAAATGAATAAATCCATATTTTTGTGTTGATTTTTTAATATTATTTTGAATTTTTACAAATTGTGTCTAAATTTTTACAAAATAAATACCTAGACAGACCCCTTTCATTAAATTCTCTATTTCATCTAGTCTTCAAATTTCAATTATGCATTTGTTTCAAAATGGTTGCTATGCATTCAAAGCTATGTATTACAATGAAAAATTACATTTGTAAGTTAGAGCTTCTAAAATATTGCTTTAATATTAATTTTATTTTGAATAAACATTTATAAAGTATTTTTAATCATAATTTAAAGTCTTTACAATGTGTTTGAATAAAAATAAAAAAAATCTGATTTAAAAATTTTTTTTTTTAAAAAAATAAAAAAAATCACGAACTCTGCTTCTAATATAACATTAGGTTCCGTTACTCAATATCAAGATCATTGGTTGGTAGTAGCATGCTACAAATAGTAAAATTCCAATAGTTCATTGATAAAACAGTAGAGATAGCAGCTATGTATATGTATGTAACATTAAATATTTTGCTATTTTTTTAAACCATTTAAGCACATAAATTTACTTTGGTTCTCTTGAATAAGCAGGTATAGTATTTTCGTCAATGTCATCAGAACCAACTTTTTTCACTGGGAAAGAATTGTGAATACTTTTTAAATCATATTTTTTATCAATGTTTTCCACACAGGTGAGCTGACCATTATTAGAGCGTTCTGATATAAACCTGTAAAAAAGAATTTAATCACATGTCAAAAGTCTGAAAGTATGTTTTTCACAAATAGTTTTGATTCTAAATTTTTAAAATATATATTAACTACAACCTAATTATTAATTCAATTCTAAAACAACACCAGAATACGGAATAAGTTTTAAATACGGAAAAGTTTACTAATATACATTTCAAAATTTGAGGGAAAAAATACTATTTAGAAAATTGCATTAGAGCCCTCTGAAAAAAAATATAAATAGTTAAATTAAAATAATCATTGCTTATTTTTAAAAGTACTTAGAAAGGATATGAATTGATTAATTATTAATAAGTATAATTCGTTTGAAACTAAATTACACAGAATATTGTTGGAAAGCATTAAGTCATATTTAAGTCAGGAAAAATAATAATTTAATATCTTTATTGTCAGCATAAAATTAAATAATAGTTTTGTAAAGTTCTTGTAATCTATTATAAGTACAGTATTTGATGTTTCAAAGCAGATGATATTAATTATATACTCTTTACTTGTTATTTAGTGGCATAGCTATAGCGGGAAACAAGAAAGAGGACAGTTTCTGAATATGAGCCTGAGTTGCTTTTCTCAATAAAAACAAATACAAAAATTAAATAACAGAATGCTCTAAAATTTTTTTTTCTCTAAATACATACACTTTTTAAGTTTTAAGCAAAATGAATGACTCAAAATGGTCTAAATGAATGAAATTAGGTCTAATGAAGTTAAATTGTTTCACAAAAATTAAAACTGAGTTGCTTACATCAAATAAATAAATAAATAAAATTAAATTAAAAAATAGATAGAAAGCTTCACTGATCAATTTTAAGTTTTAATATCTGCTTAACTTTAAGTACACCTTAAAGTTAAGCAGATATTAAAACTTAATTTTAAGTTTTAAATCTGCTTAACTTTAAGTACACCTTAGTTAAGCAGATTTCACTAGGATACTGAGGTGAAATACATTATTGTAAGTTCACCTTAAAGAATATTTCGATGATTTCCATTTATATTTCAGCTTTTTTTTTTATAAAGAAAAAGCGAAATAAGTGATGGAAATAAATAAAAACAAATATAATGAAAAGAATAGTAGTGACATCTAATGCAAACAGTGTTGCACATAAAAATAATTAATTTACAATAAAAATAATTATTTTCTAAATTAAAATAGACTGTACAAATGAGACTTAGAATCTTGCTTTAAACAGAAAAAAATAATTTAATTATGTTAAATCCTACAGTTACAGTATAATTATGTATTTTGGTGTTGGACGTAAAATATCAAAAGTGAATCTTGAGAAATTTTTTTATAAATCAAAATGTGAAATGTTTCTACGCATTTGTGCAAGATAGCCTGTTTTGTTACAGTTTACTCTAATTATTATTTATTCAACGTTCCATTATTAGTGTGAATTTTTTTAAAAAAAAATAACTGTATCTATTAGAGATTTGCTTACCACAGTTAAAAATTGCAAATGATGTAGCCCTACATTTAACAGTTTGTAACTAATTGAAAACTGACATTTATAAGTTAAAAGTCATTATACCTAAATCTTAATTTTTTTTTACCTTGAAAATACCTTATTTACTTAAAAATATTAAGTTTAAAATTTTGATCACCTTGTAACCTTACCATGGAATTGCCCTACTAGAAGGTTTCTCCATTCATTTAGCAACCATGGGAGAGTTTCATGTATCATTCTAGTTTAACAGGGTCATAATGGAGCAAATTTTAATGCAAGAAAAGTACTGATAAGTTGATGGTAATTCAACAGTTTATCAATAAATTTCTGTCCAAAAAAAGACGGTATTACGGATGGTAAAATTATTTAAATTAAGAAAATCCAAGCTTTTCTTTAAAATTCCCTGATTTTTCTAGGTTTTTATCTGAATTTCCCTGCTTTTTCGAGTATAAAAAAATTTCTTGATAATTCCAGGTTTTCAAGGTTTTCCAGGTGGGTGGCCACCCTGCGATAAAAATTCTTTTGAAAGATTAAAAATTGTTGTCGTCGACTGCCATAATTTATATGTTCATAAACTTTTTATGGATTTATAAACTCACTCTGATTCGACTATCCACTAAAATAACTTTTAATGACTCAGTAATAAAAAAAATCACTATTTATTGGTAACTTGTTATTAATATACTTTTCACTAATCCATTTGTAAGAAAATGTTTATGAAATTTATGCAACCTTTAAAATATCTATTTGAAATAAACTAAAAATGGCCTCATATAAAATATAATAAAAAGAAATGACTGCCGTTATAGTAATAGATAAATCATTATTGCTATTGAGTAAGTTTTGGAAAGATTTGATTTTCCCTACCCAGACTAACATAGGCTTATAAAACTATATAAAAAAATAAATAAAAAACAATCTGCAACATAAATTTCAACAATAATAAACATTTAGATAAATTAGATGAATTAAGAAGTTATTGATCTCGCTATTAGCAAATATTTGTAGTGAAAAAGAAACTTTACTTTACTTTTCCAGAAAATCTTTTGATAACTATTTCAAACACACATTAAAGAACAAAAAATGAAAAATATTATTAGAATGATTAAATATTTCTTGTTGCTCACATAAAATTTACTAAGATCTTAGTAATTATCTAATCTTTACTAATTATCTCAGAAATTAAACATTCTTTCTTGTTTCTAAAAAAAAACTCAAAAAAATCCGCTACAATTTGGATGAAAAACTTAAATTACATTTAGGAGTATTTACTACAAAAAATATAAAGATTTATATCAACAAATTCACATTAAATTAAAAGAGCATTTGACACACAGGTTAACAAACACGTACGGAGAGAGAAAAAAAAACTAAACAGTTTGAATAACTTTTGATTTAATGATCAGATTTTAACGTAATAGGACTATCTTAATCTTACGAGGGTGTCATCTCAAATATGTTAATTTGTTAGTGCAGACAATATTTTAAGTTATGAAATCAGACATTAAAACGTATTTTCTCTGAGTAACATACCTTTTATTTGATGGATTATGATGATTATGATTCCTAACACTCTAAAATAGGGGGTAGCTGGAATTTGGAAAATATGGTCTTATTTGTATGGTATGGAGAGCAGTCAAAAGTTCAGACCCCTGAATGTTAATTTTGCTTTTTTCATATTTTGCCATAGTTTCAGAGTTGTTTTTTTTTAAAGCAAATTGAAAAAATTTTGCACACAAATACAGATTTATTAATCCAAAAATAATACCACGATTTTTTAAATATTAATTATTTTCTTTTATTTTATTTCATAATAGTGAAAATAATTTTGAATACTAAGGCATACAAATTTTTACATGGCAAAAGACAAAATTTGTATGAAATCGATTGAATAGTTCATTTTTAAATTGAATTTCAAAAATCTTACTTTTTAAAAATTTGATTTCAGAGGAAGTTACGATTTCAGAGGTTGTAGTTTTTTTTTAAATAGAAAAGGCCAAATATTGTAAAATAATGAATGATATATTGACATGGCGTTATAAAAATCTTTCAAATGCAATTTTTTTAATCTTATCTTTCACTAAAGAGTATATGAAAATAAGAAAAAAGTTTTGATAGCTTACATAAAAATTCTAAAGTGATGTTTCATTAAAAACATTTGGCTTATTTTCATAAAATTAACACGACATGACACACTACATTTAAAGAAGAAAATGGATAATAAGACGAAGAAATCGCTAGCTATTTATTTAATAAAAACAAAAAAAAGTTTGAAATGGGTTTACAATGGAATTGGTGCAAATCAAGCACACCAAGAAGTGATTACTCAACTCAGCGCCAAATTACATGTCATAATATTATATTAAATATATCAGGATTTTATTGACTCTGTACCTGATTGTTCCGCCATTGAAAATTTCCCAATTTAATTTAAGTGATCATTTTTTCATTTTAATGATCTGAAAATTAATTCGAACAAAGGTTTCAGCATAAAAAATCCTCTTACGAAAACGTTTTGTTCAAGCATAATGCCAAAACATTTAATGGTATGAGAAATGTTGAAGTTGGAAAAAAACCAGCAGGAATTTAGTCCATTACAATAATATAGTTAAATTATATTTCTTAAAAGTTTCACTTACTTAATTAACTGAGGACTGTTTCCGCACAGATAAATATCTCTTTCATCATCAGAATGTTGATTTGAAAAACTAAAAGAGGATATATATATATATTAGCTCAATAAAGAAAAAAATGATAAAAACAAAAGAAAGAAAAATGAAGAAAATTAATAAGTTTTATTTACTGCGCATAAGCTGCAAGTATATAGAAATTACAAAATAAGTTAAAAAACATAGAGAAAACATGGAAAATAATAGAGATTAAAGTAAAGAATTAAAATTATTAAAATAAAATACGTTAAAAGGTATTTAAAAAAAATTATTTAAAAAAAAATATTAAAAAGTTGGAAAACAAAATAATTAAACAATATAATCTCGCCATCAGCTCACACAATTATATCCGCAAAAAGGAGTGCATTCTAATATTGCATTAATATAGCCAAAGCAATACATCGCAATACAATAGTGTGAGGAGCACTACAAAAATTTAAATGAAAAAATAACACATTAAGTATAAAATATATGGAACAAAACATATCAAGTACCTAAAAAACAGGTAATAAACAATAATGCAATTAAAGTAATAAATAATATTATAATAAAAGTAATAAATAATATTATAATAAAAGTAATAAATAATATTATTAATTGCATTAATAGGGTTGATATTTAATTATACAATTTTAATGATTTCAAAAAATTAACATTTATTTAAAAAAAGAAAGATAATTTGTTCGGTTTGCAGATTATTAGCTATCGATTTGCCCAAATTGGATTAACACATGAGAAAAATATAAATTTAGCTAACAAAGAAGATTTTATTAGATTTAATAATAATAACAACAACTCAAATGATTTTATACAGAACTTAATTACATCCATTGTTCTGAACTTAACTTAATTACAAACATACACATTACATCCAGAACTTAATTACATTCAATCCATTGTTTTTTTTTAATCAAATTTTGAAAGAGTTTGTCAATTTATTTTTTGGATAAATAAACATTACTACATATTCTTGGAATTTTATTCATTTTAATAAAAATGGTATTTAAATAAAGGCTTTTACTTTTATTAATATTATTTACTTATTATTTTCCATCTTTTCTTAATACTTTTAACTTTATATTATATATATATATATATATATACATACTGAGGGGCCAAATTATGACCACCTGACAGTTTTATGCAAAATGAGCAATTGCGTCACACTGTTGCCACTAGAGGGCGTGATAGCTACAAAGGGGGAGTGCAAGGCAAGAGTACCATCATGTGAACTGTGTGGAGATATGGGCAAAAAACGTGACTTAACTGAGTTTGATCCCTATTCCTGCCAGATGGGAAAATTCTTGGTTTCTTATGCCACAGTGAACAAAATAATAATGATATATTTAAAAAGAAAGTGAAATAGAATAAAAATAAGTACCACAAATTGAGAAATATAATATATACATATACATTTTTTTAATAGCGGCAGGCACTGAACTTTCGTTCTTCACCATAGAAGATGCCGGAAGTGTTGCTCATTTCTCGTTAACCAGTGGGCACCTGCGAATCAAAGTCATGGAGGCGAGCAACGTCAACTACGCCACACTGCCACAAATATCCATTCATAGGGTGGGCCACATTCACTCACACAAGAAGACAACACAGAGAGAGATACATCCATGCCCAGAACAGGATTCGAACCCGCGACCATTGGCTTCGCAGTCAGACACGCTAACCACTCAGCCACCTGGCCGGCAGAAATATAATTTAACTATATGTATACATGAAGGGGAGAGAGAGGCCCCTCATTCTTCAGATACTCCCGCAGTCATTGAGAGTAGACATCTCTAGTTTGCAAACGAGCATAAGGATTGGACAGTATATGACTAAAAAAGGGTTTTGTGGTCTGATGAATTGAGGTTTCAATTACACCATGCAGATGGCAGGGTTTGGATATGGCAAAAACAGCAGGAAAGCATGGGCCCCAACTGCATTGCCACAACACTTCAAGCTGGTGGAGACAATGTTATGGTTCGGGGGACGTTTTCTTGGCATTGCATGGGTCCTTTGATTCCTGTGCAAAAACGTTTGAATGCCCAAGGGTATTTAAGGGTTATTGAATATCTAGTAAATTATGTTACGTTAATAGAGTACTCTGCCGGGGATGAATACTTTCAGCAAGACAATGCTCCTAGTCACATAGGTTGTATGGTCGTCAACTGGTTCAAAGAACATGACGGTGACTTCACCTTGCTTTGTTGGCCGGCATAATCTCCAGATCTCAACCCAATTGAGAATTTGTGGGAGATCAAAAGGGGCAAGAGATAGCTGGATTGAGTGCCATCAGATCTGATGGAACTGAAAAGTGTAGTTCATCGGATATGGGGTCAAATTCTTCCTACCACTTACCAACATCTCATAAAATCTATGCCATGAAGAATTTGAGCAGTATTACAGGTCAAATATAGAAAAATCACGAAAAATTATAAATGGATATTTAAAAGAGTGAAGCAAATAAATATCAAAAAACGTTACCATTCAATTTCATAAAATAAGTTCTGACTAAAATTTGTGCTGGGTGAAAGCATACAAATATTGGAAAACTTGAAAGGCAGAAAGTTAAAGGTAACTATTAGTAAAAATGTAAAGTTTCTATTCTTAAAAGAAATCATAATGGTCAAGTATCCATAATGTATTTTAAGATGATTTATAAAGCTTTAATACTCTTCGTTATAAAAAAATTAAGAAAATTTATTAAAATTTGTGAAATTTAAAAAAAAAACCAAAAAGTTATCAAAAATATGTTTTATTTTTTAATTAAACAATTAATATTAAACATTTGGAAAAAAATTGTTATGATTTATAAGAAAAGAATATTAAATGTATTTTATTTCCTCAAAATAATTTTTGATTCATGTGAGAAAAAGTTGCCAATCTTTTGAAAAAAAAACCTAGTTTAAAAGATATGTTAATAAACTTTCTGTCAAAAGGCAAGGCAAGTTAAATAATGTCTGAAGTAATATATTAAACCTTAAGTCATATGATTACTACTTTCTATTTAATATAAATGCAGTCAGACAAAGGCTGAGACAGTCTGGTCGGTTGGGCGCTGGGCTCATGCTCAAGAATTCGTGGGTTCGATTCCCCCCGGGCGAAGATTCCCCGCGTAGTAAATGGTGACTGACGCACGTTAAATCTGTTGAGTCGCAAAGTCCTCCATGTTCCCATAACAAATCAATACCTCTGTGGCTACTGGTCCAGGAGTTTCCTTGTCTTCTGGATTGGTTCAAAATTACAAGGCTACGAAGCTGAACATTAGTAGTCGTAAACCAAAAAAATTGGGTCAGCTGTTCAACGACGTATATAAAATATAAAATTAAATGCAGTCAGACAATAGAGTATAGTGAAATATCTGTGGACATAGTATTAAGTCAACTATAAATGATGGTTCACTATATTTAAATTCGAGCAAAGTAAATGTTTCCGTATCATAGATTTTTACACATTTATTATTTTGATTTTTGCCATTTTTCATACTTCCTTTCATTTCTGAAGAAAGTGTCTATTGAAAGCTGGAATTTCTGGGTTCCCTCTCACATATGCCCATTTCTGGAGCAATACTGATTCCAGTGACAATAAAATTTTCTATTAAAGGGATGGTTGATTGTCGAGTAATGGACATGAAAGATAAATCAATAATAAATCAATAAGGCACTATATTGAACCGAAGATCCTATACTCTGCTTCAGCTATATCAAGGCAAATCTCCAAATAAAGATCTTCTCATGGACAGTCACTAATCTGTTGTAAGGTAGCCAAAACGGCTTGACAGGAGAGAAGATTAAAGAGATATGACTTCTATATAAAGGGAAATGACTTCTTTATGATAAATATTCATTTTAAACGAGTAATACTTTTTTTCAAAAAATCATAATTGAAATGGGCTACAGGTGGCATAGAGCAGAAATCTCTACCTATGGCAACACTTTGCATGCATGCTTTCACCATTAGCATGTGGAGAGTTGTATAGAAAGAAGCATGTTAGCTTCTGTCTTGATTTTCAAATAGATTAAAAACTTTTAAGTTAGGAAACTACATGGAACTGAAAACTACATTGAACATAGTTATAAAAAAAGCGTTGAGGAAATTTTTAAATAATATTTTCGACAATTAAATATGAAAAATATAGAGAAAGGGAAAAATATCGTAGTACATTCCTATGCAACTGAGAAGTAGGACTGGGCTATAAATCGATGTATTGAGACATATCGATTTAACGCATATATCGACAAGACGATACAGTGACTTTCATTCAAGGCGATGCATCAGAAATCTGATTTAAGCTGTCGAGTAAAGACAACGAGCGCAAAACCAACTCAACCACAATCGAAATCTA